GGCACTGCCATGCTAACGGACCACACCGAACAACGTCATTTTTAGGGATGCTGGCCTCCTTACGGCAGAGGCGGCGCTTAATGCAGCATTATAGCGGTTTGTTTTCAGGCTACGTATTATAGACAAGAAGCATACTTTTATCAAGTGAATCCAACTCTCAGTGATTATACAGGGCTGTAGTACAGGCGGTTTTTAATACTCTAAACCTAGATTACAGCTAGTAGCTCGCCTGCTACCCCGTGTACAGCGGCCCTTACTGGTGCCGCCGCGCTTCACGCCTGGCTACAGGATCGATCTAACCAGAGGTATTGACAAGGAGCAGGCTGTCAAGGACTTCAAGACCTGGTTTGAGGCTCTGCAACTATATGACATAGTGGTCTTCTCAGACGGCTCGAAAGAACGGATACATGTCGGATACGGCTATGCGATCTATCAGGGCGGGCGCCTGCTCGCCACTGGCAAGGATTGTCTAGACCCGTGTTCTATCGTGTTTAATGCAGAAATGCTCGGAGTCTGGAAGGGACTTCAGCACGTGGCCAAGTCACCCAAGGAGCTCAGTCAGCGCCAGATCTGGGTATATGTGGACAATACAGGAGCAATCTGGGGGCTCCGCGGCAATGCCGCGGTGTCCTGCCAGTGGGCCTACCTGAAGTTCCATGCTGAGGCTGAAGTCCGTAATGTTAATGTCAAGTGGTGCCCTGGGCACTGCGCTATTGAGGGCAATGAACTGGCAGACAAGCTGGCTAAGGCCGGCTCTAAGCTCTCTAATACCAACTCTGACTGCACACCAACGGCGTATGGCATCAAAGCAGAGGCGAGACTTAAGCTCGAAGTCTCGTGCGACATATGGTGGACCAAGACCCAGATCAAGTTATCGACCCGCTATAAGTACTGAAACCTGAAGTATAAACTGCACTGTTATAAGAAGTTATAGGTACTCAATAGGCCGTCATTACACCGCTTCCTTGCTGTCTGCTTAGGGCACGGCGACTTCTTTTAGTATCATATCAAGTTCAAACATCAGGACGCTGTCCTTGACTGTTCGTGCGGCCGGAGCAAGACTCTGATGCACTTTATCCACTATTGGAAGACTCTGGTACGGTACATAATCTGGCCAAGGGCCCCGGCATCCTGGCCGGAGCTCAGAGCCAGGCTCGAGTATCTAGACGAATTTATGACTTCCCTACAGGAGTACATGGATATACTCGTGGCTACCGACTTCTACGGCAGCATCTGCCCTCCTCACTAAGGGCATACTCACTCTTTCATTTTATTATGGCGTCTGGGGGTTTTAGCTTTTTATTTTTCTTTTTTAATGTCTTACAGGGCGCGTAAGAACTATTACGATATGCCGCGATACCTACTATAAGCTCTAAGAGCACTAAACCTGGCGATGCGCTCTGAAAATTGAACATTTGGGACCCCAGCCGATACTTCCCCTCACCCGGAGGAGGGGGGACACGGTGTGATCCGCCGCTTAAGTGTGGTGGCTGTTTACGGACTTGATCTGCTAAATGGGCAGTGTATGTACATAGAAGACCTAGCCTAGCACGCCTGAGCGGCCTCTTGGAGCCCCTGATTGACGCCGCTACGCGGCAGTCCCCACGGCGTTAAATGCTACAACAACAACAACAACAACAACAACAACAACAACAACAACAACAACAACAACAACAACAACAACAACAGGGAAGGCCGCATCGCGAAGGATCGGTGACGTGCGTGCCTGGTGTCTGGAACGCGTTCTCCAACGTCGATCCCCCCGTCCTCGTTTCTCTGTCTAGTAACAGACAGCCGCCAGGTGTGTGTGTGCGTATGTAGTAACGAGTAGGGCGCGTATCAACCGAGGGCAGTTCCTCCATTCCCAAGACCAGCTTCCAACGCCACCCCCTTCGAGTCGCGGTGACGTGTATGTAGGGCTATGGTCCTGAATGCCCCGAGGCGCCCGTCGTCGGCACTCCCGCTGGACGAAACAGCTGCAGTCAGCACACCACCGTGCCGCCACAGAGTCGCATCTGTGACAGGCAGCAAGCAGCTTGGACATTGACGGACGATCTGCCGCCACATATCCCCCAGAAAAAAAGGTCCAATCCTTGTAGAGAGAGCGACCGGCGCTTACCGCCTGAAGCTGCAAGTCAGAAGAGACAGAGAGTCCCGCTGCCATCATCGCAGGGACGTGGTGTTGAGGTCGCCAGGCACAGGGGTGTGTCTGATCTCTGTGGCACGACAGACACACGCCGCAAATAGGCATATACGACCCTCCGTCCGGGGTTAGACGCTGTGCGACTGTCCCTCTCTGTTTACGGCAGCTCGGCAGTGGAGTGAGGTCGAGCGAGGCCAAGACAAGACCTCTCGTCGGATTGAGAAGGAAGATGGATGAGTGTGGGCAGGCGTCTCCTCCAGACAGCCGAGCTATAAATAATAACATTGACAACACGCCCGCCGTCTGCAGGATACGTCTGGAGAGGTTTCAAAAAGCAGAAGCGTCTAAACTACCTATGTTCAGACGTCTCGCTGCCGCCGTTGCACCGTCGACCTCAGACTGCTCACTTGCATGTGTGTACCTCAGTAAGTATATATGTAGGTAGGTAGGTCCGAGCAACGAGCACGGCATGTGTGTGTGTGCGTATCTGTGGTTAATCTGGAGCCGCAGCTGCCGGTCATCGTGCAGCTAGCTGGCAGCGTAACATTGGGGGCGGCTGGCCAGCATGTAAACAAGCGCCGCTGATTCCCAGAACGGGGAGCGGTGTAGATGGAGTGACAGAGAGCAATAGATAGATTGGCTACAAGATGAGCCTAAAGGAGCGTCTCGGGCCCTTTCTTGTTCCCGTGGCGCTTCTCGTCCTTATTATTAGTAGAGATCGAGGTGGGTATGTTGGAGCCGGAGCGGCAACCCCGTCGAGGAAGCTCGACGCAGGCCATCTCGTCGCCGCGCATCCGCCGCGGACGGTGTGTCCGGCAGCACATGAGAGTATGACTCTCACATCGAATGGACGTAGCGCAACAACCGTCAGGTCCAGAAACGGCAGTAATATCCAAGCGGATAGGCCATAGGCCACATGCGCAGGCTGTATGTGGTCAGTATAAACAACAACAACAAACATCCAAGTTGACATTGCCTATTCGATCCATGCGTCCGGACGCGGCCTCACCGAGCGGCCGTATCCAATATCGTGCCGTGCGCTTTGGGCATGCCGTAGAGCCAGCCAGCCACTCAGTCGCCAAGGCCGATGATCTGAGAACCCATCTCGCCCTGCCCATTCTCCTCATCCCAGTCGGCATCCTTCACGTTCCTGATTTGGGGAACATCGAATCAATCATTCCGCGTCCGCCTCCGTGTCGGTCCCGTGCCCTGCCCCTTCCTTCCCAGTATCAATGACTGGCTGCTGTTGCTGCGAAAATGCAGGTCCCGTCTGACTTGCAGCAGAGGTCGCATCGGCCCATGCCGTTGCCGCTGCAGCTGCGCTTGCGCCTGGAGGGCACGCGCACGGGCGTGAGGACAAATGGGCAGGTGGTAGGATTTTTTCGAATCCAGCCCAGTTCGATCTGTATCAAAAGGTCAATGCGGCTGTTTTCGGTGCACCACAACACACACTGCGCATCTGTCTGTCCACCGCGCGGGGCATGGAATTTCATATATGAGACCTTCAATATCATGTATCCACGTCCGTAAGGTACTGTGAGTCCGTATGGCCGAGGATTTCGGATGGAGAAGAAGACCACGTACGTCCTCGATGCACCCCTCATCCGCGGCGGCGGAGACCCGGGGCCAGTAAGAGGGGGCGTCGTCGCGTTACACGAGTCACCCACCCACCCCATGCGATGTCCCTCCTTGCAAAATACGAAGGAAAAAAGCACGGACGCAACCCCGTCTCTCTCTCTCTCCGTCTCCCTCTCCCTCTCCCGCTCCCTGTTCTGTCTTCTATAAGTCTGTATGTTCAACGTTCCCATGGGGCGGGAGGAGCCTGCAACACGGCAGCTTATTACCAAAGATTGTATCCTACCGTGCGACGCAGCCCTATATCAAGTAACTTTCATCCTCCGTGTGTGTGTGTGTGTGTGTTCCGCGCGTTTTCCTAGCCTTTCCCGTGCCACGAGGACGGGGGAGGGCCCGCGGCGGGCGGGCAAATCATAAATTGCCCGAAGGTGAGTCGAGACTTGGGATGCGGCGGCCAATCGCGCTTGCTCGTTGACGTCGGACGAGACGTACCTTTGGCTACACGAGCTTTATTGTATGCTGGGTACGAGACACTGGCGTCGAGTTTAGTGGGCTGGGTCTTCATCGAGATAATTGTATGGATAGTGAACTCGCTCGTATCTAAATATGGACGTCGCTTGGAAATACTCCCCTTCCAGCATTATCACCAGACTAAAGGAAAGAGATCCGGATAGATGAGGACATAATGCATGAGGATATGTCACTTGACTACCACGGACCGAGTAGGTAACCCTGAATGAACCAAGAGTAGATCGGCTCATTGAATCTCGTGACACTATACAACCCGCGATTCAGCCCCAACTCTGGCCAGTCGAGATAATGTGCCCCTTTTCAAGGGGATCTTGTGATAATATACAGTACACCGAATGCTATGCCCGCCTCAGCCCTACCTGAGGCTTCTCCTCCCCATGAAGCTGAAAACAGCCCGCTCCAAAATAACTCCGGGCATCCCATGTCCCTAACCGTGCTTCCAACCGTAGTAGATGCATTACCCAGCCTGTATCCTAGATGACCCCAGTGTATGCAGATGATGTTTTGGTACATTTGAATGAATAGGTACAGCGAATCGAACATTTTCCACCTCATGAGCTGTCGTCTCTGTCGTCGCTGCCGTCGCTTTGGTCGTTGGCGCCACACCACCCTGGACCGGGGCGTTCCCGAAATGGCTTAGGAGTAAGCGCGTGTCCCGCCCTCGCGAGATGAGGGCCGTGGGGCGTCTCGGAACGAGACCAGATCGGTAAAGGGGCTGAAACACCACGCAAATTCTACCGTCCGTCCACGTTCATTCATTTTCGCGGGGTGGCCCGCCACGCGATCTCTCCTCGGACGCGTTGGGGGAATTGCGCCGCTCGCTTTCCCCTTGCTGCGCCCTCATTTCTGCCACGTAGCGAGGCGATGGCTGGTCTGACAACATGGATGAAACCGAGTGACCACTGCTCCGAGGCTGTTGCTGGGACGACTCGCCCGTTGGAGCTTCTCTCGACGTGCCGAGCCCCGGCGAAAAACCCCCATGCGGCCCGAAACCTTCCCCTCGACCACGTCCCGACGATCGGTACGAGGAAATGTCACTCCTCTGCCGCGAATGGCCCCGTCGGCGGCCGGGAGGCGGGTTTGATAACATAGATGGACCGCCTTGCTGCACGAAAGGCGGTGATCTCAGTCGCGTCTGGCTCGTCGGCGGAGGTCCTGATTGCGGCGGCCCGGTCGCCTTCCGCTTCCTCGGCGAGTCCACTAATTTTTCCAAGAGCAACATTAGCCTGACAGGTCCCCTACTTGCTGAATCTGGACTTGAACAAACCAGAGGGCGCCGAGGGCTGATTGGAGCCTGCTTGCGAGTTTGGGGGTTGCCAATAATGGAAGTAGATTGATGGAGACTGGGTTTCTTGTTGTGATGCCGCCGCTTGCTGCGCGAGCCCATGGGAAGGGTGAAGGGCACTTGACGGCTCAGTGACACCCTCACCCGTTCTTATGCGTGGCAACGCAGTTCCTCCCAGCGGTCTCCCCACAGGTCCACCCATGCTCAACGTGTGCGCTCTCTGCCTCGTAGGCGACCCAGGACCTTGGTAAGGAACAAAGCCCACCTGCGTGCCGGCCCCTGATCCAGGAGTTGATGGAACGCCAACTGAGCCAGCATACGGCCCATACTGTTGCGAGTCTCTTCGCTGTTCGGGCGATATCGCTCCCTGCGCTGGCAGCAGTTGAGCGGGATGCGCCTGCTGTGGCGGCAGATATTGTTGTTGGATCCAGTCGAGAGCCGCTTGAGGCAGTGTTGCACCACTCATCCCTGCAAACACCACTGGTACCATCGGGGGCGGAATGCCACGATCCAGGGAAGTCCGGAGTATGTCGTGCTCAATTCTCCTCTGCTCTAGGCGTAAGGTCTCCTGCCGCGTCTTCTCCTCCTCCTGCCTTCTCTTCTCCTCCTCCGTCTTGGCCATTAACCAGTTCCTCATCGATTCTTCCGATCCTTGCCATTGTGGCGGCGCAGGTAGGGCGCCGAGAGACTGACCATGCGGAGAGGGAGCTGGCGGTCCTTGGCCTTGCAAAGGCGGCCCTGGAGCGGGTGGGTGAGGATGACCAGAGGGCGGTGGTTGAGGTAGTGTCATGACCGCCGGCAACGGCAGGCCACGATGAGGTGCCGACATGGGCTTGACCGAAGGGCTCTGCTTCAGCGGAAGAGCTGGTAGTGGCTTTTGGGAAGAATCCTGAACAGTCACGGGGGGCGAGGATCGAGGTGGTGTCGGTAGGTCATGGACGGGGCGGTAGCCGTAGTGAACTGGCTGCTTTGGTGTGAGCATCATCTCGGCAACGAGACATGAAAGCGATCTAGAAGTTGGTACACGGACACATGCTGGTGTTTGAGGAGGGGCGTGAGGATCGGTATAGACAATGTATATGGGTTGAGAGGTGATATTAACCTTTGCATAAGAAAGCTGGAGAGGACGGCCAGCTTGGTGTAGGGTCAGGAAGCAGTCGGAGCTTGTGAAACTTTTGGGTCCCTGAGACCAGCCTCATTTGATGATCGGTGCCATACACATTGGTAATTTCAACGAAGGATCGGGTGGGGAGTCAGTGGTGGTTGCTGAGAAGGTAGTATTTGGGCGTATCAAGCTGGGCGGGCGCCGGCGCGGCAACGGCAGCGGCAGCGGTAGAGGAACCCCGGACACCTGGGAGGGTCGATGCTCGAGTGCTAGTCCTCGCTCCCGGGAAGAGCCAAGCGAGTCAGATCTTGGGACGGGACGGCAGTATGGCCTGTATGACAGTTCCTGGCACTCGTAGCCGGTTTAGGCAATGCCTGAAACAGAAAGGAGAGAACGTCCTGGTGGATGTGGAGAAGAGAATGGTACGCCCGGCTTGTTTTGGAAGCAGGACGATCGCTGAAAGGGCTGATACCAGAGCCGCAGCGACCAGCTGGTAAGGATCAGGAGACGAAGAGAGCAAAGCCACCAGAATAGAACAACGGCAATGCAAGTGGCGACGTGTTCTCGAAGGAACGGAAGGTCCGGGTTGTCAAGACTCAAGAGAGCGTGGTGGGCTAGGCAGCTCAATCTCAAGCTCAAGCAACCGTTATTTTCACGTAATCCGAGTGGACGAGTAGCAGCTCACAGAATAATAAGAGGGGAGCGAAACGAAGAAGAAAATGCCGGGTGACCAAAAGAAGCCGTCGAAGAAGAGTGGCTTGAGAGTTGGCAAGGCGTGCGGAAGAGGAGATGGGAGGGGAAGCTTTCTTTTCACGCCACTGCACTGACAAGGCTGTGGTGTGGTGGTCGACGTGTGGTGAGCAAGTCGGCCTGTCCCTGGTCTCCCTTCCTCGCCAGGGTTCAAGGGTCCTGTCGTCAACACAGCGGCCAAGGGTGTTTGGCCCGACCTTTGGGATGGCGTGTCTAGGGCCAGTCTTGTTTTTCTTCCGCGGGCCCCCCTTTCTGGAGACGACCTAGTTTCGAAGTCGACAGCTGCGGGCTGGAGAATACGCACTAACCGGGGGGCAGGGCTTGCCATGCAGGGCAGCAGGGTCGACCCTCGCAGGCGGAACAAAGACGAAGGAGGATGCAGCAGAGGCGAACGAATCAACGAGTGTGGGGGGGTGTAAGTATTAGCGAAGCAGAAACGGTTACGGGCTACCAGACTCGAGTAATAAGTGCAGACTCGTCACTCCAGAGTGGATGGGAGTGGAACCTTGGAAATGCAGCTGGGGGACGGACGAAAACCAAGCAGGACATCTGCTGTGAGATGTGAGACGTGTGAAGGGAAGAAGTGAGTCTATGAGGTTAGTTGTGAAAAGGATTACGCAGACCACTTCATACGAGCTACCTTACCTTACCTTGTGAGGCGTGCTCTCTCTGTCAGCAGGAGCCGTTGATGCTGGATGCTGGATGCTGGATGCTGACACGCAAAAGGAGCGACCGTTCCCTGGCAAGTGGTTGTCAGGGTCAGAGTCAGAGTCAGAGTCAGAGTCAGTCAGCCAGCCAGCCAGCCAGGCATCATCAGCTCTGTCCAGTGCACGTGGTCAATGCTGTCTCCGGTAGGGCATTGGGCAGGCTAGCCGTTGGCTCACGGGAGTCCTGGAAGAGTTCCAAGCTTGAGTCGTGTGCAAGGCCCAATGGGGGAACATGTCTGGAGACTGGAGTTCGAGGTATGGCTGATGGCTGGTGCGTGCACTGTGAGACCAGACTTGAGTGGGTGCAGTGGGTGTAAGCATGTGGCTCAGTCGGTCAGTGCCGCTGCCTAGTACATGTACCTACGTAGCCCAGACTAGGACTAGTAGGCCTACGGAAGGTGCATTGAAGCTCGTGCGGGAGACTGGAGTTGAGAAATGCAAGTACGCATGCACGTCTGCGGATGGAGTTTGGATATGTGCAGTGAGGGTTGTATCGGTCTGCTGTATCATAGTATGTGAGGTAGTCAAGCGTCAAGCAGGCGTTCGGTGCAACTGTAACCCAGCGTCATGTATCGAGTATGCCAAAGGACTTTGGCCGTCTTAAGGGGTTTTCCAATTTGACATCCATTCTATGCCTCGCTGACCGAATCGATGAGGGTTCCTTCTAGTAACGGTTTATAATAATGACACGCTGTCCTCGAGGTTCTGCGACCCCGGGCAGTGGCTGGCTGTAAATAGAACGAAGAGAGGGCTCTTGCCCCGTCGTGTCCATGATCCTTTATTAGTACAGTGAAGATGATCAGGATACCTTATGGAGTTGATCGGGTGGGAGAGGGGAACTGAACTGAGGTAGATGACATGACGCACTGTAGATATAATTGGCATACGGGCGGAGATAAACAGTGGGGTTGGCCTTCCAGAACAAGGTATAGATAGTACAGGACTGCCTATCGGACACCTTACCAAGGTTCTGGAGACTGGGCGGCCTACAGTAGCAGGTTTTGCGTCCTGATAATTTATAAACATGGCCATGTGTTTCTGGCACGTATGCTGCGGCGCGTGTGGCTGCGGCCTGCCCCTTGCTGGGGAGGATATTGATATTCTCACGCTCGGGACCGGACGAGGTCTCCTGGCTACACTGACAGACTGATTTGAACAAGCCACAGAGCAGATACTGTAGTGATGGGAACGAGTCAAAGCGATCGCTTCGTCTTACCCTGACCAGTGAGGCTTGTAGGTGTTAATAAGCCCAGGGGATACCCCGATCAGGCAAGTCGATCTCTCTTGTGTGGACGTTTCGACTAAGAAAGGGACCAGGCGGGCCATACGGGAAAACTGGGGTGTGGTCGAAATTGGCGTTTTGGAACTTTGGAATGAAGGACTGCAGCAGCAATAATACATGACATATAGATTGAGGCACTTTCAGCCTGTGTGGACGTCCCAGCCTCCAGGGGAACTGTGGTGGTTATCTGATCTCATGGGTCCTCTCATTCGGGACATCGACTGTTCTTAACTCCAGAGCGACATATACTGCAATGAGATGCAGAGCAGACAGTCGACTTTCAGTACCTTTTGCGAGACAGAGGACTGTGAGTCTAGAGAGGGGCACAGGTGAGGGCAGGAACATGTCTTGGAGTTGGTGGGGCTGAAGAGGGGTAAAGTAGGCAAGATACCTAAGTACCTAGGTAGAGAAGGGGGCTAAATTCCTAATAGGGACCGCTAGTAAATCATAGGCCGAAAGATGACATGGTGAGAAGTGCGAGAAGTGTGAGACGGGAGTTTTCATTTCCAGGTTCACTCCTGTTCGACATCAGATGACATTTGGCTACCATCACCGAATTTCACCTCACCAGAGTGCCTGGAGATAGGGTTCGAGTTCCCGCATTGCCAAAGCGCCCGTGGGCCGTTGATTCGACCGACTGCCACCCCTGCCGTCCCAGCGCTGGCCGCTCCCTCAGCCCTGCTGTTCCTGTCTCAAGCTGGAATGTCATGTCATCCATTCACTGCAGGTCAGGGAGCAATCGACTCTTGGTCCAAAAGTCTTGCACGGCCACGCGACCTGTATCTGGACGCTCTTTCACTCCTGTCCTGTCCTCTCCTCTCCTCTCCTTGCTTTTCCTGTCTCGGTCTGCTCACCTCTCTCGGTCTGCCTGCGCTGCTCACCTCTCAGGCCGGGCGACGCGCGTAATAAACCCCAGCGGCTGTGTGTCCAGTGTCGAGAGGTGAGTGCGTAGCATGCGGGTATTCAACCCCCTGGGCCTTGGCCGTCATTGTTTGTGGTGCCTTGACACGAAGTAAGCAGGGTAGATTACACGCATGAAACCTGCAGCAATGCAACGCCACTGTTGCTTTCGGTCCTCGACCGTTGCAGCCAGGACGGGTTGGAGTATTGTCGTTGCTGCGTCGCCAGGCCTGTCCTGTGCTGACTGTTGCCATGGAGAGCTGGCGCGAGCGCGACAGGTCGGTCTGCCTCACTGCGATGTTGTCGCGGCTCCGGGCTCACAGGTTCTCGGCCGATATTGCCATGGGACGCGTGATAACATGGCCAGGAACTTCCCGGCCACGTGCTTGGAAGCTTCGAAAGGCCGAGAGGGCGTGACGTGACGTGAGGCGGACGAGCTGTGCAGCTTTTCACTCGGGACAGGACAGCCACGTCGAGACGCTCCAAGGTTTCGATGCCAATGGGAAAAACCAGGGTTTCATCGCGACATAAGTTCCCGATGGTACATCAATCCCTGCGTAGAAGCCACGCGTCTGTGGAACGGGGTCACCATTGACCGGTCCCGTTTTGACCGCCTTGACGATTTCGACGAAGGGGCAGACATTTGCAAATGTGGTCGAGGGAACTTCGTATTCGGGCAGGACGTCACGACTGTTCCCAAGCGATCTGCACAGCTTTGTGGCGACGACCTATGACAGAAGTATCTGCCTTCCCGCTTCAACAGCGTGACACGTAACGGTTCGCAGAGTCCGTATGCATGAGATCTGTCCGAAAGCAGGCAGACGCGACCTACATAGATAAACACAAACACAACGCGGTTGCATGGGCACTGCAGCGATTGCCGGCGATCTGTCTATCCGGGTTACTCAGCACGCTGCGGCCTTCTCTCGTGAAGCACGGGGTCTCGTATGGGCCATTGCTCTGAACGTGTCGATTCCCGATTCCTCGTTGATGAGAACAGCTCCAATCCGTGTAGGTTACCGGGCGGTCCCGTGCTACGACGAAGGTCAGATACGAAGCACGGGATGCCTGCCCGAGACTATCTACCATGTACCATCATGACGAAAAGGGCAACTCCGAAAGTAGCCCAGGAACTTCTACTACTCCCGTCCACCTCATTTCCCAGATCTTGACCGAGAAGCCGAGATCATATCCAACAAAAGGGTAGGATTGATCTTCCATGATCTATGAATAAATCTCACATTTGTCTACATTGTACAATGGCTGGATGGCTGAATGGGGAAAGCAGGGCTGTGAAATGGCCAATCAGCGTGGACCCCCGTCTTGGGTGCCAAGCACCGTTTCAAACTCGCCCGATGGTGACGCTCGTCGCTGGCGGGCCTGTAGCACACCCCTTTTCGTTACCTAGGGAGAGGCTTCGATGTTGTGACGTCTGATGAATCCAGTGTCCTCCAGACTCCAGAGTCTTGCCTTACTTTATTAGCTGGCTGATGAGATGATGCATTTGAGGAGGACTGAGATAGGGTGATTTGGCAAGCCACTCACCAGCCCCTTCAGCCCCTTCCAGCCCCTTCCAGCCCTGCGAGGATCAATCTCGGTTCAATTCCGCTTCGGCTGTCCTCTAGCCTATAGGATCGCTTCCTCGCGCCGGATTAGGTTTCATGTCCAGACGTGGCTCTGTGGCGCATGCGCTGCCTCCAGCTGCGACCCGCCAGCGCCCGCTGCCCGCTGCTAGGCTTCAGGCTTCAGCACTTGCCCAGGGGAGGGGAAGGCCTTGGAGTTGCCTGATTGGGAACTCCTGAAACAGCGCTTCTAATCTCCAATCTCCATCACTTCCGCTTCTTCGATGCGATCGACGCAATCTGGGAATGTTCATCTCGGAGCCTCCCTCGCCTCCCTCGCCTCCTACCACATAGGCGGGATTTCAGCTGAACGGCTGAACACCATGACCCGATATTGTCTACTTGTGGAGCACCCCGAGCCCTGCAATCTTGAATCTACCCAGCCAGCATTAGCAAGGCCAAGCTGGGACAAACAACTACATCTTTGCAGGTCCGGTCAAGTCCCTGGAACGGCCAAGGAACGATGCCAGGTGCCATCAGCCATGCCGTTTACAACGCCAGGCCAGGGATGCGGGCAGCGATACGGTTGTAGGTAATTGCCTCTGTCACCGTCGAATGCGGTTATACGAATCGTACCGACAACAGCTTGACTGCGTCCTCCGCACCCTCCCGCTGTCATAGCCACCACTTCTTGATACGTTACGAGCACCATTTGACCGACTGTTGTAAAGATAGGCGCAATGTTCACTCAAGTCAATGGTCTGACGGTCCACCTAGCTGGTAGCAGAGCTTTCTTCGGCCAGGATCAGGTCGGCTCGACTCAAGCACTTATGATGCCTTCCTCATTACTCCAAACGGATGACCTATCTGAGGCCGCTGGTACCATTACTGGACCGCACTACGCCCCAACGCAAAGTGCTTCCTCATCCCGGCCTCTCTTGACTGTGCTGCAGCTTCCGGGTACGGCCCAACTCCTTCAACAGGGAAAAAGCGGGATCCCGCAGCTGCCTGCTCCCACCCAGGCCAGTGGCTCATTCTCGTCGCCTCGTGGCTACCGGCATCTGATGCTCTGCCAGTTGTAGAATACATTTTCCGACCAACACGAGCTGTCACGCTTCGAGATACGGCTCTGCTTCCTCACCGTGATGTGTAGGGGCGGCTAATATTGCCTCGTCCAAAGTATCACGACTCGCTAGTCAGGCTAAGGAAAGGCACTGTTGCGACCCGCGAGCCGATGTCGACGCGTGCTAGCGGCTGGCCTAACGATAGCGTTACTTGTCAACGGCCGAGACCTAAAATCTTCCGGTCTGCTAGTCTGGTGCAGATAGGATTTGAGCCTTATCACGGGGAGGGGGGGCTACTCGCCAGCCAAGTCGTCCGTGATCAAGAACGGTAGGCTTCAGCGCCCTAGATATAATCGAGGTAACACCCGCATCGCTTGCATTTGTACGGCCCCTACGAGTTGGCTGACTGGCGGAAACGTACAACGGACTTCCACGAGCCATGCATTGCGTGGCTGGCCGCCGAAATCTGCAGGATACATCAGACGGTGAAGGCGGTAGACGGCATGGCGAGCAGGGGTTCCCAAAACCATCCCTGAGTCGCCGTCCGATCACGAACTTATCATTAGTGCATCTCTATGCTATTCGATGGAGCTATCCAAGAAGCCACATCTTGCTAGCAATCGATCCTAAGATGACCTGCGGCACCGGGGCTCTTGGCAGTCTGAAAGAGCGCAGTACCTTTTGTTACTGTGTTGAAGCAGTCCCTACTCCAAAGCAGTGGGGTGATATATGCACGAGTATACGCCTTAGAATTCGCGAGCCTGTGGTCTCGTTTCTGTGCGTTGGCAAATGTGGTCGCACATCTCTATCCTACTTCCGTGCTTGGTACTGCCATCAGCTGGGAAACACGAAAAGGGAATGGCATGTGTCGGTGTCATCTGATCTTGGTGAGGATGGCCATTCCATGATGCCGGCTCCGTGGATGACCCCTGAATAACGAACTAACCAACTAACCTTATGACGAGTACCGCAAGTTGGTTGGACGCGTATCTAGACCGTGTCTATACCAGGCTAGATTTCGTCCCAACTAGCAACCTAGACGTACCGTTCGGTCCGTTCCTGCAAGGCAACGCACACTCCAATCATGGGATAGCCATCTATCTGCACCCCTGATTTGACTCTTTATGTTCCAGACGCCCGACGGCGGATTTGGCCGCTGCTCCAGGAAAGGTCCAAGCGACTAGCTATGTACGTGTAAGCACCACGAGGCAACCTTAGTCGACTACTTGTCGCGGCCTTGGTGCGCCACCACGGCATGCAGGCATCCCGCTGTGAGTCTGATATGCGGTGAACACGCCGATCCGTCGACTTCTGTCTCGTTACTGTCTGAGGCTGCAGCATAGGCATAGGCCCTAAAGTAGCCCCTTAAGCCACATTCGCCTCCATGGCACGTTTTGCAACGCGATACGCTACCTGCCGCATGAGCTGCGAGTAGTTCGTGGGCTAGCCAAGTGGTACCGCATTGGGACAACGGCCGACAGACCGCGAAGCCCACAGATTATGTCAGGCTCATTTTGTCAGGCTTGAAGAATCGCAGCTAGTCTGTCGGTTCTAATGGTCGGCGGCGGCACTGCTGAAAACAATCACATCGTCTCAATCTTGATATATTTCCTGATAGGATTCTAGACCATATTATCTGCCCAAGCAGGCTAATAAAGAGACTGTGTAGCCCAGAGCTGAACAGGCCCGGTGAGGCTCATCACCTGGGGGTCTTCATTGGGCAAGAGCCTTCTCCTTCCTCCCTTGGAGAAGGATCACGAGGCAAACTCCGTCATCAATGCCAAGTGCTCCGCCCAGTTCCGCGGCGGGCAGTTGGTGCTGATCGCCTGACTCGGGCGAGGATACATGGCAGGGTTCCGCTTGGGACCTCTTGAAACAGGAAGGGAGATTTCCTCTCTTTGCTTTTTTCCCTTGTTTGTCATGTCCCCTGTCCTGCCCTTCGGGCTGGCATAAGCACCTCGACACCTCAGCACCTGCCCCGAGGCTTCCAACTTGTGGGGGCCTTCAGCTGGAAATAGCATTGGGCTATGGGACTACGGACGTGAAGGATGTAGCCATAACTCCTGGCCCAGAAGTTGATACATGGCATGTAAGGCGGCAGGAGAGTACAGGTCATTCCGTCTTTCTATTATCACAATGATGCTTGCTTGCCTTAAGGGGGTTTTCGGTTCCTACCGATCAGTGCCGTCCTACAGCCTCTGTCACACTGCCAAATTTCCTCATCACACGTAGTATATCGGATGCACGCGTTGACTTCAGGTGCTATAGACCGAAGTGAAGCAAAACGGTTCATACACTTGGGTTGCTACGTCTATGAGATTGATCATGAACGAACATATGATGGGAGTCCTCCGCATGGCTCGGAGGTGAGGCTGGCTCAAGACTCGGGCAGCGAGTACGGGCTGTCGCTGGAGTTCCAGTGTTTCTATCATACGAAGAAAATCGCAGGTTATCAAGAACACGCCTCAGCTGTAGTCGTGAATAGTTACCGATATTCCCGTGGGATGTGTTACAGTCGCACTCGGGCTGAGACGCCACGCACCGAGCGTGAGCGAACCCTCCGAGGTGACACAGGATATGGTCGACCCTGCGACATCATCAGTAGGGTGAGTCAGCTACCGTGTGCAGTTTAACATAACTCTCCTGGGCGAAAAATGAACATACTTCCGTGAACCGGTCGTGGATGTTACCAACCGTGTGGGTATAATACACGACCCTGGGGTGCTGTGATTTGCACACCATGCTAGTCACTCCGATTGACCATATCATATCATGTATCCCCTTTATGCATGCGTATCTACTGCGGCCAGGCTTCTACTCTAACACCATATTGAACTCTGGTTTGATCATTTCCATCTCCCGCTGCGTCGGCAAGTTCACGACCATCAAATACAAGGCATCCTGCTTGGACAGTCGCTTCAGTGGATGTATGTACGGCGCGACACTTCAATGGACGCCTGGAGTGCTATAGGAACACGAAGAAAGCGATCAGTAGATCTTGATTTAGTCTCCATGAAAGGTATCATTGGCATGTTCTGAAACCCAGTTTAGAACCCGAAGCCAGACCGAGGTAGAGCTGTGGGATGGGGGCTGTAGTGCTCGCTGGACGTACGGTGAGTCCTGAAAGTGCCTGTTGACATGACCAGCAACTACGATCAAGGTGTTGAGGACACGAAACCAAGAGCTTGCTGTAATGCTCTTCTCGAGGCCATTGAGGGTATCAAGACAGGCTCCTTGATCAATCTTTGCGTCCTTGCAGCACAGCAGCATAGGCTCGTACGAAACCTTGACGTCGTGATGCCGGGGGAATATAACTGGCTTGGGTGAATTGCCCACGTGTTGCTCAGTGGAGTAAGGGGTACGATGATGGCGCGCAGCGAATTGTTTCAACAGCTACAACGCAACGATGCCCGTGGTGCCTCAGAGCCCGGTGTTCCCAGCTCAAAGACCACCTCGACATGTTCTGGCCATGTTGGAGCCCGCTGCTGACGAATTCCGCCGCGTCAGGAATGATAGACTGCTTGGTATATGTCGATGTTGATGACGGACGCAAGCTCTGATTTGTGATTGCCTACACCACCACCCAGGATCCCCGGGGTCAGGAGTGCGCCAGGGAGTGGGAAATCTTGTGCCGCTGGTCATGCTATCGGGATGCAAAAGCACAGTTCATGGATAGCTGCTATTTCTATTTATTTCACGGCGACCAAGTGAATTCTTCCATTGGAGTGTTGGCTCTCGGAATTGCGCCGCCGGCTCCCTGGACATGGCTCCCGTGGGTAGACGATCGGCGCTCGGCCAATGGCAGGCACAACTTCAGCTGTTACAACGAGAAAGACTCACAAAGTACCACGTACTGGCCAAAACAGTGTGGTGCCCTTGGACATATTCTGCAGGGCTCTGCGTACTTCCTGGCCACATGGACGCCGGCAATAGACAACACATAAGAGCACTTTGGCCGGGCCATGTGTTGTTGATCTAGCGAAAGACAACCTCTTCAAGCACGCTTCTTGCAGCCGCAACGGAGATTCCCTCGTTGAGAGCATGACAGTAGCCCGTACCAACCATCCGGTAGACCTTCTTCTCGTCCCGCATCTGGTCGGTGGGCCGCAACACGAATGGGAGCCGTGACCCGGGGCATGTCGCAATGATATCATTCTTCTACACGTTTCATAGCACATGACATACATCGTTGTCCTCCGTCATGCATACCGTGCTGTCGACCATGTGTCCCGCCAGCGAAGTCAGGAACCGTTGCCGTTCAAGCGTCGTAGGAACCCCATTTGCTTCGTCCCTGACGTTTATCTTTACGACAACAACATGATCAACAAGGCCAGCGAAGGTCTTGGCGTAGTCGGGAGGCGCTGCGAGCCCGCCATCCACTCCGCCGTTGACAACACTGTTACGGACCAGTGTTCTCCAGAAAGCCTCGAAAACGTCGTCAGCCCACGAGTGACCATGAAAATTCGCAACCAGCTTGACAGCAGCGTCGATTTACCATGATATCTGTGGATCCTCCTCGGGATTCCCTGTGTTGCTTCTGCTCCTAGGGGTGGTGTCGAAATCCAGCAGGGAGGTAACTCTGCCCACGTTGTGTATCTGCACAAAGAAGCCGGCGCCCTCGAACGCGAGAGGTTGCAGATAGCCCGTGACGTCACCTTTGCCCGCGGAAAGATGAGCCCCGGGGTACTGGGCAAGTGTCTGGGTATAATCTGGTACCCACGATGGCAAGTCCGGCATTCGATGAGGCAGACCCATGCCTCCAGAGTATATCAAATCAAAAGCATCATTTCTCTCCGTCCATCCCGCTGTGGCTTCCGTAAAATCTTTGACAGCCGTGTTCGCGGGCCGATAGTCCGGTTTGATGTCGTTCAGGTCACCAACAGATCTTGCACCGTGCAACATCCCAAGCACACCGTATATCCTGTCTCTGGGATCCGCCGCGGTAACCGCATCGCAGTTGTATAGAGCGTAAGATAGGTCACACTGCCAACCGTGAACTGCTCTCATACGATTCTCCCTCAGCCGGGCGATCTTCTTGAGCGTTGATATGGCGATCCACGTATTCGTATCACCACTCTCGATGATGGTCGCGAGATCTGACCGGTGAACCCAGTCTCCTAGTTTGTCGATGTCTTCCCACTTGAGCATGGACTTTTCCCATACGAAGTAGAGATGCTCAGACAGTACTGCTTCCTGCATAAGCCAGAGCCTCCCAAACCATGGCCGGGTAAGATGCTCTCTGAGAGTGGCCCACTCGCTGCTTCCCCAGATCGACTCGCTCTCCTGTAGAAGCTTTTCAAGTGAAATCCGGCCAGCTCGCCATTGGGCTGCGGTCGTGGTAGTCGATCAAAGATAGCCTCGAGCCTTTCCCAAAAGCTCATGGCCAGCGCTGTTGTAGGCAGTTCGGCGCCCGCGTACACGATTGCTTCGGCCGCGAGGGAGTAAATCTCGCCCATTAGCTTTACTTGCACGTTCTTCTCTTCAACATCAGTCTGGTTAAGACAAACGTAGTTCAACCATATCCACTTGTCCCTAATCCAGCCATTTGCTCGCAACGACACCAGCATTTCTACCGCTGATCTCGGCATCTTAAGGCGCTGGTAGGAACCGACCGAGCTGAGCATATCTGGTGGCGTGTCATGGTGCTCTTCCACTTGCCTTATGTGAAGAGGCATTAGGTCTTTCTCGTCACCCTATCTGTAAGACAATGCAGTCCAACGGATATTTTCGGGCTTGTCGTGTTTATTCGCGTGTAAAATGCTGCATCGCACTTCGCTGTTATCCCGAGAGATGTTGTCAACCCGAAGAAGACGGATATAGCCTGGCCCTTCTAGATGTCGGTATCGGAATGGCCCTTCGGCCATAAGGGTGTGTTTGGTAGAGGTCAACAACGTCTGCATCTCAGATCTTCCTTGCTGACATGCATCTGGACAGTGATCGGTTCGATAATGAAGCTCGATGGCCACGCTGAGAAGACGGAGGGTGTAAGAGTCGCAGACACATGCGAAGGTGAAACGCAGTACCCCATGCCACAGCATCATCAGCCGCAGCACCGTCCATCTATTGGCTGAGCGCACCACACGGCAAGAATCATGTCAGGCTGTAGGATTCATCGGGCGAGCGATTTAGATACCGAAGCGATACGAAGACCTATAGCCACATCAGCTTGTCTTCTCAACATGCACCGGACACTGGCTTGAGCGCACCTGAGCACGGACTTGTTGACCGGTCCAAACCCGGTCGTCTTTATGATATTCCTGAGTTGGCGGTATTGCTGCTCGACTTGGCCGACCGCCGTCCAAAGTCAGGACGGGCACAGATATAAGAGGCTATAGACCCTATATGCGCCGCTCCGGGTGTACACACGAGCATGTGACCCACGGCCCCTTGACCGACCTGCTAGCGAGAGATCCGATGCCGACCGGATGTCGACCTGTTGCTTCCTAGTATAGGTCTATACGACGGAAGGAGATTGAATAAGTGAGGTCGAGATCCAGCTCCGAGTTGCCGTCGGTGCGGTCCTGATCGACGACCCTGAGGAAGCGCACGGTGGGGTCGCGCAGGAGGTGGCGCTTCTGCAGGGCGAAGGCGTATGCGGTGAGTGTCTGGGCTTCGAGGGGGAGGACTTGGAGAGGCATGCTGGCTTTGGGAGTACGGGATAGACTGGGTACACATCAGTGCCGTGGAAAGGGATTGCGGTAAGTGTAGATGCTTTTCTTGACTGTCTGCCTAGGTAGGCTCCATACCTCTCTCCCCACTCGACTCGACATGTTGACTCCACCTGAAGGGCTCGCCGCTCTGGGTTTCGTTTCTGCCATCGACCATCGCCTCTGATTACCCCTGGCCATCGATTGTCTGTACTTCATATCCGGGATCTGGTATGGCCTATCCTACCGCTTAGTAAAGAGGAATGCATAACGTCACCGTACTCAACATGCTGTATGAAGCTATTGCCAAAGAATACTGGCGCAGATAAGCTGCAAACGGATGACATGTTCCGAACGCGCAAGGTCATCGGAAGGTAAGCGTGATGTTACATTACTGTACACGCATCAGGCTCCTCCCCCTCGGCTTCATCTGCGCATTCAGCCTGTCGCCCGGCTCCTCCAAGTCCTCCCAGTAGATGTGGTTCATGAAACCGGCCCGTGGGTTCTGGAACTCATCGGCCATCACCCGCAGGCACTCGTCGTCCTGCACTTCCAGGGCCAGGCCAACGAGCCCAACCCTGGGAAATTCTTTCACCAGCGGGTCGTCCGTCTCGTACACCTGCACGTAAAGTGGGTTCCGTATTGCTTTCAGTCTGTTCTCGAACTGCGCGAACTGTAGCATCATGCGCGATGTGACCCAGACGTAGTTCAAGCTGGACAGAGGCCGGTTTCCACCACATATGTCGCGAAAAATGTCCCACTTCAGCGTTCCAGGAGGTCTGTTCCGCCGAGCTCATCTGGTTTGCGTTGCTCGTTCGCGTGGACTGAGCTTCCGGATCTCTCGCAGTACTCAGACGCATAATCCTTTTGCGCTTGTGGGATATCCGTCATTGATTTCATACGGCTCACCGATGAAGACAGGCCCACCAAGGCCTCCTCGCTGATGCCCTCAGCTCTTGCCCGACAGACCAGGTCCGTGTCTTCTAGTCGCCTCTTCCCCGTCGTCGTATAAAGGACCTGCTGTGTTTGGGATATGCGGAGCATGCCCAGTACCGAAGAGGCAGTAACATCCTTCTCGGGAATGCGATCGGGGTCCCATTCGGCTTGACGATAAAGGAGGAGCTCGGGTTTAGCCTTGAAGAATAAATTCCATTCTGTGTTTAGCAATCTATGAATGTCTAACGCAGTGCGTGCTGTTGTACGTGCTGCTGACCGATGCCGACGGTAAACATGAGGAGCCATGCTAATCCTCGCTTGGAGAGCCTGGGCAAAGTCCGAGGTAGGCGGTTTACCATCAGCGAACCACGCCTTCGGAAATAGGTCTTCCAAGCTGGCATACAAGCCAACAGGCTTCGCTATGTAACCCTTCTGGACTAGCATGTTGTGCAGATGAATAAGCAGGATGGGTTCGGGTATTCTGTCCCACACCATCATGCCTAACACGTACGCCAGCTCGAGGGCTTCCACCAGTCCAGTGCCACACAGATAAGGAGAGTATTCCCATAGGCCATTGAAGTTGGAGCCGGAAAAACGAGAGGGAGGTATTGTGTTCAAGCCATTCATGTACTTGGATTCACCCAGCCATTCGATGAAGTCTTCTTGAGCGATTTTGAGAATTTCGAAATGCCGCTTATGACGTTCAGGATCGCCGTGCGTAATGCCATCCTTCTCGAAGACTTGCTTCAAGATATCGACTGCTTGCAGGAATCCATTCTGAATCCTTTCGTTCTGACGGTCCAGAAACAGGTCGACATCGCGCCGTGGACGAAATGCACGTGCTGGCGGTTGAATGACTGCGGAAATATTAACGTGTCGTCCCCTTACCAAATGCACCACTTCAGAATAACGAGGGAGAAGGGGAAGGTCCTTTCGATCCCAGGAATTTCGGGATCCGTGAACGAGAGAGATCTATACGTACCGTGGCCTCTGAGGCCGCTCAGCGACCATCCACGCGAAACCGTCAGTGTGTCAACAATGCACTGCAGCTGATATACATGATGCGGAATAATCCTCTGACGTACATCTGTACCTGGCTTCTGCATGGCAAGAGTGGTTACGACGCCAGCGAATTCGTTCAGACCGAAGAGTCTGCGATGTTGGTCCCATGGACCCCGGGTGGACCAGTCAACTCTTTCGTATACCCAATGCTGACCCTTCAACGTGTTGCGCTCGACAACAATAGAGGAAAATATGTTGACTAGATCGTAAAGCCAGTTGATAGTGCATGAGCGACGCCACTTGAGCCTCTGTTCCTTACTCGCCCGCTGAAGATCCAACTCGGGATCCTGTTGAATGGCGCGCAAGCCACCGTGGCGTCCAGGGAGGTGGCAGTGCACCAACAAGGCCAATAGGGCATTTTTGGGCCACGTAGCCCACAGAAGGATTCTCACGAAGATACAACAAGAACACGGATTACACCAGAATATACGTTTTCACCCATCTAAATGCCCCCACGCTCTGTTTGGACAGATCCCAGTCGCGTATATCAGCCATCATGGGCTTGGTCGGCTTGCCACTTCGAGTCTTCTGGAAGTCATACACAAAGTCGATGAGGTCTCGATATGCGTGTATCATGAACTGTTCCTTGAGATCGATTGCCGTTTCCCGGACTTTATCGGGTTTGGAGGAACCAAGGGGATAGGCGTGCAGCGCAACGGTGAAGTTCCCCTGCGCCTTCTCCACATTGCCTCGAGTGAGGGTTTGCATGACTGTCTCATAGGAGTCGTGGCCAGGGAAGTCAACAAAGATGGAGGACTCGATTCGTTTGACCATCCCAACGGCGAGGCTCGATACTTCTCCGGCAACCGCACTGTTGAGGCCGTTGTAGGCAACATCCTGCCAGAGATTCTGTAGGTACCTTCGAAGATCGCACCACTCCTGAGCTAGTGCATATACCGCCATCAGATAGTCGGTCATGATGCCGTTTTGGTCCTGGATGATGCGGTAACTTTCCAGAGGTACCTCGTCCAGGTCTCGTTCGCGAGTGGCCGCGGGCTTCTGCTTCCCCTTCTTCGCCCCCTTGCCCTTCTTGCCTTTCTTGCCTTTCCCTGAGTGCTTCTTCTGCTGGCGTCGCTGTGGGGCTGTTGCGATTTGAGGGTTCTGATCAGAACCTTCCCCGTCACTTTCATCACCTGCCTCGTCACCATCTGCTTTCGTCTGATCGAGACCGAGGGCAGAAAACTGGTTCACAAAGATGACATCTTCGATGTTGTCACCAGCTTCAGACTTCGCGTTCCCCGAGCTCTGTTGTGTCAGCCATGCTGGCCCACCTAGCGCATTGAAAGCTTCGGTTAGAGCGTCGATGAAGTGCTTGTGAGAGGCATTGCTCTTCTCGACATCCGGATCTGCCTTGTTGGCGGTGGCCTGCTTGAAGACATCATAGGTGGCTGTCCTCGCTTGAATGACTGACTGGAGCCAGTGGTAGATGAGTGAAGGAATGGGACGTATGTGCTCTGCGACCAGCTTGGCCATGGAGACAAGGCCCGCCACGGTGGTCTGACCGTCGGTGTTCAGTGCATTCTTGGGCTCCCTGGGTTCAGAAGATGGCAAGGATCTGATGACGCTGTTTGACGTATGTATCATCCAGTACAAGAGATATTGGGTGTCTCGCTTGTATGAAAGGTAGGCGTTATGCGAAGCCATGGTGCTCCAAACCTGTGCAGGTCTTGATGCCTCTCTTTCCTTAGGCGTCCTACAAATGGTGACACGGGCAGAGAGTCAAACGCGTGAATGAGCTACCACTTGAATGGTTTCAGGGGAATGCTACCAGCCAGAAACCAATCATCTGGTGGTTGAAGATATGGGACTCGCTGGCCCTGATTAGTACCAGGGAACTTTGAATAACGCAGCAGAGGCCAATTTCGGAGAAAAGCTTAAGAAGATGATACGCGTCGGAGTCGAGAGGCTAGAGGCTAGATAGAGTAAGGGCCTAGAGTGAGTCCACCCAGTGTTTGCACAGTACTTACACAGTAGCTGCACAGTATTGGTACAGTACTTTCCTAAGCGGCGTCCGGGCTTCCCAAGCCGGGCTGGCCGGCCGCGCCATGACTACCACCAGCTCAGGGCGGCGTGGACGTGTTCCGGCTTGCGTCCGAGACCGCACTCTCAACAAGCTCGGTCGTCGCAGCCGTGGTCCAGGTGTAGTACTCTATCCATACTTTGTGGGTTTGATTACCTCACATGCTATCGACAAAGGGCCATCATGTGACCCCCATGGATTCCAGAATATCCGCACCTCATCCTGGAGGATGTGCTAGGCCATAAACACACAACAGAAAGCCTTCACCGAATGGAGCTCCACACGCCACTCTGGATGGCCTCGATAGGCAGGACACAAGTGGCGATATGTATATATTTACACATCTGGGTCCTTCGCCGCGGTGTGCGGATCGAGAGGACCACGATCCTGGTTACCCATACGTCGTCATTAGATACGGAATGTAGCATCCTGCCTTCCATGCAGGCCACAACTTTTCAGGGTCCAGTGTCTGGGGCTTGCATCATCAACATATCTAGAAAGTTATAAAGGTCTCGAGGTGGCCCTGTGATGCCAAGCACCACCTCCGACTTCACAACTCGCAGACCATCCATAAGGTACCTAGTTCAGACCGGTCTCAGTCTATCCGACTTGCTTCCCCATTTCTCGGGCCCCCGTCATCTGACAGTACTTCTGCAATGCGTTTCTTTATCACACTTGGCGTGGTCGTAGGCTGGCTAGCCATGAGCGCAATAGCGGCCGGCATTCCCGAACCGGCCACTGAACCGGACAACCCTAACAGCTGGGTGCTCGAACAGTAATCCCTCCCTGCCCATCTCACCGAAATCTACAACATGCGCTAATCTGGCTTCCAGACTGATGAACTACCCCTGGACGAGCACGGATGACCTAACGACCAGCGGCAAAGATTCTCGCGATTGCTCCGAGATGCACGCTACCGACAAAACGAAGGCAATCCGATTCCAAACTAACGACTGCCTCTTGCTGCTCTTTAGCACCGAAGAGAATTGCGAGCATGGGACAACCACCTACGTGAAACATGTGAAAGACCATGAATGGAATACGTTGTCGAGGAAGGAGATACCAAAAAAGTATCCCTGGAGTAGGCGCCAATTCGGGTGGTACAAGTTCCACTGCTCTTGAAGCCCTGGGCTTGGGGCGGCGTGGCGTCAGGGGAAAACACTATTACACACCCCGGGGATAACTGTCAGTAGCCGTGATCATGGGGTCGAATCAGGGGTATCAATATGACTAGCAGTTCACGTGGGCTCGGGGGCTCTGCTTTTCTTGTATTTTAGGGCATTTGGGTTTGGTTCTTCCCTTGCGGTCGAAGAGCTTGATAATAAAAATAAAATCGACTTGCAGTTCATCAAAGCTGTGATACCATTACTCGAACGTGATGCAGTTATGACTATCTCAAACCCACATTACCGCCCTGGAAGAATTCCAGACCGTGTAGTAACACCCCCTCGACGCTAGCGTACGTAGTGATTACCATGCCTTGTACATCCATCCTGGTGGCACTTGTCGCATGAACAAACTGAAACCCCTCACGCCTGCATCTCAAACATAAGCTTCTGCCGTACCTCAGGTAACGGATACATCATCCCGCCCACCGTCGTCGTCGGGCTCAGCTCGCTGACCGGACTGCCGACCCCGGCCGACGCAGTGCCGCAGCTGCCCCCCAGCTCGGGCAAGTGTCGCTCCTGTCGGCCCCCCGCGTCGAGCTCGGACTGGCGTTGTGCTCCCTCTGAAGCGGACGTGGCAGTGCCGTCGAGTTCCGGCTTGCCGCCGCCGAAGGTGTCGGCTCCCCGGTGGTGCTCGGGCTGAGGCGAGTAGCCGCGCGCAGCCAGTGTCAGACGCTTCTTGCGCCGGCGGTAGAGGAAGAAGAACAGGACGAATAAACCGATGACGAAGACCAGACCGCCGGCTGCTATGCCGGCTAAGGCGCCTGTGGACAGTGTGGGATCGTTGCTCTTGGTCGTCTCGCTCGAAGTAGCTGTCGGCGGGCCGCTCGTCGTGCCAGTCGTCACCATTGCGGTAGTAGGGACGTCAGAAGACAGCGACCCGACCCTCGTCGTTCCAGACATCTCTGAGAAAGAAGCTGTTGTCGTCGTCGTCGGGGTTGCCGTCGATGACGCCTTCACGGTCGGCGCCAGCGTGAGCTGCAGAGGAAACACCCGGTGGTAGACACTGAGGCCGAACTGGGCAGGCTCGCTCGTGATGGCCGCCGTCCAGGTGAAGTGCTGCGACCGCGTCTCATCCGTGTACGGCGGGTCCCAGCTCATGAATATGTCGGTGGCCTCGGTCAGCGTGCTGATGCACAGGCGCTCCTCAACCGTCTCGCCGGGGTAGCCCAGCCGCGACGTGCACGCCCAGCCGCCGGGCGGACAGCACCACGCCTGCGAGTAGGCCTGGCCCTGCTGCGTGACGGCTGTAGTGCAGGCGGCGGTCCAGTCCGCGATGCACGCCGTGCCCTCGTAGGCGGCCGTGGCCAGCGCGGCGTCGTTGGTCGCGTCGCCCATCCCGCTCACGGGCTCGCCTGACTGGTCGGGGAACAGGCTGGCGTAGCCATCGGGAAAACAGGCCGTGTTGTGGCCTATGTACTCGGTTTTGGACTCTTTGAACTTGTGGATGGCCTGGCATTCCTCGCCGGAGAGGGCGTGCTTTGAGGTGGATGTCGCCTGGACGTAGGCGAGATGATAATAGGCGTAGCAGTAGACCGACAGCTCACAACCGGGTGGGGGCACGAAAGGAGTCGTCTGAGGAGGCAGGGTCAGCTCGTTCGCTAGGGATTTCGAGACCGTGAGGCTGGCCTTGTCCAGCGTCGCTCGCCCCGTGACTGTCGCCATCTTTCAAACTGCGTCGTGGGCGTTGAAACTTGCTGGCCGTGGAGGACAGCCCGAGACAATCCGAGGGCCCAAACTCAGCGGCCCTCCCATGTTACAAGTGACAGCCCACGTGGCTGAGTTTGTTTGCTACCTGGACGTATCACTCCGTGCAAACTAGTGGGCTCAAGGATGTATGTCTGTGGACGAAAAAGCACGCAGTTTGTTTGTACTCTGTGTGACGCATAACATCCAGGGGCGGAGATGGGAAGAGCTGGCCAAGGCCAGGGCAGCGCCAGATTCAGAGGCAGTGCTGGGCTCAGATCAAGGTACTCATAGGTTCTCTTCTTGCCGGAGGAGATGGACGACTGCTTGAGATATTATCGTGGAATTACACAGCTGCTGAGGCTGGCATTGGCAAAGCCGTTACGCTGCAGTGATCGCGGTACACATATAACGACCCGAGGTATTTCGGCTAGGCACCGGCAATCAGTGTAATGATACGATGGCTCCAGCCATGCCTGTGTTCTGATTAGCGGTCAGAGCAGCGTGACGACGAAATCTTTATAAGTAAGTACTGACATCGCCTTGTACGTCACAATAAAGTATATAGAGGGCCGAAGCTGGAGCGACACAGAGGAAACGACCCATAGCCTCGAATTGATCTTGGAGGTGTTGATCCTGGCCTTTCTTGGCCAACGGCGCTCGAGAAGGGATGAAAACAATCGCGTAGCAGTTCGTGGATTAGCATGCTCGGAAGGAGGTAGCCGTTCAAAAACAAGGCCCGATGCTGCTGGAGAAGAGACGGGAGTTGAAGAAAGGAGTCCTCAATCGATACTCGAAAACTAAACAGGGGATACGTGAATTCCGAGCAAACTGTCTTCGAGGCCGTGTCCACCTGATTCAGCAGCAGGAAACCCATTCAGGTATGACCGATAGAATGAACCACAGGAAGAATCCATTACTCTAGTCCTTTAAGATGGCCCGACCACTTCCAAGTGAGGGGATAGTATGCCAACGCAAAGCCAAACCAACTTCGTTAGACACGTCGTGCGATGTATTGGCATCGGAATACAGCGTGTCGAAAGTGACGACTTTGAGTAGTAGAAGTAGTAGCGAACAATGTCGATCCACCGGTAATAGGATCATTGCAACCCATGACCAAGCTTATTCAGACTCCAACATCTTCCCAACGCCTCCGCAAACGAGTATCGGAACACCGACGAGGGATAAGCCGCCAGATACGCCGGGTCCATATCGTGAACCCAGCCGCCGACCAAGCCCGGCGAGCGGCAGCAGCAGCGGATCGACCACGCCATTATCTCCACCGTTCATCATCGTGCCACATCTGAAATGTTCCGACCGATACGACCTCCAGCCGCGGCGCCCGCCCGCGTCCTGCTAGAAAGCAGCAGCACCAGCAGCACCAGCAGCACCCCCGGCCGCCCCGCCCGCCGCGCCGCTGTTTCTCTGCTTGCGCTCGAGGTTCCAGATGTGCAGCGCCGACACGACAGCAATGACGGCCCAGCGCTCGCCGAGCACACCGCCGGCGCCAGACCCGAGGAACGCGAAGTGCATCGCCTTGGTCAGGCTCATGGAGCCCGACGCCCACACGGCCACGACCTCCTTCCCGTCGCTGGACTGCGGCCCGCCGCCCACGAAGCTGCTACCACCCACATGCATGCCGGCCGGCGCGTCGCTCGCGAGGCGCACGAGCTTCCACCCCCTGCTGCGTCCACCCAGATGCCCGATCTCGTCCGCGTGGCTATGCCGCCACTCGAACGCCTCCCGCCTCTCCGCGCCTGGACCCGTCCCCGTCTCGACCGTGAAACCTAGCTTCGTAGTCGGCCAGCCCCCCGAAGAAGTGAGAGCTTCCTCTACACCGTTGCCGGCCCCTCTCCCCGGCAGCGGCGGCAGCGTGATGGTACCTCCGCGACTGAAGGCCTTCCCGTCGACAGCCGCGAGCATGGGCGCGTCCTTGCTTGGTCCCGCGTGCAGCACCACGTCCGGCTGCCCGCTGAAGCCCGAGTGCAGCGACACGGTGTATAGCGGCGTGGCCTGGTGCTCGCCGATGGTGTAGTGGCGGCCGCTGAAGGCGGATGAGTTGTAGAGGTTGAAGGCGGGCGGGAACTGGCGGTTGATCTGTTGTGGTGGCTGTTGCTTTTGATAATGTTGTTGTTGATGGGGTGGCGCGTGCTGTGGAGCTGTAGTTGCTGGCGCGTACGGCGGCGGAGGCCCGTGGCTTTCCCCGAATGAAGCCTGCTGGTCCTGAGATAGCCTGCCCATGGTTGGCTGATGAGAGAATTCTCTCCGGTTTGAATGTAGGATTGCGGTCTGGGTAGAGGTAGGGCGCAGTTGCAGCACTCTGACCTAGGTAGCAGTAAGATGAGGTAGGATAGATTGTGATAAATGTGCGGTCCAAGATAGTCCTTCTACCTATGCGCCAGCAGGTAAGGAGGAATGGCCTTCATTATCATCAGATGTAGTTTCCAGCATTATCCTGATCGGCAGGAACTACCAACACCAACATTGACACAGCCTCAGTTGGGGTCATTCTTGATCCTTCGAGATCTATTATTAGTCCCCGCCCCGTTGATCTACTTGTAGTACATTTAGGCATCAGCTCAGCTCACCTCGCGACATGGAGCTGCGGAAGGAGTCGATCTGGCGATTTATTAGATTATCACACGCTAGGTAGTCATTGTGTTATACTTCATTTGACCTCTGCAGTATCGCTTGCTGAAAGCTGGGAGGCTGAGACGTCGATTATCGACCTACCTATTTATTACCTAGTAAGTAGCAGTATCGAGGACGCCTCCTCTCAGCCCTATCGCCAAGACGGCTGTGGCGGCATAGGCACATTATAACCTATGCAGACCCACCGGATTATTATCAGGGCGCTCGTGACGGTTCTCTGGATGACATTGGGAATCACATCACCCGCAGGAAGTAAACACACGAGCCATCTTGGATGTCTTAATTGTCATTATGAAGGTCTCTTTACAGGGACGCATACTTCAACTCATACTTCACAATCGAATCCGGTAGAATCCAAACCAGCCATTGCCAACCAAGCAATCCAAGCTCAACGACTGGGACCAAAGGTCAGGAGTTTAGGTAATGGCTCCTCACCTCCATTCCAACACACGCGTTTTTGTGAGCGCGTAAGGGTATAATGCGAAAAGCCATCAGAACCCAAACGCTCGCCAATAAAGCAAAACAAGAAAAACAATTATGGTGCCAGGCTCTTGTCGTGGCCTTCGACGGTGATATTAGGGAGGAAAGAAAGGGAATGGTGCATGTCCGATTGGACCAGTGCTCCTCCGGCAAGGCCCGGACATCTTCGTTCACCGACACAACAGCTGCGAACGCAACCGACTCTAGAAGCCCATTGGATGAGGTGACAGAGACCGAAGAGTGGCTTCCTAAACCTTCTTCTTCTGTTTACTCTGGTATCTCTTCCACTCGAGGTATACGATGTGGAGGAATCCTTGTTCGTCCTTGATAGGAACCCACGAAGTAAGGACCTTCATCGCATTTTCGAAATCTGAATCGATAAGACGGTCGTTGAGAGTGTCGATGATGGCGAGACTAGTGGCATGAAGAATCTCGAGTCCCTTGGAGGAAGGATGATCTGTAACATCCTTGCTGCTTGTAACACCGTTGGGTGTTTCCAAAGGCGAAGACCCGAGCAGTATGAAGACGTCCCACACACGAAGTTGGACCGCAAAGGGTATCGAGAGGTTGAACAGAGTCAGGTACCATCGGGTGGCATATGCGGTTGGGTCAATGCAAAGCTCATTCTTGAGTATGTCAGCTTTGGGTCTGCAAAGGCCGCTTGGAGTCGAAACCTACTAGTTTCTCAGCAACGTCTTTGGTACCCAACCAATGCGTCTCGAAGTCCTTCAATGCGCCCATCAACTCTTCGAATCCAGACTGATATATGCGGTTCAGCCCACGGTACTTCCAGAGACGAACAAGCATCACGAAGCATTGCTCTTCATCGTAGTAGCTGAGAAAAGTCGCAGCCAAAGGAGCCATGCCTTGGACATAGCCCGTGTCAGGAAAGTAGACGGACAGGGCGTGCAAGACTCGGAACAACAATCTCTGTCCTCCCCGATATCTTCTGCGGAACATGATGTGCTGGTTGATGGTCCTCGGCACATCCAGATCGATCTGAGCATCATCTGGTGACGGTTGCTCGACCAGGCGGCGGAAGTCAGCCTTGATCTCCTCGTCTGTTGCAAAAGGTATCGGGCTGGCCTTGGCACTGGAGGCCAGGAACGAGTACCAAGCCGCTGCTCGCCAACAATCAGGGATACCCTTCCATGTTCGTTGGACCAGCTTCGGGTGCTTTGGGTCAAACTCGAAGATCATGCCTTGTCCCTCATCGCCAGGCTTCACAACCTTGGCCATCCTTCGCCACTTGTCAGTGCGCTCCTGTTCTTTCCGCTTCAGCTCGGCGATCGCTTTCTCGGAGGGCTCATCTTCATCGATGTAGGACAGGCTCGGTTGTTCTTCAAGTAGGTCACCTGCCTCGTCCACCAGCCTTCTGTCCTTGTTGTGGGGGAGCAGGTTGCTGGCCTGGCGTAGGACTGAACGAGTGGAACGGCGCGACGCCGTTGAATACTCCGACGCCTGTGTGTTTAGGGAGCGAGCCGACACTTTCCTAGTAGGCGTGCGCTTGTTTCCCAGCGAGTGTGCTGCTGCGTCCTTTCGGAACAAGACGTTCCTCTGTTTGCGCGGCGAAAACTCCACAGACAGGGTCTCGGTCGCTGTACTCGGCCGTGATGAGTCTGGCCGTTGGGGAGATATGAAACCGTAACGATCGACATCCTGACCCTCGACTCCCTCCCAGTCCTCAATCCCTCCAGCCAATTCGTGGTCGCGACGCAGCGTGCTATCTTGTAGCGACACAGTAGAAGCCGAGGTTAGAGTAGGGTGTCCAGGTCGGCCGTTTGACCTGTGAAGATGCGCGACTTGTCAGCATGATCAATGGCAAGGTATAGCGGATAGTCAAGGAAACCGTACGCGTCATTCTCATCCTCATTTGACGGGACTTCCCCTGTGGGCTCGAGGCGCTCACCGAGTGATGAGTGCCCACCGCCCTCTTCCCAACTGAGACCCTCCCCGGATTCATAGAGCGATCTCACCTTTTGAGATTCCTTCTCGGCCTCTACAGATATGACCCGGATGCTGGGAGGCAGCAGGCGGGGGGTGGACAAGGTGTCGGGCACGGTTTGGGGTTGCGCGTGGTTAACATTCACGGCACGGTCGGTTGGCTGTGCGACAGTACCGTGGTTGGTATCGTGGACGCCCCTATCATCCTGACGCGGTTGCGCAGGGCCGGCAGGGGTCTGGGGCTTCTTCGCGGGCGGTACCAGGGGAAAGGCGCGGTACTCTCTGGTCCTTTTGACAGCCGCGACGGCAGGGACGTCGTTGTCTTTGGCCGACATCTTGGTCTTGGTGCGCGGACGCTGGCCACCAAAGATGATGCTGCCGCGTTTGGAGAAGGATAGCTGGGTCATAAAGTCATCCTCGATCAAGCTGTCGGTGGGGATGGTGGTGGAGATGATTGGCGACAAATGGGGATCGCCCGATGGTGTGGCAGTGGTGGCATCCAAGTTCCTCGTGTTGTGGGCATGGTGGACGAGGTGCAGGTGGGGATGGGGGGGCAGGGGACTGTTATTAGCGGCCGACCCTAGGGCGCTCAGGAGTATCAGTGGGGACCCCAGCGCTCCCTCGCCTCTGCCCGTGCCCGACATGCCCGACTCAGTAGTACCGCTAGTGTGTGGGCTTGGCACGCCCGATAGCGACTTCTTCCGCAACCTCTTCATCGTACCGGTAGCCCTGGAGGACGACGAGGAGGTTGATCGCAGGCTAAAGGCCCTGCCGAATCTCTTGGTGAACTGGACAGGCGGCGTGACAGGCGACGCCGGCGACACCGTGTTACCGTCTGAGAGGGCAGGCGACGACAATGGGCTGCTGATGCCGCTGCCGGCTTCGCTGACTCTGCGCAGGTCCAGGTCGGGCTCCGAGTAGATGGACGGCGAGATGGAGCCGCCCTTCAGGCGCAGAGGGAGAACTTGAGGGACTGGAGGAAGCGTGTCGATCTTCTCGTAGGCGAAAGGGTCGTCGTCGTCCTCGTCGCTGCTGTCCTCCTCATCGTAGGTGCGCGTGTGCGAGGAAACTGTGGGCGCGTGACCCGAGTCCCTCTTTGCGGTGTCCTGGGTTGAGCGCGGAGTGGTGATGGTTCGAAGTGCGGGATGCTGCTCAGTGGGAGGAGCGGGGCGAGGAGGTGGTTGTGGTGTTCTATTGGGCAGAGAGGCAGTAATGCAGGAGATGGGCCGCGGTGGCGGGCGTCGAGACGAGCGAGGGGGCGGGATGGGAATAGGAGGCTCGGCTGCCACGGTCTGGTCGTAACGGAACGCAACCAACCTCGTATCGTCCCTGAAGGAAACAAATGATGCCTGCCTGCTCTTGTACCGCACGCTGGCATTCTTCTGAAGAGCGGGCAGAGGCATGTGGTCCGGTGCAGTGACCCCTGGTGCGACCCCGAACATCTTGCAGGCGGGCTGGTATGTGAGTAACAGATATTGGATGCTGTGTGACAGGGTTTACGGCTGACTCCGGTTCGCGAATGGGATAAAGCTTGCTCCGGTATCACAATCTGCGTCCCAGTGTAGACCTTTATGCTTTCAACCCGGAGATCTCTCGCGTTGTCGAGTTCCCCAGTTGTGAAGTTGTGAAAGTGAGTCTGTAGTGGGCTGACTCGTGAATCTATATCGATGACGAGGAGGGTCTCTCTTATCCAAGGCACCCTTCGAGTAAGTCCAGGCGAGTCGGGGTGAATATGTAGTGACTCAAGACGAGCCGATGCATCTAGCAATAGTCGCTGTCGTGACCTGAACTGATTCGAGCTCCCACCACTTACACGGAGCTGGCAGGGTGCGGATTGGCTGGTGGCTGCAAGCTGTGTCAGCAATGGGGTGAGCACGAGAGAAAGGCCCAGACGGCGGAGGAACCGATTGAGACGGATTGAGAGACTGACCGACGCAAAAGAAGCAGAAGGGAGCAAAAAGATAGAGTTTACTGGGGCATCGACCGGGATATATCAAAGCCTATGACTCGGGGTAGGAATGCGTTGATGGCTGCGAGTCGGGAGTCCGGGACCTCGGGTAACGAACGTCTGGTTTAGTCGGACTAGCCTTCCAGATGGATATAGTGAGTAATAAGACTAACAACCTAATAAGTGCGGGTGGTGGCAAGGCAAGTATACTTCATTTTCTTACAGCCGAAAGACACATCACTGCGGGATGACGAACGCACTCATCCGACTTTTTTTCTGCAGTAAAACATAGAAGGGTCCAGCCAGCCGAAATATGTGTGACGACGGCCACGCAGGCCATACAAGACAAGCCACACGACCACCAAGTACACATAAGTCAATAAGCCAGAGTTGTCTTAGCTGGCAGTGCGGCCAGACCATCAACCTACAACAGACAGTTCCATTTCTTCCCAAGTGGCGGGGTGACATGTCCCATTGTTCCATCCCATCCCGTCATCCAACCCCCGGTCTCCCAGCTCGCCTACTGCAGCAGCAGCCCAGGCAGTTATTGGCTGTGTCACGTCCGGGAATCCTCCACTGGTCCCAGTCGGGCTCGGGTCTCAGGACATGCAGCCAGAAAGTTCCCGAAATGGAAATCTGTCACTTGCAAATACATCTCGCCTCCGAGTTTACTGTACGTGTCCTATTACTGTTGTTACTGTACTTGACCGCATCCCTCGTCTCGTGTCCATGATATGACTCCTGTGCAGACTTAGGTAGGTGGCGTTTCTCTTATTACTCGACATGAAGCACGTCTGGAATCCAGCATCCGACGATCAACTTCAAACATCTCCCCCGCAACAGCCCTTCACATTCCACCCAACACCGGGTATCGTCTATTAGTAGTTAGTAGTCACGCATTCCATTCCATCCCACGGCAACGTGACGCCGGTGGTGATGGGAAGCCCGCGTGCGTTCCCGCCTGTCCGAAACGTTTCTCTTCGGTCTTGGCTCTCGGGCATCTATGGCTGGTCCACGCTGCAATTGGAGGTAAAACACGCGGCGCGTCCCATCTAAGGAACCATATCTGCTTTTCCCATCGGGCAAGCAGACATGCCGGCCCGGGGTCCCTCGACCTCCATCCCTCAGTCCGTCCCGCTATTGGCTGATCGGCGACCCCAGATTGATCGGCTGCCGGGATAACTCAGTTGGGAGCGGAAGTAGAGAAAAAAAAGAAGAACAAAAGAAAAGAATCGAAACAGAATCGAAACATAGAACGAAGCTAGCAACAGAGGCTATTATTTCCCGACTTCGTCCATCTATTGTCTAATTGTTTTGACTCACGATGCCATCATAAATCACATAATCAATACCCACACCGCTACCATCTAAAGGCGGGGTTCAACGGGCATGACAAGTCGGACGAACCCTCCCAGTACAGCCGGGACACGTAGAAACGCACTCGACACCAATAGTCCGCGGGCCACATGGCTCCGGCATGAACCCCTGGGCAGAATTATTGCAGCCATCTGACGTGGACATTTAGCCAGCGTGCTCGGATCCACCGTTATAGTCGGGCCATTTAGGTGAGAGAACGTGGAATCGAAGGCCTGGCTTCCGTGCCCGCATCATGGGCCCGGGACTGGCCTTCCACCGACTTTACTGGCATGGACTTGCCAAGGAGCCAGGTAGGTAGTCTTTGAGGTTCCGGGCTCGTTCGAGACTCGTCGGTTCGTTGTGACAGGTCGATGAACCTGGAGATCGGGAATCACTTCACGTCAAGCGAACCCCGAAACAGGTGGCCCGGCCAGATTGGGCAATTGCTGGCCACCAGCTGTGACAGGTGGCCATCTTTATAGTTACATTGGCCCTGACCGCATGGTCACGGTACGCGATGCGACACCGCATTGGCTATAAAAAGGGCCACGACACGTCTTATTTCTGCTAGAAATAGGGGCATAGCGAGATTCCACCCAGAGTAAGGTAAATTACCCGACCGCTGTACCAGACCTTTGGTCAGGTCAAACGTCGACCTAGGACATCTCAGTCAAGAGGGGGTTTCGCGACTCAGCAAGAAACACCACGTAGTCAGTAGGGCCCATCGCTGCACCTGCAAGCTGGGAAAGGGGAACGAGTCGTTCCGAACGACGAGCGCCCGGTGTCCTGGTGATTTGGTGATTTGAAAATGGCTTCCACCAGCAAGAAGGCTGGCTATGTTCTTCTGATAGTGGTCCTCCTCGCCGTCAGTACTGACTCGCCTGTGGTAAAAGTGAAAGATTTGATCAGCCCTCACTTAAGATGTAATGCATCCCCTTTACTACGCTGTAAGCCCTATAGAACACACCAGTGTGAGGACCGAGAAACGAACGTTCCAGCCATCCATCCGCCATTCCTGGTTTGTTTGCCATCACGCACTCGCACTCACACTCGCACTGCGTAGAGGTTATGTACCTGCAGTACATGAGCAGAAAGTATCAGAACCTGCCCACAAACTCCCCGATCTTCGCCGCAACCTCCCAAGCGCTCCTCTCAAACCCCAGCAGCTCGCCGACCAAAAACGTATCATGAACCGCGCCCTCTTCATAACACAACTCCACGACATTCCCCTCGACCCCGCGCATCTCGTCCGCCCACCTCGTGATGCGCTCGCAGAACAGCTCGGCCGTCCCCGCGTGCGCGATGGGCACGGGGGTCGGGAACGGGTTTCCCAGGGGCGTGATGTACGGATTCGAAGCAGCATCGGCCGGGGGTAAGTGGCCCGCATATCTGTGCGCACCCCATGCAGGGTACGAAGACGGGATGAAGTCGGTGCCGCAGTGCGGGTTGTCCTTCATATCGTATTCAAAAGGCGCGACCCAGGACGAGAGCAGCACCGCGCACTTCGGCTGCCCCCGGCCGCTCACACCAATCGCAACTTCGAACTCGTGGAGATATCGCAACAAGGCCGTCGCCAGATTTCCGCCGGAACTGTCGCCCGCTACCACAATCTGACGGGCTGGAATGCCGAGTCCGTTCACGAGGAAGAGGTAGCTGGATATGGCGTCCTGTAGCGCTGCCGGGAACGGGTTATTCGCGTTTCCGTGCCCGGAGAGGCGGTACTGCACGGAGAAGACAACATCTGCACCCCCTTTCTCGAGTAGCTTCGCGGCAACGGACTTGCAGGTCGCGTCGCGCCCGTCGCCCTGGACGAAGGCACCGCCGTGGAAGTAGAGGAACACAGTCTTGTCCCCCACACCGTCGCCAGCTGGGGCTTCGGGAAACCACGTCCCTCCAATTGTAGCTGGTTTGACGGTCTTGTGTGCCGCTGGTCCTCGATAGGCGTCCAAAGTGGACGGTGGCACGGTCTGGAACCTCGCGCCTTCCTTGCCCGCTTCCAGGGTGAGCGTCTCCGTGATGCCGATGCGAGAAGTGGCATCGAGCACTGGGGATACAAGACGGGTCATGAAGGTCTGCTTGGCGCTCCATGTTGGATTTGGCCTGAGGGCGGGGAGCAGAGCCACTGCGACATAGTAGGGCAGGCGCGCTACCACTATGGCGACATATGACAATTGGAACAGGAAACGGAACGGCTGGTAGGATAACAGCGGGTGTCTGCCCCGGCTGGCCATGTTCACTGTACATGTATGTATGGCTGGAACAGAATTGCGACGTGGAAATGGCGTCGTTAATCGGCCATATAGGGGGACGGGGGACGCGGGGCGGCGGAAGTCTGGCTTCAAATAGATACCTAGCAAGAAGTCGTACGGAATGGATGCAGGGAGATGTTGCAACCAACCAACCAACATCCAACCAACCCACCAACCCACCAACCACCGGGATGATGGGCCATCCACCACGTGACTTCAGGTTCAACCCCAAGCTCTGTGCTGCGCCTGATGAGGGTCGCCTAAACCAGCAACGGTCAAGGGTGTGTGTATGTCACTCTTGGTTTGCGTACGAAGGCATGATTTCGTGTCATCAGTCCCCTAAATGCCAAGAAGCATGGGAAGGGGTCTCTCGGAGATTCTTGTCGAAGGCCCAAGAGCGGAAATAGGCAGGTATTACTACTTATTTATCGTAATTCGAAGCTCTAAGGCTTCACCTCACACCCTCCCCGGGCAGCAAGCCTGCCATTCTGTCGGTAAGAGCCACTAGTAGCGCCCAACCTCACCAGGTGGTGGCTGGCCTGATCTGATTCATCCCAACGCCCCTTTCCGCAGACGCTATGCAATTGAGCCCAAGCTTCCTGCACCATGGGGTCGTCCCTTGCAGCGTGCATGAAATGAGCATGTCGATAAACCTCCTGCTGGCACCAGCAACTCGGTCCCTGATAGCTTCAGCATGTCGTTGATAGGTGAGAAGCAACGTAGGCCCGCTTGGCCTGGCCGCACATGGCCAGGACTCATCGACCACCGCATCGGCTTCGGCCTGATTGGGCCCTCATACCTCCTCGTTCTCCCAATCCTTTTCGCCAAACATAGGCCGGCTCGAGTTGCCACTCACTTCTAGCTTTTCGAGAAACTCAGGGGGAACCGTTGGAATATACTTTCTCTCACGTTCTCGATTGAGCCCTCCAAAGCCAGCGCCGTATGATACCCGCATGTCCGTGACCGTGGGAAGCGTGAATGGCAGCATGATCGAGGGGTCTAGATTGATCCCGTCAGGGATGTCGTCATCATCATCCTGCTCTGGATTCGGCGTGCCTTGCACACTGTGGGTATTTTCCGTATCAATGCCGTTGGAAGAGATCTTCACTGGTGTTGATGGTGCGCTGCTTGGCGGCATCGGTGAGACTGTCCTCCTACGATCTCTTCTTAGCGCTGCCTCCTTCTGAATTGCGTCGAGATACTTCAGAGCGCTCTTGGGCAGGCCCTTCTCCCCAACTTCCGGTCGATAGTTCTTAGCAGAGTATATGAGTTGCTGGGGGCTTAGGCGTTTAAGTTGCTGGAGAGTGCCCACCAGGGCTTCTAGGTCATCGGGGTCTAGCGACGAGAAACACTGCAGCCATTGAAGGAGCTGAACAGTTGGCGCGAGATGCCTCCGAGCAGCTTCTACCGTCGTCTCACCCGATGCATCGGTCTCGCCGTGCTCGTAATGTTCAGGCTTCCGGTTGTTGGCCCTAGCCCAATCCTCCAAGACGGACACGTTCATGCGGATCTGCATTGCCTTGGTCCTCGCCAGGTATTTCCGGTTGTTCATTACTCGGTTGAAGAGCTCCGCACCTAACCAATAGAGTAGTTGCGAGACAATCTGGGATGTAATGACGGAGTGGATGTCATAAAGGTCAAGTACGAAAAGCGTCGATGAAAGAAGCGATGTCACGTTTCGCGGTGCGGGTTTCGCGCGCTGCTTTGGCGACGGTGGCCGAAATCGCTTCTCGAGGGGCTCGGTCTTGACCTCCTTCTTACGTTTGAAGAGCTTCCACTCGTGCTGGAAGGTGACGTCTTCGAGACCTGGAATTGTTTCGTGGTCAAGCATTGCTGAGTCTAACACTTTGTCTAGACGCCTCTCCGCGTCTCTGACAATGAGTATAAATATTTCGTTGACCAGCTCGGCGAGCTGCGCCTGGAACTCAGTCGTGGCCTCAACAAGGCCCGAGTCCTTTTTAAGGTAATGTAGTAACAATGTTGCATTCGACATCCAGAAGGCCAGGATGGTCATGTCCCACTGATGTTCCTCCACGACATCGTTGATCTTGTCCTGGGCGGTGACAAGTAATTGCGCCAACAGCTCGTGGTTTGCATGATAGTGCGCGTATCGTGCGCTAAGAAATATCATATTCGCCGGTACTGGTTTCTGGGACGGTGATCGCTGGGGCCGCATATTGGTGATAATGATATCGAGTATCCGGTCCAGCTCACTCTCCTGGAAGACAAACATCTGGTCATGCAGGCATCGGTTCCAGTCGAACTCCTGCTGTTCCTCCTCAAAGTCATCCACAGGCTGTAACAGTCAGCAAGACAGAAGACCAATTTAGTTCAGGGCGAGATACTCGCCTCGGGTTGGTCATCGATTCCCATATTTCCCAGATCAACCTCGAGGTCTCTTGCGCTGTCCATCATCATTCGTCGACGGATCTCATTCTCGGCCATCTCTTCTTCGAACCTATCCTGGGAGAATCCGGGGTTATAGAAATCGTCGGTTACGCCGGCGTTTCCGATATTGTAGCCGTTGTCATGCAAGTAGAAAGACATCTCGCTATCGGGAGGCACAAAATCGAAGGCGGTCCGGCCGGAGGAGGTCTTGGCCTCAGGGGAGGCCCCGTTGTCCAACAGTATCTTCGCAATGCCCTTGTGTCGGTTCGTCATCGCCCACATCAAGGCACTCCAATGATTCCGGTCCTGCTTATCCACATCGGCACCAGCATCTACGAGAGCTTGTACTACGGGTTCGTGACCCTGTTTACACGGAATCAGCATATGGTGGACCTTGCAAGGTTAGGTGCCACTACTAACAAAGCAGCTGGCATAGACCAACGGGGTCGTTCCATCTTCATCTTGCGCGTTGACATTGACAAATGGTTTGGCCTTTCCGGTGAGTATCTTCTTCATGTGCTCTAAATCACCATTGCTTGCGGACATGTTCAGGGCCTTTTGTAGCGTCATCTTCTTTTCTTCATCTGAAAGCTTCTCGTCCGACGCGATGGCATCTTCATCCTCGAAGGTTTGGCCCCCGCGGTGTTGCGCCTGTGCCTGAAGCATCTCCATAAGTCGCGCATCGTTATCGTGGATGCCTTTGGTCAGGTCTTGTTCGTAACTAGGGTCGTCGAGAGTAAGGTTGCTAAACTGGAGAGGCTTTGCGAGTATTGGAGTGGTCAGGAACTGCGACTGGCCTGGGCAGAAGACATGGCGATTAGCATCGAGGCTAGCCACAAGGTCGTTTAGGAGCACAAACCTTGCCAGCCATCGTACATCTCGGTCTCTGGCATCAGCTCTGTAGGCATCGCGCGGCGGTCGTCAAGCGATTTAGGGAGGTCGGCTGGGAGAGTGCGAGGCCTGTTCGACTGCTCCCCTCCAAAACCCCCACCGTCAGAGTCCCCGATATCCATTGTTCAGACGGGAGGAGGAGGAAGAGGAGGAGGCGGCATTGGTGGTTTCGCTCAAGGGCTTGTCGCTTTGAGATGACACTTCACCATGCTTGACCAGAGCAATATGGCAGTGTGCAGGGGGGAATCGGCTTCTGTCGTGGTCTGTTGAAGCCAGTGGGTCTTGTGTATCGGGTTCCAACTTGGATGTTCGTCATAAAACAGACATCAAGCACCGGTCGGTCGCATCGGTCAAAAAGGCAGGCTGATCCCGCTATTAGTGGGCTATAAGCCTGTCTATTGGCCCAAGCGCCCCCAGCCAAATGTGCTGCTGATTCCTTGAACAAGTACATTGTAACTACCCCTGAATCTCAATTCGACATCAAACACTCATGGACATGCACGGCTGATATGGCTTGAGGGACTCTCATTTCAACGATAATCTTCCTTTTGCACAATTCACATCTTCTCGAAGCTAATGGTGTAATGGATCTCGATTTGGTTCTGCACATTCCGCTACATCTCCAGTGCACAACGTCGGTCTGACTCTGCTAGCTCCCTTTGTTTGCGTCTTACACAGATCTCTTGCCGAGCACACGAAGCCGCTTGACGCCTCCATCGGGTATGATGGTGAGTTTCACATGAGTGAACGGCTTGTCCTTTACCAAGCAGCCAAAAGTGTGCTCTTGATCAGGTCCACACTTGCTTGCTTCCAGAACCTCAGTCCACCCTTGGACATCTGCACCTGGCTCTCCCTCTCCTTTCCACTCGATGGCGTCGAGCTTCGCCTTCTGAGGAAAGTTGCCTCTGAAGTATGCCGTATCAACCACGAAGCTCTGGATCAGCGCCGGAGCACCCAGGCGGATGATGGCCCAGTCAACATGTCCCTTGGTCCTAGATCGCGCCGTTTCCCATCCGTCTCCCATGTCCTTGCCACGGCCTGGCAAGATCAGGTTGTGGTTGGTGCCAAAGTGTTGGTCACTGCAAGATATGGCGACAGCACCGTTCTGAGCGGCTGCCAAGTCGAATATGGCTTCTGTGTCCTGTGGGAAGACCGGCACAGCATGTCCAAACAGCCGGAATCGCGCAATGCCCCCATCAGGGTACATGTTCAGCCGCACATGCGTGTACTGCTTGGAGGTAGGGCTATCCAGCTTCCACCCGAACCTCTGCGAAGGACCGCACTCCTGGATGCTCAGGATGGGCTCCCATCCGCCCTTCTGCCCTTTCCACGAGAGAACCTCGTCGTCGTCAGAGCTGAAGCAGCCTTCGACGGAGATGGCAGGAGCATGGTTACCCGAGAAGAAAGCCGTGTCGACCTCGATCCCCTCGACAGTGCCAGATGCGACACCCAGGCGGATGACAACCCAGTCAAAGGGCTCCTGGTTGTGCCTCCGAGTCTCCCAGCCGTCGTACCACGCGCCTGTGTAGACCATCTTGCCAGGCTGGCGAATAGGAGGCGTGGGCGTCAGCAGGTTGGCGGCATCGGCAAACCACTCGTCGGAGAATGCTAGGACTTTCCCACCCAGTGTGCCAGAGATGAGATCTGTGGTTGAAGTAGGTTAGCCCAATGCAGCCTCGAGCACCCAGAGCAGGGTGTCAGCTTACCGATGCAGCCAGATCTGAAGGTCTTGTCAATGTCCTCCGAGGCAACCCGAGTGGCCAGGACGGGCTCCAGCTTGTATCCATAATCCTCAGCCATGATATCGGCTGTTGTTCCGCAGCAGTGCTTGATTATCCCAGTCTCAAGAGTAATAAGGCAATGATACTCGAGTCTAGTAGATAATTCCTCGCAGCATCTTTTATAATTACTGAGTTAGGCAAAAGTGTAGCTCTTTTGAATGAGCTTCGACATCGGTGGTGGGGTCTATTGACACTGATCGGTCGGAATGCGCCAATGCCCGATCACTATTGTTGCCCTTATTCTTTGCGTGGCTCTCCTGGTTGGCCAGTCCATCCGATCGCCAATATATTCATTATCGTGACTGCTATCTTGACGCGAACATTATCCATCTTGAATGGAAGGTAGCTACCTACCTACTTACACAGCCACACACTCACAGCTTGGGTGCGGAAGCGACATGTTGTAAATATACAATGTCTTACCCATTGGAAGTCGCACGACGGCACCATGCGGGCGGCTCATCCATGATGCCTTCTGATCCTTACGAATTTGGAGATAAGCCCCCCGCCCCCGCACCGTATGTACGGTGGCGGGGCGCTTAAGAATCGCGGCGATCTGATAGGCCCAAGCTCCCCTGCAGAAACACTCCTCATATCCGTCGACGATGGTGAGCTACTTGAGTGGGCAATTCCTCCAAACCTACATCTTCGAGAAGCCCGACTTCGACACGGCATCTGCCATCTGATCTGCTGTATTCTCAGCCAGATTTTCGTACGAGCGACGAGCAGCACACTCTCGACCTCCAACCTTCTCCGTCAATCTACAGTAGAACACGAGGCACTGATTCCTTCTTGTCACGATGGCTTCCGCGACAGGAATCCCCCAACATACGCCGATTGACCCGGACACGGACGGGCTACCCGGTCCCGATGAGCCACTGCTGGGTCGGCCAGGAGATGCTTCACAAGGAAGCCAGGCGTCCATCGCCAAAAACCTCATTATCGGTACCGTGACCCGCATTCCTTCTGTTCTTGTACATCGCCGTCACAGCCATGGCAAAGCTCATACAATCATCAGGCACGGGCATCATCGCCGAGGCCTCGACCCTCCTCCTCTTCGCCTCCGTGTGGGCCGCCGTCTTCATGAATAAGCTGATCCTGTTCTCGGTGCACCCGCTCGCGCAGTCGTTCGGCTTCCTCGTCCTCGTCCAGTCCGTCCTCGTTCTACAGCCGACGCACACGGGGTCGCAGAAGAAGGTCGGACAGAGAATACACGCCGGACTCAACCTGCTGGCCCTCGCGTCATTCATCGTCGGTGTCGTCGTCATCGAGGTCAACAAGTTCAAGAGCAACGGCCCGCACTTCCACTCGGTGCACGGCTACCTCGGAGTCATCACCTCGATATGGATTATCGTGCAGTACGGCGTCGGCTTTACTATGTGGGCTACCCCCAAGCTGTACGGGAGCGAGGAAAACGCGAAGAAGATCTGGAAGTACCACCGCATGAATGGCTATGTCCTCTTCTTGTTGATGATGGCCACCATCACAAGTGCTGTCGAGACCGACTTCAACAAAAATGTGTTGGGGCTGAAGCTCTGGGCCATGATCATCATCATGGTGCTGCTGGTTGTCGGCATCTACCCGCGGATCAAGAAGCAGAAGCTTGGCTTGTAGAGGATGTGACAGTTTCCCATGCCACAAGACTGGAGATGGGTTGGGTATAAGATGCAGCCTGTCAGAAGAGGTGACGTATGCATGTTACGGCAAGCATGATATTCTGATTTTCTGGTCTGTTATACTTTCGAGCTTCGAGCAAATGAAATTGGCAGACATTGCGGCGTTGGATTGCGCTTCAGTACGGCGTTGGAGCTGGCATCAGGGGCGAATTCAAGGGGTACTACCAGCTACGGCAGTACTTCTACCCATCAATCATTCGATTCAAAACTTCTTGTCACTGGTCTTGGGTGAATGGCATACTATGATACGTACCATGTCTCCAGATATCTCAAAGTTCAATGCCTCAATCGTCAAGCGGTGACTTGATGTCTCCCATACTCAGAATGTCTACTAGCTGACCCGGTTCAACAATGCTCACTCTTCGACAGACTTCGTGCAAGTTTTACATTAGTAGCTCACATCAAAACGATCGTGTTATAGAGTACCCTCTGACTTCTCTGGTCGGAAAAAAGACTATTCAGACATGAAATCGTGACAGCGCTCTGCCTACGCGGGATAGTCTTCTAGAACCATCACAGCATCCAACCCTAAGACTTCTCGCTCACCCCCCTCCGCTGAACATAGACGGGCCATGAGTGCGGCACCACCGAAAGCGTCGCCTTCCACTGCCACTCCTGGGCCGGGTCGACCTGGCGGACGTCGTAGTCGCGCACGATGGTCGCCGCGATCTTGGACAGCTCGATCTTGGCCAGGTTGTGGCCGGGGCAGGAGTTGTAGCCTGCTCCGAACTGGTGCGGAGGGCCGGTCAGCTCGTCTTGTTTCCGAAAAGACGAAAGAGGTTGGAGGGGTTAAGGGGCTAAGGGGCTAAGGGGCTCCTTAAGGGTTGAGGGTTGAGGGTTAAGGGGGAAGGGTAAAGGAAGGAAGAGTCGTTGGTCAGGCTGGACTGGCTTACCGGGATGAAGCACTTCTTCTCCAGCTCCACGGCGTCCTCTTCCATCCAGCGCTCCGGGCGGAACTCTCGCGCGTCTGGTCCCCACTGCGAATCATTGATTGTCGGCGTTAGCCATACAGAACTTTAAGCACACGACGTAGAAAGAAGTCGTGAGAAAACACCAAGCCACCAGTCAGTCAGTCGGAAAGGGGAGGAATTTCGACCAGAAGCACCTCAAAAGCGCAACCGGCCGCACCTTATCTTGTCTCGATTCGGAGAAGAAGAAAAGGGAAAAATTCAAAAATTTCAACTCACCAGCTCCGTCGACAAATGCACAACCCACGGATGCACCGACAGCAGCGTGCCTTCCGGGAAGTGGCGCCCCCCGATCGCGACGCCGCCCTCGGGGGCCGTGCGCGGCAGGCTCAGCGACACGGGCGCGAATATCCGCAGCGCCTCCTTGATGCAGGCCTGCAGGAACGGCAGCTGCTGCGCGTCGGCGTACGATACCACCCTGCCCCGGCACCGACCGGAGTGCTGCTGCGCATCTGTGATCTCGGCGCGGATCCGCGTCCATGCTGCTGGGTGCGCGCGTAGGATGTGGTATACGAAGGCCTGGGGGAAGGGTTAGTGGGCGTTTGGGCTGTCTGAGGTATTAGGGGTAAGGATGTCGGGGGTGGGGAGAGGTAAGGAGAAAAGAGAGGAGGAGATGGAAGTAGCCCCTGAGCGTCCCTCGGGGCATGAGTGACAAACCCCAACCCAGACTCCGAGATGAAGAAGGAAAAGGGGCAAAAGCGAAATAAACCGAGTTCTGGAGTCCTTCGAAGACTAACCTGCAACCCGCAACTAACGGGTATCCGCGCCCGCCGCGACGGTATTAGTAGCCTGCGCGTAGATATTGCGCAGCGTCAGCCTCCCAGGGTGCGTCTCCAGCGTCTTGAACCAGTGTGCTACGATATCAAAACGCGCGTCCGGATCCGCGCGGCGGGCGTAAACGGCTTTTTGGGCTGTGTTGAAGACGTGGCCTATGGGCAGCACGCCCAGCCACGTGGTCAACGGGTTGCTGAGCAGCAGCGTCTTCCAGGACGACCAGAAGGCCGCGGCGGAGCCGAGGCAGTGCAGCTTGACCGAATGCGCGATGGCGTCCTCGATGTCGACGCCCTGCCGGAGGAAGCCGAAGGGCCGCGAGAAGACCACCTCGCCCACGACGTCGAACGTCGTGTACGTGAAGAATTGGTCGAGCGGCATGGGCGCGCCGCTGGCCGCGTACTTGTCCATCCAGTCCAGCAGCTGCGAGACGGTGCGGTCGACGGCTTCTTCTGACTGGAGCACGCTGGCTGGGAGGGGGCTTAGCAGTGGCTAGCGAATGTGGTTGGGTGTCACGATGCTCTGGACTGCAGCTGGAAGCACTGGTATGGACCTCGTGGGCATTGGAGAGACTTACACATAGTATATCCCGTGGAAAGGTGTTTAGACAGCTCGACCTTGGCCTTGGGGTCCGTGACGGTCATAGGGGCTATGAAGCGGTAGTCAGGAGTAGCGAGGCCCTTGTACCAGTAGCCCTTGAAGTGTCTCTCATCTGTCCAGGTCTAGCGTACCAAATGCAGTTCAAATTTGACCCACCTTTGGAATGGGAGCAAGAAGCAGCTTCTTGACGGCATCCGAATGGCTCACACTGATTTCATCGTGGGCCATGCGCATGAAGTGGCCTGCAACGGGTCAGCGCGATCATGCAAGGGACGGCTGGTACCACGCACCGTGCTTGTCGTGTAACTTGACCAGCTGCGTGTTCTGGTCCCCGGCGAATATGTGCTTGACGTGCCATAGCCGCGTGAAGGAAGCGAGGAACGGCCCGGGCACGTCACTGATCGGCGATGCGTAACGACGCCACGTGTCACGGCGAGCGTACTGAGGAGCTGGGACAGGGCCTGCAGCAAGCAGCTATTACTCTATTGACGAGAATATCAAGACTAGAGAGGAAAGGAAGAGAGAGAGAGATAGGTACAGCGGGAGGTTGCCCCTTTAAGGGGATCCTCTGGTCAGATCCTTCCCCTATTGGGAAGTATCAGCTTGTCATGTGGGAAGGTCCGTGCAGGCCGTCACACCACGCGACGATGCAGGCCAGGCCTGACAACCACAGAACAGTAATCAACGGCCAGCTGGAGCCAGCATCGAGTATAAGTAGGCCCATGATATGTAGATATATCAGGGGCTCTCAGCATGTAGTTGCTAGGAAAGAGCAGGGCAGTGGATGGATAACCAGGCTATAGGCTGTGAAATATGGAGTCTGTTTCGAGAAGGCAAAGTAAATCATTATAGACTTTGGCTGAAAGTCGATAATGACAGGTTATATAGGGAGGCAGCCGCGGGTCAAGGATTGGCCTCTATCAAACTCCCCTCATGCAATGGTCCTCTTACTCTTGCATCCCCCCTCAGCCTGCGGGAGCCTCTGTCGTACGTGACATCTCCTCCATGTAAGATCCTAGTTGCAGTCCCGCACTCGGCCCGCATCGTGGTTGGGTCACGAGCATAAAGATGTGCATGCCACAGGTTGGTTCGGGTGCGATGTCCGGACGGTGGGCCACGATGAGGTTGTTGTTGGTCGGCCCAGCCGCCGGGTTGCTGCTGTAAGCAGGATCCATCCCGATACCTCGGTGTCGAGCTGGGGAACCGGGCTCTGCAGACTTGAATGATTGGAATAGCATCTCATCAATCAGTAGGGACATTGACGGGTCAAGGCACAGTCACGGTGTCCAAACGACTTGCAAGACACGTTTGGTGTTACCTGTGCTTTTTGACCCATGTTCATCCCGAGACAGGAGAAACGCTCCCGTACGAAGCGGTATTCTGCTGCCCACACCCCTTGTGCGTCCTACGAACCATCTCATGCCGAGGAAGCTGGAAGTAAGCGATACGCATTCGGTGCATTCTCGCTTCTATAGGCAAACATGGCCAGCCTTGCATGGTAAGATCGTTGGTGACGACCCAAGCTGCTGGGACAGAACCTAGAAAGATGAGTGGTTGGCGAGGCTGCGGCGCTTGTCAGAAAGAAAGGAACCCGCGTGGGGTTCTGCGTGGGATTCTCGAACAAGGTAAAGTTTGACTCAGACTAATGCACTACAACCAACATCGCCCTGTGCTATCTCCAACGGGCCGCTCATATCATGTCATGACCTAGAGTTGGTTGTCGGGTCGGATAGCTCTAGGTGGTCGAGGAGTAACATCGTGATCAAGAGCAAATGGGGTTGATCCATGTCTGGCTTCTGGGATCCCGCAGTAACTGGCGAGCCCGGATAAGGCGAGTACGACTCAAGATAGCAAGTCACCCTTTTCATTCCGTTGGTCAAGATGATCCTAGACCGGGGTGGAAAATGATCTATGAATTATATTATTACCGAGGTAGTTCGCAAGATCCCACCACAGCAATCATGCAACAGCATCAAGGCTCAGTCGCTCTTCAACAGATTGTATCACCAAAGTTCACAGGTCGGCTCCTTCACAGGGCAGTTGAAGCTCTCTCGGAATGCTCGCGAGTTCGCCGTAGTCCCCAGGATGCGAGCAAAGGCTGGCGAGTGCGGGTCCGTGTAGATGTAGTTAATGGCCTGCTCCTGTCGCGTTTTGCCGCACCACCAGTTGGCGTAGAAGACGAAGAATAGCTGTTCGTGGCTGAAATGGTCCAGACCTGGCAGACTCTCGTCCGGCGTGGCCCCAATGCGCTGCTTCCAAGCAGCGAAGGCTGCAGATACACCACCAGCATCAGCGATGTTCTCGCCCAAAGTCAGCCTGCCATTGACATGCAACGGTTCCCCGTTGTTGACCGCTACTGTGAAGTTGTTGTACTGGTCGACGAAGCAATCTGCACGTTTAGAGAATTCCTCGACCGTGTGGTTGGTCCACCAATCGGTGTAGTCTCCGTGCTCGTCGTAGTGTCTGCCGGAATTGTCAAAAGCGTGCGAAAGCTCGTGACCGGCGACAGACGCAAAGGCACCGTAAGATACGTAATTCGGCAAGTCGACAGAGAATACGGGAAACTGCATGATTCCAGCTGGGAATACAATCTCGTTTCCAACAGGACTGTAGTAGGCATTGACAATATCGGCCTGCATGCCCCATTCTCCGTGATCCACTGGCCGCCCGAGGGCCGACCATGTCTTGTTCTCCGCCCATCTGTTACTAGATAGCGAGCTGTTGAAGAACGATTCCGTGATGACCAGGCCGCTGTAGTAGTTCCGCAACGCTTCGGGGTCCATGATGTCAGGAGACGTCGTTGGATAGCCGATCTTTTGGTCAATGTTGTTGACTTTGTTCGTTGCCAGCTTCCTGACGGAATCATCCATCCAGTCGAGACCAGTCAGCTTCGAGATGAACTGCTGCTTGATTTCCATGACGATCTGGTCGCCGTATTTTTTGGCCTCTTCCGAGAAAGCGGCTTCGATGTAGAATCGACTGAGGATCCAGCCAAGCGTACCGTCAACGTAGCTCAAGCATGTCTTCCAGCGCTCTGATTTCGTTTCGGGGTCTCTGCCAGACAAGACATTATAGAAGCGGGTGATGGGCTGTATTTCGGGTCCTTCCACGTAAGATGAGTAGGAATTGATCAACTGCCATATCAGATAACTTTGAATGGTTGACTTGGACGTCTTCGAGATAATGTCAGACACATTGCCTAGAAACTCTGGGAAAGCTAGCAGCATGGTGTCTGCTGTGTAGTTCGCAGGTACCATGCCCTTGACAACAGCGTCTAGGCCGATGGTAGGACCGATTTTGCCCAAATCAGCAACGTTGACGATGTTGTAATATTTCGTCACATCCTGTTGGTCCTCGGGAGGTGGAGTTGCCGCTGCAATCTGCTTCTCGAGGTCAACGACAGATTGCGCGAGCTGAGGCGCTGACCTTTTGGAGGAATTGGTTGGAAGGAGTGCGCCGAAGACCTCGCTCAGCATAGACTGGTATCGGTTCACAGTATCATTGTCCGAGTAGTATTCTGGTGATGGAAGAGACAGTCCGGCTGGAGAAGATTGAACGATGACAATATCCGGGTTCTTGTCATCAGCACCGACGGATAGAGCCTCAAAGGAAGTCACCTGCATCTGCTGCAGAAGCAAGATAGTGTCACTGAGGCTGGCATACTCCTCCAGCTGAAGTAGTTCATCTCCACCGTAGGTACCTTCGGCAACAGGGAAATACTTGACGACCTTGTCAATGAGACTGACCAAAGGCGCGACGCCGATCTGTTGTAGTACTGTCTCATTCATGCAAGAATTGTAGCTCTCTTGCATCATGAGGAAGTTTTCCTCGTCAGTGGACGCAGCGAGGCTCATCAGGTTCTGAGGTGAGAATGTCGAATGCTATTTTATGATCAGCCAATGATTTTTCATCGCGGCACTTTTGATCGGGCTCTACACTCAGCCCTCATAAGTCTCCGTACGCGCATGTTGGCAAGACCCCAGATCACAGTAGGATAGTTGGAATTATTGGAATAAGCATACAGGAATAAGCAGCTGTAGGTTGACATTTTGTTTTTCATGCTTATTCCAGCGTGCTTATTCCAATTCGATAATATTGCTGTTGTTTGCTGGAAGGGCCGTGTACGGAGACTTATGAGGGTTCAGTGTAGCAGTTCCAGGACTGTTCAGTTGTGAAGTCTTCGTCAAGGGGATCGCTAAGCCTAAAGGGAGCATTGTTGACGCACCTGAGAGGCATTTGGGTAGGATGACTCAAGAATGTGTCTGAGGGTTGTTTGCCCATTATCAGACATAAGAGAGGCCGTGGAGTAGGACGAGCGATCCTGGGGAATGTCGTGACGAGCATTGAACCCATCGCAGACCAGTGTGTCGAAGTTCGAGCACGGGTCAACGGTCTTGTAGTCGGGTGACAGATTGTCTAATCACAAAATGAGCTATGATGCAACGTTGACATTTCTCGTATTGCACTTACATAGGAGTTCTGACGCTGCGTGAATACAGGCCGGCGTCATGCATATTGATGAGTTCATCTTTGGCTTGCCTTTCCGCCGTGACAGTACTGTGTTATTACGATTAGAGCGGTGTCTTTGAGTAGTAGAAATATTGGGAACAGAATGAGAGTGTGGGATCTGAAAACACGAGGCAGGATAGTAGGTAGGTAGGTAGCCAAGTACGAGATGTAGAAGGCGATGTGCGCTTTCAAAGGTGAGAGGATGTAAGTCCGCAGCGAGCCTTTTAGCCAGAGTCACCACCGGACGTTTGGTGAGGTCCAGTCTCAAAACAATAACAGTCTTGCTTGCCATAATATGCTTCGCACTAACACTTAGCTGACCAACAGCGCAGCAATACAAAGTAGGCGGTCAACAGAACGATGGAGAAGGAAGAAGGTTGACGACTATGGGCATGCAGGCATGCGCGTTGGAATACATGTAGACTGGTCGTCTTACGACGGGGAAAGTGGCAACGATGAATGGTGCAGCTCTACTTACCCCCAGAAAGGATCAATGTTACGACGAGCACAACTATAAGGAAGATGCTGGCAAATAGTGTGATCCAGCGGCGACGTCGCAAGGACACTAATTGGCGGTTGAGATAGCCGAAGTCTTCGTTCCCAGCCGGGTTCCTTCCGTCTCGGCCATTACCGTCACTCTGGCCATCGTTACTTGTACCACGGAGCAGGGGTGTTCTCTCGTAGGACGAAGCCTGTACAGGCCCGTTGTGGTCGGCCATGGTTTTCATTGACGTTTGTGGCCAATATAGAGTAAGATAAGTGAAGCAGCGTGAGGACTGGAGCTTGAAGCTAGAACAGCTACACCCAAGGGCGCCTGTCTAACGACACCGTGCCACAGCTTACAACGTCAAGGAGATGGGGTGGCGGAAAGAATTGAAGGTAGCAGTAAGGAAGGTGGAAATATGGCGAGGGCTTGCTCATCGATTGCTGATGGCCAGTTGGGTAGCCCGTAGGTGTAGCTCGTGGTGGACAAATATTCTGGGCAGATGAGAACGTGGAAGTTGTCGAGCAGTCGTGGCGCAATTGGATCCCAGGCGCGTCAAATCGACACGCACCAGTTGGCTTTGGCACTGTGAGCTTGTCATCTCCCAGCCACCGTGAACGTAGACCAACCACCCTTGTTTACGGGGTGTTTAGTTGCCTCAGAAAACTCAGACGGTAATCACAGAGACCGTAACCACCGTCTGAATGGGTTTGGTTGTAACAAGGTTTACATATAACAGCTTCGTAGCTAGCGTAAGCTTTACGTAGAGGAAAAGAACATATGTAAAAATAAAAGATAGATCGCGTTTAAAAAGGATAAGTATTGTGACGGCCTGCACAGACCTTCCCACATGACAAGTGGATACTTCCCAATAGGGGAAGGATCTGACCAGAGGATCCCCTTAAAGGGGTAACCTCCCACTGTACCTATCTCTCTCTCTCTTTCTTTCCTCTCTAGTCTTGATATTCTCGTCAATAGAGTAATAGCTGCTTGCTGCAGGCCATGTCTCAGCTCCCCAGTATGCTCGCCGTGACAAGCATACTTGAGAATGACAACAATATTTGCAGCGACTGTTTACACCTCCAAGGCTTGTGACCCTTTTAGAATCTCACAGAAACTATTATTAAATAAATTAGTGTCAGATGTTGGATCCCAGATATAGTGCCCTTAGGTGCAGTACCCACTATAGGGTTGTCAAGGGAATAGTGGATACACTCTGGCATGGTGCAGTATGGTATTTAGCTGTAGATTAGCCCTGCCAAGCATACTTGAGAATGACAACAACATTTGCAGCGACCGCTCACACCCCCAAGGCTTGTGACCCTTTTAGAATCTCATAATTAGCTAAAAATTTAAACCTAAAAGTTAAATATTTAACGCGTTATTTTATAATAATCGTACAACGCGCGGCGTACGAATAAAAAACGTTCGTTTTATTTTATGTGACAAAGGACATATATAAGGCCTGTTTTAAACTAAAAGGTTGCAAACCCTCGTTACATTCGTCGCGTCGCCGATAAGCACAACGATGGTCTGCATTTTATAGAGGCAACTGTTTAGGCGGGCTCGGCCGACGTCATCCCTTACCACTCCCAAAAGGTGGCCTGTTCAGGGCTAGGTAGCCTCAAGCCCGTGCAGTTAATGCGGGGTAGTGCCAACAGCACTGTACGTGGCCCCCCTTCACTGTCACTTCACTCCCCGTGCAACTAATTTCATACCTAACCTTACCTCCATTGAGGATGTCTCTCGCATAAGTCTCACACTTACGAATGTCTCAGACAGCATACCTAATTTAGAAGGAGACTAGATTAGTGGTGCTACACTCCATCGCTTTACCAAGTCTACCTTGCTCTGGCTGGTCTGACGACTGTCAGTTGACAGCCACGTTTAATCTTGGCACAACAAGTTTTGGCACATTCAAACTGACACGGAATTTCCACCAGGTAACCGTGGCGGTATGTGAATATACTGAAATCATCGTCACGATGGTGCTTCTCGTTATCATGTTGCTTTACGCGACTATGGTTTTCGACGATGGAGCGCAGGTACGAGACACCCGAAAGCTTAGCAACGTGAATCCCCAAGTCTTCTGGCGCTTCACCGAGGTCTCGTTCAAGATCATGCATAGTGTGCAAATACAGTACCGTGATAGTGTGGACTGTATAGCCGTTCGCCAATCAGCTCTGTTCGTGCTGCATGCGGCTGAGCTTGGTTATCAGCAGCGAACCTCAAGCCTCGGTGCGAGCTCTCGAAGCCTGGCTTTGGTACCTCCCTTGAGAGATGTTTTATTAGATCTTGCTCATAACGACTCTATAGCTCTGCCAACGTTATCCTGACCGCTGTGTTTGCCTTGGATTACCCCTGGATGGAGGCTAACTCTCTCGCCGTGGCACCAACCACTACCATCGGCGATGTAGCCACCACAGCCTGTGAGCGATGTCGGAGGCGGAAGATCAAGTGCGATCGAGGGCGTCCCTGCACATTGTGTAAGACTGCTGGAACACAATGCATTATTGCAGGCTCAGGAGAGAAGCAAAGGTCCGGTCAAGCTCGAGGCGACCACACTAGTCTTTTGCTAATCTTGTGATACTAGGCCCATGCGTAAGGGCTACGTGCAAGCCCTTGAACGAAGTGTGGCTTCCTTGGAGCTATTCATTAAGCAGCTCGCTGCGGCTGATGGTGTCAAGCGTGATGAGATGCTGGCTGGGTACGTGCCGAAATCGGCACTAAATAATGACATTCTCCTCTCCCAAGAGAGCAGAGCTAAGGCGAGTCCAAATGACGAGCTAGTCCTCGCAAGAGCCCGGGATGGGCAACTCAAGAAACTACGGACGGGCAGTGCTACGCAGTTCTTCGGAGGGACGAGTTTATTCCAGTTCCATACCCCAGAAGATGGCTCAGCTCCTTCAACATTGACAGGAATCGGCCTGTCTTCCGAGCACATCGACCTCAACCTCGACCCCATGGCCTTTGGCATATTCCCATATTCTCCACATGACGAGACCTGTCTAGCGACAATGGCAGACTTCTTCAAGAACCAGTATGCTTACCATATGTGCCTGTATCGTGAGTTCTTCCTCAGAGACTACGATGCAGGTGCGGGTAGGTACTACTCGGAGGTCTTGCTCTACGCCATCTGCGCAATGGGTGCCCTGTCCGACGGAGACCCCTCAATGTCATCAATATCCGAGACCTTCGCTATGCAGGCCGAGAACCTGGTTTATGCTTCGTTGGATCGGCCAGACCTGACTCTACTGCAAGCCCTGTTGTTACTCGGCTACCGAGCCATCGGCCACGGCAGCCCATCCAAGGGCTGGCTCTTCTGCGGCATGGCTTTTCGGCTGGCTCATGAGATGGGACTGCACCTAGATCCTAACAACTGGAATGGGCCCTCCGAACCTCAGATTGATCGAGAGATCTCTCGGCGCGTGTACTGGGCAGCATTCAACGCTGACAAGCAGTTGAGTCTCTACTTCGGCCGACCGCCAGCATTGTACCCGCATGAATCTGACGTGAGGAACACTATTCGGATCCCGTATCCCGAAGGATGGCAAAGTCTCCTGGACACGTACATTGCCAAGGACATCTCCATCACTGCCTACGAAGACGGTATTGCGCTTTCTGGCTCCTTCATATACCGCGTGGAGTTACTCAAGATCGTGCACACCATGATCACCGACGTGTTCGAGAACAGGCGGTACAACGCTGAGAGTACTGTTCTGGCTGCCACAGCACAGCGCATACATGTATCTCTGAACAGGTGGCTTGCGACATTGCCCGGAAAGTTGCATTGGAACCAATGGAGCAATGGCAAGGTCCAGCCGTTCGTCTTGCATCTGCAGTGAGCCTCCTATCACACAAGCCTCGCTGGTTGAACGCTCACTCATCCGTCTCATAGCATGCTCTTCCACACAGCCATGATCATCTTGCACCGGCCACCTCGCCACATGTTCACGAAACCCGGTATTGCATCCAGTGAGGACGTCGAGTTGTGCTACGAGTCACTGCAGGCAATCCTGAAGTTACTCCGCAGCTATTCGAAGTTCTACAAGTTCTCAGCACTACCCTTGGATTTCGTACACACCCTCTCAGTCGCAGCCGGGACCATCCTCATGAAGCGCCAGATCCAAGATGCCTCAGCAGAAGACAACAGTGCTTCAAGGGCCATGGACACTGTCTTGGGTGCTATGCATGCGATCAAGTACACCTGGCCGTGCATTGTCGAGATCCAGGAGAGTGTTGTCCAGGCCATGCGGGCGCAGGAATACAGGACTTCGGACACCGTGCAGGATCCAGTCCTAGACTTTGGCTTCCTTTCCGACCTGCCGTCTGGAAGTTTCCAGGCTCCTATTTCTGCCGATGGTGCGCCTGGTTTTGACTTCAATTTCTCTGATGCGGAGTTCGGGATACTTGCGGATGACTTCCTGGCCGAGCAGATGTTGTGGGCGGATCAGTCTGCTGGTTATGACCCCTTGATTTGAGGGCAGGTGTATATTCGACTGTCATTGGCGCTTGATACTACGTTGTGCGAACCAGATGGGCGGATGCAGTCTCGGGTCGATTGAATGCCTGGGTACGCAATTGACCATGGACACCATTTCCTTATTTTGTTCGTACACACAAGCACTATCATTAACTTCACAGCATGCTCTCTAATTCACGTTGATGTGGTGAAGATTCGGGTGTCAGATACACTTCGGTTAAGAGTAGCTAAGAATTCATATCATCGTTGCATATTGACTTCTTAGATACACTGAATCTTCATAAGTCTCCTACACCACCAGTCCAATATACAACGGTATATCTATCGTGACTGGAATAAGCACACTGGCATAAACGTTGAAATTAGCGTATAACATTAGAGCTGCTTATTCCTATATGTTTATGGCAGTATTTTAACTCTTTCCGCGTGATCTGGAATCTTAATAACATGCGCGAACGGAAACTTATGAGGGCCAAGTGTAGGTAGTATACTGGAAGTCTTCCCGCCTTCATCTAGTTTGGAGGAGAACGACTTACATCCAAATCCTAAACATGTGAAGCATATCCCTCGAGCTCCACTGATGTCGTTCCCCAACTTTTGGTGAATATAGGAGGCGTACATGGAACAAGCCAATGCTCAGAGCAGGAAGGCAACTAAGGAATACCCCGCTCGTCCACCTTCGAAAACGCCCACAATACCCCTTAAACCTGGTTTCCCGTCAGTATCACCAGCACACACCACGCACACCATTTCCAGATGGAAGGATATCTATCTACATCCAAACCCATAATAACAATGCCATCAACACCCGCCCGAAACAACATCCGCATCCGTACAATCCAACAACACCATATGGCCCGGCGCATGCGCCATAACCACGCCCTCGATCCCCGCCCTCACAACCGCCTCCTGCGGCGTGACACCACACCCCCAGAAAACCGGGATCTCGTCCTCCCTGGCCCACGCCTCGCTCAACGGCCGCCGCCCGTCCGCCGTCAGCGGCGCGTCCCCCCACTGGGGCACGTCCACATCCACAATACCCAGCCGCGCCAGCGCGTCCCAGCCCCAGTCGACGGGCTCGCCGTGCGTGGCATGGTACGCACGCGTGATGTCCCTTACCCTCTGCACCTCCTCTTTCCCCCGGTACACGCGCATCGAAACCACGTATGTGGAGCCCGTGAACACGCCTGCCGGACATAGGGGCAGTTGCGTGCGGTACATAGGCACGATGCGGTTCTGGAGGGTATGTCGCGGCGGGAGCCCCGCGGCGCTGAGCGCGCCTTCGAAGCTGAATGAGCACCCGATTAGGAAGGCGACGTGGTCGTGCTGCCATTCGGCTGTGATGTCTAGACAGCCTTCCTTGGTCAGGCGGCCGTCGACGTAGACGTTGTATCGTGGCGCGTCGCGGCGGATGTCGACGTCGGACGCGATGGCGGTATAGTTGTTTGGGAGGTGGGAGGTCAGGGCTGAGTAGGCGCCTGGGACGGCGGACTCGCCGATCAGGGGGCACGGGACGGGGTTGCGCGCGCAGAGGAGCCGGAAATCGGAGGCGTGGGGCGCGGGGAGGATGAGCAGGTTGGCTTGTAGGTGGCTGGGCGCGAGGCCGGAGGTTGTGTTGGTGAGGGCGTTGGTGCGGGCTAGGAGGCGGACGTCTAGGCCGGTGACGGGGGGTGCTGGGGCTGGGGGTTGGGCGATGAGGGTGGCCATGGTGCAGTGCGAGGTCTTGTATGTTTAGGTGAGGCAGCTGGTAGTTCACAATATCCCGAATATGGTGTTTTGGATGATGGATGCGTGGTTTCCTATGGACTACGTCTGGAGTTGTCTGTCTCATCATATGAAGGCGAAGCTATCTCTATCTACACCTTGACGGCTCTGATACGGATATAGATATATCGATTGGGAAGCGATGTCAGGGGCTGATTACACCACCGGCGCCGGGCGTCGTTGGTGACGGACTTCCTCCTCCGTGTGCCGCCCCGGCCCCCAGTTAACCCAACCGCCAACGGCAGGGCGTCCAGAGGAAGCGAAGAAGGTCTCGCGCCATGCTGTAACCCCCATACATCTTTGGGTGTCCTAGATAACGTCGGTAGGAACCGAAAATCGTTGATAAGGAGCCAGCTGGCAAGGTTGCTCAGCTCTTCGGATCCTACCACTGGTCGACGGATGACATGCATGAATGCTTCCAATCAGCCCCCAATCCGTGTGCGCTCCTTTGGCAGAGCTCGAAGCGGTATGATTCTACACTCCCAAGCACGTGGCTGGTTGCCTCGGTCGCCCTATCCTGAAGATCAGGTTGTCATCCATTCATCCACCCCAAGACCAACGATGATGACGATGACGATGTACGGTCGCCATACGGCCACGAAGTGTACAGTAGTACCGCAAGTGGCCGACACGGCTACTTGCCTATTATTACTTCAGTGCACCCAGTTCCCGAATGCCGAGCCACGTGCTCCTATCACGCAGGGAACAAACAGTCCAATCTCCAGAAGCGACAGTAGGGATCTGGTCAAATGCCGCATTGGGCTGGGGTTCGACACACCCGTCATCCCGTTATCACGCCACGCGACGGCTGAAGCGGCTCAGCCGAAAACGAAAGGGACCGGGAGCTGGCATGCAAGCTTGAGCGGACTGTCTGTGGGCCCGGCCGCTCAACGGTGTGGAGTAATGAGTAGGGACTGGCTGCACTTGCACGCGCGGCAAACTTGCAAGGTCTGAGCCTGCTTGTAAAGTTGTCATCAGCCTGGAAACAGGGCTGGCAGGATGCGTTGGGCAGCAATCCTCGGGCATCTCCTGGACTCCTATTGAGGACTACAGTACAGTACGCCATACAGCATGGGTGGGTGTCCCGACTATAAATGGGACATCGCTTCGGAATGGACCAAGCACAGGCAGGATTAAACGAGAATACAGGGTTTGATGAACTATCTCCAACTCTTGTTTATCAGGGAATACTCATGCTGTCAACTAACCTTGGTTGACTAGACAACTGATTCGGGATCCGGCACAGCCTTGTTGGTCCTGAGATCCACGATGCTGGTCACCCCCAGAACCTGTCCCTCCGCATCGAGAGCCAGCGCGCGCACGTAGCGCGAGCCCGCCTTCACAGCAAGTTTCGTCTCGAAACCCGCCCTGGAGACCAACATCGACAAGCTGACGACCGACTCAGGCGTGCCGCCGCGGAGCTAGCGCAAGTGCGGTCAGCGAACGGTATCCTTGAGGATCGGGATTCAGGAGTACTGCCTACCAGTTGCCAGGATTTGACCTCGGTCGCCCCATTCCAGCTGACAAAGACGTTCGAGCCAGTCGAGCCATTCAGGGCTGAACCGGCCGCCGTGGAGGCGATGCTGGGTTCCCAGCTTGGGAAACCCTTCCAGTCCATCTTGAACGCTCGGTAGTTTCCCCGACCGCCGCTGGGAGGGGCCCAGGCATCGAACTGGACGTCGAGCACGCATTCCCCGTCAGGCGTGTACTCTGTGAATGTGGGGTTCGGTCCCCAGCCGACCAGAGTATTGCCATTGGGCGTGGATTGGTAGCTTCCCATGAAGCCGGTGACGAGACTATGCGGATGGAAGTACTCGTTGACGACTTGAACTGTCATGTCCTCGAAGTCGAGCTGGAGATGCAGACCCCGCGAGCAGTTTACGGTACAGTCGGGGGTGGTAGATACGTTGTGGTTGTCAAAGAACGTGACCTGCGTAAGGTCGTCATCGTGGAAGCGTGCGTGATGTTGCCAGCCAAAGCTGAGAGCATTGCCATCGGATATGTCTCTGAAGTCGTTCTTCTTCCCACCAAGTGTCCAGATGATGTCTCCAGTACTGCCATCGACGTATGTGACAGTATGAGTGTGCCGGCTGTTTATCAGGAAGTTTCCTTCGGCGGACTAGGCAAGTCAGCGCGGTACCTTCCTTGTCACATCACCTCAGAATAGAGTGTGAGGGGACTAAGAGAGATATTGGCACCTTACCCTATCAATGCTGTTCATATGGAAGAAGTCCCAGCCCCCTGGCGAAGCTTTGTACTTCACATACGAATCCGCGAGGTCGTAGTGGTCAGAAGCCCGCCACGTCCAGAGAAGCTCTCCTGTCTCGACGTCAATCTCCTGAGCAATGTTGTCCACGAGCTCCCCGTTTGGCGGTCCGCCGACGGGGGTCAAATCGTAGATTATGGGTTGATAGACCGTAATCAAAACGGAACCCGAGGTTGTCATCTGACATTCATGGATGTCGACCGAGGCGTTGATACCTTTCGCTGTGATGTTGTGTACAAGCTCGTAGGAAGAGTCGTATATGAGACATTGTCCTGCCCACTGTCCGTTTCGCTGGACTCCCTCGAAGAAGACGAGATAGTCGGTACCGTGGAGAGTACCTACATGGGCATTGTGTGCATTTGGCCACTTGGGCTCGGCATAAACGAGGCTGAGGTCATCGGCCCTCAATATGACGGGGCCAGATTCTGTTCCTAGTGGACTGGCTAGGGCTAGGAAGATGTACGGAGCGTTGCTGAAGGGGGTGGGGATCAGTAATTGATATACTCGAATGGTATCGGAGCTCCAATAGCTTCTCAAAGCTCATGCAAATGCTCATACACCAGGACAGATCAGGATGATGGCAAAGAACTCTGGAACACGTACTCAGTCCTACCCTTATCCCACTCGTTGACCTGTAAGAGGGGAGAGACGATGTCGGAAGAGTAATATGTCTGGTTGGGGTTCGCTCCATAGTATCCGCTGTTGTAGTCGTCGGCGTCGAATACCAAGGCTGCATCGGCAAGGACTCGTTGTACTAATACAGCCACCAGGCAAAAGCAGGAAGAGAGATGTTGCATAGTGACGAGACACAGGGCAGGACTACCTACCTTCGTCCAGTGTTCTGAACGGTGGAAGGGCTAGGGAATTGGCAGCCCGCTCTTATATGTCCACCTGGATGGAAGCTGCCAAACCCTTCCGAAATATGTTGATTGCAAGGGATATCAAGTGCGCCGTGACACATGAGTTTCCGATAGATCATCCTTCACATGTTGCTCTCCTCCCATTCGCAAGATGAGTTTGTGGACGTGCGGACGGTTCATCTGGCAAAGTAAATAGCCGAATGCATGATCAGTCCAGCGCAGCGGGAGCCTTGCTGTTTTCGGAGTGAAGTCTCATGAGGATGCACAGTACTGGTGATACGGGGCCTCGGGAGGAGTATGTTTTCTGCTCCTGGTATTTCCTCCCTGCCCCGTATGTGCAGTTTGCTGGCCAGGTGATAGTAGCCCTTCGAGCTGGCTCCCTTGGACAGGCGAAAGAGACAAACAGAGCAGCACATTGGACTAGTAGTCGAGTTGACCTCCATGGAAACCACTCCGTCCATGGCATTCTCGTTCTCTGAAGCTGCGCAGTGCGAGGGACTCTGGCGTGTGACATTTGCGGCGCCGACTCGAGGTTACGTTACGGGCCGTGGGCCGTCAATTATGTTCCACGACTTGAGTTTGTGCATCGAGAATGCGATTGCCAGCCAAAACTTAATCTCCCCCCTGAGGGACACATCTTGGAAACATGGAGGCATATGGGTACACAGGTAACTCGGCATGGGTCACAACCGAGGCGATTGTAATGATGATGTAGAAATTCGCAAAAAGCCAACTGCCCATCTGGGCAGTCTGCCAGTGGCGTATTCAAAGTGGCTGAGCCCAGGCCCCTTCTGTCCTCTTATCAAAAGTCGTGCTAATGAAAGTGGCTTGACACATCTGGACTCGGGAGTCGAGAGCACACCTGCACAGACAAACAGAGCACAGTAGGTTTGCCCCCACCCGCACAGTACAAATACGGTGAGCGTCCCCAGATTCATTTCAGATCCCAGATCTCGGCAAGACGGCGCCTCAAAAGTAGTGCCACGCCCAAAGTTTGAGATTTCGGCCGACTTGCAACCTGCAGAACTTGGACATTAATAAAATTCCATCTGGCCAAAACTTATTAGCCATTCAAGCATCCAGCGCCCGCAGTCACTTCTGGAAAACCATTGATCTTCGGAACGAGTCAGCCTGCCAGGCCGCTCGAGGAGATCTACCTCTGGGCCCATTCATACCAAAGTGAGATGACGTACATTTGACGATATCTACCTAGTCAAAGGAGGTGGCGGCGGCAATACCGGCAGGCCTCAAGTACTATGTGCAGCAAGAACGCTGCAGGATCTCACAGTCAAGGTCGTCCCCATCTCCATCCAGCAAGATACGTCCGTGAGGTTGGTTTCATACTGGACTCGAACGGCATTCAGCCACGGCGACGCACTTTGATGTCGAATAGGCATGCAGGCAGAACATGCAGACAAACATGTAGGTTGCCGTAGACGTGAGGAAACGGGGCCACAAGTAGGCGACTAAAAGTAAATAGATATCTGCAGACGAGCCGTGGTGTTTGAAGGATGGGAATCCGCATGCCAGCGCATTGCGATGATGGGGAAATTAAGGTGCCAAGCCGGCAGGTCTCACAATCCCCCATCTTCAGCCCATATCCCAGCAACTTTGAATGTGAGTGGCCTCGTGCGGTTCGAGTTGCTGCTTGACCGCTTCCATTGCTGCTGGTTTTGGTCATGATGTCGAGCGCTCGTGACACATGCCATTGGAGCCATTGGAGCCATCAATCTATCTCGGCGGTATGGCCATGATATGACCGTCAACGGACTGAAGTCCGCTCTGTAGTGGTCATGCTTTCAGAGCTGAGAGCCGCATGACGCGGCCTGGCGAGTCTGGTCTTATTAGGCACGGCGTTGCCGCTGAAGGCGGAGGATGAGTTCCTTTAGTAGTATTTCGAGGCTTGCCTAGTGTCCCAGCTGATCGGGTTAAGTTGTTAGCGAGTGGGTGTGCTGTCAGTTGGGAAGATGAAATTCCAAATCGGGCGGCTTTCGAGATTGTATACTCCTGGAAGAGGCAACAGAGGCTGTCTGCGCAAGTTCATAAGGTAATCTCGTACAGTACAGTATCTGCAAACTCGGTATAGGCAGCGGAGTGGTATGTGGCATGTAGGTTAGGCGTGTTATCAGCAATACCAAGGTACAGTTATGTACATGTAGGCAAGGTGTGTACAGTTGAAGGTGTCTAGATTTCCAAAACTTCAATGCAGTTCCAACTTCCCAACCAACAAATGCCCAAAGGGCACGGGAATCATGGATGGATGTGAGTTGAAAAAGGGGGTCCAGTGATTCCGCGCTTGCCCCTTCAACGTCGTTCCTTGTTCCTTGTGCCTGCCGCAGTCCGCTGGCTGTGAGCCGACTTTTAAGTCACGTAGCAGTCTCGTGGGCCTCGTGCCTGCATGCCTAGCACGGGCAGTACGGGTAAGCAATTGTATCATCTTGGTGCTGGCGCCCTTGGGGAACCGGTACCTAATAATAACAATTACCAAGGGCGCACGACTGCTGCTGACATTTCTGTGTACTCAGAGTGGCATGCACTTGCTTTGTCTGCCTTCCCATCTGGTGACTCCTACTGCAAAGCACTTGGACACTATTGCTGTTTGTTCCGAGTCGCGTGTTGTGCGTCCTCCGTCGTGTGCGTCCCGTCGTGTGCGTTGGGTGAATTGAATGGGGCGAAATCACATCCCGTACTGTAGCAGTAGCCGCCCAGGCACTGTGTGACGTAGTGGCCTGCGACCCTGCACCCTGCACCTAACTACTAACTAGAGAACTAGAGGAAAGAGCCTTGCAACCATCTCCCGTCCCATACACCTACGCCAGAAACAATCACACCCTACCTACCTAATTCTTCACCTTCGCTGTCACCGCCGCCACAATCGTCGAGACCGACGACCGTCCAGCCTGCCGCTCCGAAACCACCTCACCTCACCTCAAACGCCTGCAACCGCCTTCACGCCGACAGCGAATGCCGAAGCCACGAGACCATAGTCGCACTGCTCCCCGGCCTGCTTGTAAGGGGGCACCGTTATGAGGAATGCCAACCCCTAATTTTCCCCAAAGCCCGTTCCGACCATGCAGCACCCGCCGTCCACGCCCTCACAACACGACGCCTGATCCTCCAGTACCCGTGGCCGCTACACACGAACAACCCGACAATTCCATGCAACAGTCAGCAGAAGCCGGCCCATCATTGACGGCGCCTGCCGAGTCGTGGCTGTCGGTGTCGTCATCCCGCGACAAAGTCCCATCCCCTCAACCAGACATCAGTCTTCGGCTACGCGGCGGTGGAGCGGATGCAGGCGATTCGGAGGGGTCTACACCTGACGGCCACGATGAACAACGACATCGACAACAGACCTCGGGGGCCGGGTCGACCCCACGGCGAAAAGGCAAGGAAGTTAGCATCGCACCTGATGCGCCTGAAATCATAGGAACTCGCCAGTCACTAGATAACTATCGCGCCAAACTCGCTCAGGATCTGGGACGCCGAGATATACCTACACGAACTCCGCCCTCCGCACTCCTTGAGAAGATGCGCTTCTCACCTATCCGGGAAGAAGCTATTGTCTCTCCCACCCCTGGTTCAGACCTACCAACCGCCGCCTCGACCGAGTCGAATAAGACTGTCCGTGGCGGCATGACCCCAGGTTTTGTGGCCAGGACGCCATCATACCCGTTCCCCCGCATGGCTACGCCCAGCTTCTTTCCCTCACATTTGCAGCATGCCCTGGGCCAACAGTCTGGGATTCTCGGTTCGACTGGTGCGCAGTTCACCCTACATGACCAGCTGACATCTCCATCCTCCCCCGCATCCGCAATGACTTTCCTACCATCTGGAGCCACGCCATATTCCGAGTCTTTCGATTTTCCTACCCCTAATCTCTACGAGCTGTCATTGATGCTCTCATCAGAGCCTGGCTTGGATGCGTGGTGGAGTAGTGTCATCCAGATCATGACTGAATGCTACAAGGCGGAGCGGATCACTCTTTCTGTTCCTGCCGACGCTACAGACATCGACAACGTCCCGTGGGGCCAGAAAGCGACCTATCATGCCCAACAGGAGGATGAATTGAGCATGGGCTACATGGCCAGAGGGAGCAGTAGGGTCCCTAGTAGTGCAGATGACCAGTCTGACATTTCCTCGATCAAGGATGCCTTTCAAAAAGGTGAGAGACCTTTGCGCCCAGGTGTGCAGAGCCGTCACTCTTTCACTGCCTATGAGGAAAAGAAACAATCCCGCAAAGCTCAGGTTAGCGAGGCGACAAAACTTAACCCTCAGAGGCCTGGTCTGGTGCCAAGGAGCAAAAGTTACTTCCCAGGGGCAGACAAGAATAGCCCGACTTCGCCCCACCCGGCATTGAATCAGCAGTCACTGGAAGAGCACGACGCGGTTGAACCAGGTCAGCCTGTCCCGAGTTGGGAAGCAACAATGGATTCGAGCAGGGAGGTCAAGGGCCGGGTTCTTCCAGTGTTGCAGGGACTGGACCTCGAAGCTGACCCCCTCATCGACCACAATGGCATCACCAGGGTCATAGAACGAGGCAACGTCATCGCCCTAACTCGTACATATCCATATCTTGATCCGGATGCGGAGGAGAAAGCCAAGGCCCAGAGCACCAGGCCATCCTCATCAACGCAGAGAAAGCAGATCAAGACTACGCCTTCGACGAAGCTATCATCGCTGCTCGCTAATGCTAGCGCACCCCGTTCCAAGGACGTCAGCAAGAAGCCATCGTCATCCACCAAGAGCGATGTTACAAACCTCTACTCGGTTATCGACGAGACTGCTCAGCGACCCCTCACACCGAACTACGAAGAATTTGAACAGCCTCCCCCGTCACCATGGTCTCAGTCACCTGCACCATCTCCCGCAGTGCGCCCTGATCCTAATGAGAATCCCTTCTTCACTGACGCAGTGGTTGACGAAGAATCATTCAACCCTGGCCCTAGTCCTCAAGACTACACCTCTGACCAGCCGCCCGAAGCTATCGGAGTTGACAATTCCTGGACCGTGCTTCATATACCCCTTCATCACATCCTGTTTTCAAAACCCGCTCAAGGATTCAAGTTAAGTTCTACAGCCCTACGGCAAAAGACCAATATGCGTGGCAAGATGGAAGGCATATCACCTGAACCTTCGCCGTCCGAGGAATTTGCCCACAAGGAACGGCAACCACCCATCGCCATCTTGTCGATTTTGAGCCCACTGATACCGTATCCGTCAAACCTACGTCACTCACTACAGCATTTGGCCGCCCATCTGGCGACGTCCTTCTCGCTTTGCCGTCATTATTCCAATCTCGAGACCGTAGTTACGGGGCTCCACCGGAAAAGACCAGCGGCCGTTGGCTTTGGCGCGGTAGGCCCTGACGGAAGAGCGAATGCGAACTCGACGATGTTTTCTCAGCTCAACTACACGCCCTCAGAAGAGATATCTCTCCGCTCAATTTCTGGAAGTATTACCAGCCCTAGTGATTATTCCACTCACTCTCGTAGTATCAATCCCTCCCCGATGGGAACCCCTTGGGATGCCGGATCTTTGGGGTTGTTAATGGAGAGGCGTGCTGTGGGGACCAGTCCCAGCCAGACAGGCGGTGACAGCTACTTCAATCCGAGGAGTAAGAGTAGTGGTACACCCGGCGAAGCCTCGTCGAGCGCTCCAAGTCATCGGCCTGCTCGAAATGCGAGGGAAAGCGCAGCAACGCCTAGCAGCCACCATAAACGTTCGGGCAGTCTGCGTCAAAACCAGCAGGAACCTGTCTCCACGAAAGAAGCAGGGGTTCTTGATCCGGCCGTTGGCAGTGCCATCACTACCGGAGAGGACACTCCCACCGATACACCCAAACCGCAACCTGCGTCAACAGCTCCCTCCGTAGTAGGGACTACGAAAGAGGAGCAGTTGAGGGAGCAGAGCGGCGAGGACGACCGGAAAAGGGCTTCGAACGAGCATGGACCTGGGAAGGGTGTCTACAGGCACACAAAACTGCACTCATATGGCGGTGATTTTGCTACAACATTTCAGTCTCTGCCACCGAGCACACCATTGGTTCCAAAACCAGCGATGCCTTCTTCTACGCCAAATCGCCCTGGAACTGTATCGACTGCACCGGCGAGCATGCCTCCACCGACCGACCGCCTCAAAGGTCTTATGCTCGACCTACTGCCTGTCCAAGTATTCGTGGCTTTACCTGTGAATGGCGAGATTGTGTGGGTAAACAGTAAATACTTATCCTACAGAGGCCAGACGCTTGCAGACCTGATTGCGGACCCTTGGGGTAGTCTTCACGACGACGATCGCAATCAATTCATGGATGCGTGGACGTATTCGCTTCGCACGGGTGAGCCGTTCGTCCATACTGCTCGGCTACGCCGATTTGATGGAGCTTATCGTTGGCACCAAGTCCGCGCAGTTGCCTCGCGAGACAAGTGGGGAGTCATCGTACAGTTCATCGGCTCTTACATGGACATTCACGACCAGAAGGTTGCCGAACTGGTGTCTCTCCGCCAACAGGAAATCGAGGTTTCAGAGGCAAAACATCGCCTGCTGGCCAATTTGATCCCCCAAATTATCTTCACGGCGACAGAGAGCGATGGTATCACATTTGCAAACGAGCAATGGCTATCATACACTGGTCAAAACGACGAAGATCAATTGGGCCTGGGGTTCATGGACTTTGTTCATCCCGATGACATGGCAAAATGTCGTTTACCAGCGGACTGTACATCCAGAGCGTCCCCTGCCAGGAGGAGGGACCTTGATACGCCCTCTGAGTTCTCTTCATCCACGATTGTGCCAAAGCGGACCTCGGCGACCTCATCATCTACGCATACTCCTACGGTCAAAAGCCCTAGAGGACCTCTTGGCTTATCCCGAGACAACAGCTCAAACAGTTCTTCAGCATATGATTCCCCTAATGCAGATCTCAGTGAACTCACAAGGAAAGGAATCATCAAGGTCGCCACAGATAGCAACGGCCGGCTTTCATACACGACAGAAATGCGTTTGAGGTCCAAAACAGGAGAATATCGATGGCATCTGATTAGGTGTGTGGAGATTGACGGTGTCGGGTTTGGCAGCGGCACCAGCTCCTATTTCGGCTCTGCAACCGACATAAACGACCATAAACTGCTGGAGGCGAAGCTGAAAGAGGCCATGGAGTCGAAGGGCAGGTTTCTGAGCAACATGTCTCATGAGATTCGAACGCCTTTGATTGGTATATCTGGCATGGTGAGCTTCCTGCAGGATACGACACTCAATGAGGAGCAGAGGGACTATACGAACACGATTCAGACCAGTGCCAATAGTCTTCTGATGATTATCAACGACATACTGGACCTATCGAAGGTCGATGCTGGTATGATGAAGCTGAATTTTGAATGGTTCCATACTAGATCACTCATCGAAGACGTCAACGAATTGGTCTCGACGATGGCAGTCGCCAAACGGCTGGAACTCAATTACATCGTCGAGGAGAACGTACCTTCATGGGTTAAGGGTGACAAAGTACGGATACGCCAAGTGCTTTTGAATGTCATAGGTAACGCCATCAAGTTCACGGCTGAAGGGGAAGTCTTCAGTCGATGCAGAGTTTTCTCGGACAACACCTCTGAGCTTGACGAACACCAGATGATGCTCGAGTTTTCGGTCATTGATACTGGGAGAGGTTTCTCGAAGGAAGAGGCCGAACTAATCTTCAAACCTTTTAGTCAGATTGATGGCAGCAGCACCCGGCAACATGGCGGTAGCGGGCTCGGTCTTGTCATATCAAGGCAGCTTGTGGAACTTCACGGCGGTACAATGGAAGGCAGTGCGGTGCCTGGGAGAGGCTCAACATTCAGTTTCACCGCCAAATTTGGATTACCAACCTCAGCTGACCATCCGCACTTTGCCGAAACACCGCCAACGATGGCGTCTATCCCAACACCGTCAGAGGACAAGGCAATGCAGACCATGAAGCCCTTGTTTCTCCAAAGAACTCTGGAACAGCCGTTGACTGCCAGCCCCGGCTCCGACATCGAAGTCGCTTCGCCTGCTTTTACATCGTCTGCTAGCTCGGACCCTTCGGTGCGCTCTGTGCGTACGCAGAACACGGCAAGATCGTCCATTTCATCTGTCAACGTCGGCCTTGTACACTTCAGTGAAGCTGCAAAAGCGAGCGGGCAGGATCTTTCACAGATGAAACTGGAGATGCCGTCCGGAAAGATGTCGCCTGCGATTCCACCTACCCCTGAGGCAACCAAAATCACGAATGCCGAGCGGTTCCGTCCCCCGATGTATTCGGTTCTCATCATATGTCCGCAGACATACTCCAGAGAAGCTGTCACGAAACACATTGAGACGACACTACCAAAAGATGTTCCACATCAGATCACAGCCGTCGCGAGTGTAACAGAGGCCGGCAAACTGATTGGTGGGCATGAGTCTGTCACGTTCACACATATCGTGCTCAATCTCGGCACGGCGGAAGAGATCATCAGCCTTATAGATCAGATAATGGCCACCTCTAGGGACAAGACCTCGGTCCTGATCTTGTCAGATTCGGTACAGAGACAGGCGGTGCTCAAGCTCGCTTCCGATACTGCGCATCGCCAACTCCTAGCGGAGAAACGGATCATTTTCGTGTACAAGCCGATCAAGCCATCTCGGTTTGCTGCCATATTCGATCCGGCAAGGGAGCGTGATTTGAGTATCGACCTCAACAGATCGAGTGCCGCGCAGATGGTGGAGAGCCAGAAACAGAGCTACCTGGATGTGGAAAAACGAATCGGCAACAAAGGCTATAGGATTTTGCTTGTCGAAGACAACCCGGTCAACCAGAAGGTTCTTGTCAGGTACTTGAAGAAGGTTGGGATCGATGCCGAGATCGCGGCAGACGGAATGGAGGCAACCGAGAGAGTATTCGCACACCCCCCGAAGTACTACTCTCTCATACTGGTAAGTGATGACAAGTTCACCTCGTCCAAGCTCGGCAAAGAGCTAACGATATTAGTGCGACCTCCATATGCCTCGTAAAGACGGCTATCAGACGTGCCGAGAGATACGACAATGGGAGAAGAAGGGCAGCTATCCTTCAGTGCCCATCATAGCTCTCTCGGCAAACGTGATGTCGGACGTCCAAGACAAATGCGTGGCGGCCGGCTTCAACGATTACATCACAAAGCCAGTAGACTTTGTTGACTTGAGCAACGCGATGTCCAAACATTTCTGATTCGGCACGGCAAACGATTATCCAGCACAGCCATTTTCAGGAGGAGGGCAGCATACTTGCATCGTGGGCGTTCTGGGTCGATTAAAGGACGACTTCGTTTATTTTGAACGTATCAGCCGCCAGAGGTGGCTTGAGTTGATCATCTGTATTTCTTGTTGAATTAATGCATGTACCAATGATACGGGCCGGGGCGGCTGCCAGGGCACGCGATGGGCAGGAAACCCTCGACTCCACCGGGCGCGGTTGTACAAATGGGGACGGGTACCGGCAACCATACCGGGCCCATAACGACTCTATGAAGAGTTGCTACGGCATCTGGCAACCCCGTGTTTCAGCCCTGTACCTGGGGCAATTGGAGTTGGGGATCTTTGCATTTTTTGTGCCAGGCGAGAGCGTTGGTATTGGGTCCGTATTGTCCTAGTCAATTAAGTACACTTCATAAACCTGAGGCGCTTGAAGAACTAATGGGAGATGTTACGTTGACTGCATTGAGTTTGCCTGGCGGGCTACGGATACCCCTGCGCTCTGCGTTCTTACGGCGTCATTCAGATGTCTCGTATCCTTGCAACTTGGGAATGAGTCCTCATAGTGATAGATCTCGACCAAAGACACCAAGCCAAGTTACAGCCAGTATCTTATGGGTTCGGCAATCCTCGTGTGTTTCCCGCATACACTGCGGCTTGCATATCTAGGTCTTCCGATCGTTACGTGGCATCGGATCTAGCCCGCTACACTAGGTACTTGATTCGAGCAGGACTTGTCTTCGCGGCCCCCTTGACGGAACTCGTCAAAGCTTCCATGAGTTCTTTTCACACAGCCTCCGTTGGCGTACGGGAGCGATCTTGCCAGGGTGCCCTTCCGGAGATTGAGTCGGCGTCTTGTCGGGCTCTTCCGCGGTGCTTCTGTAGGTCCTTTCTGTAGCCCCTTTGTGGAGGCCCTTGTCGATACTATGCTAAGTTTTCCGACGATGAATGTGTCTGAGCACTCTGTACGGGTTGGACTTACTGGACAGGCGACCAAAGTTTGTGTTGCTGAGGATGTTGCATGGCAAACTGTGCTCCGTGGCTCTGAGGACCTTGTTGAATGGCGCGCAAGCCACCGTGGCGTTCAGGGAGGTGGCAGTGCACCAACAAGGCCAATAGGGCATATGTGGGTCACTTAGCCCACAGAAGGATTTTCACACAGATACAACAAGAACACGGATTATACCAGAATATACGTTTTCACCCATCTAAAAACCCCCACGCACTGTTTGACAGACCTCTCATGCATTGGCTGGATCAATGCCTGTTCCTCTACTCATGATGGTCACTGAAGTGTCTGGACACACACGTGTACCATCCCCCCCTCACGTCTCGTACACCCCCACATCTGGTACAGCAAAACCCCACCACCACCACCAAAACACCCCCTTATTCACCCACATGTAAAAGAAGTCATTCAGGTCCGAGAAATCCAGCAAAATTATCATTCGAGAGCCCTGAAGCTGATCATTCGTAATATCTAGTGGGCGCCCGAATGAATCGCCCCGAACGGGTCTGCCTAGGCTCCTGTATGGCCTCCGAAGCGGCCTCTTCGGCCGAGTCTTCGTCTTCTGCTTCTTCTTCCTCGTCATTATCAACCATAACTTCTGATACATCCACAGAAGCACCAAGGGTGATGGTATCACCCGTACTTAGTATCTCCGTGACTGTTCTGAATTTCCTGTTAGGATTAGGGATCTTTAGCTGCTTCTTTGGCCGTAGCCGCTCCAGTTCAGCCTCCAGGGCCTTGATCTTCCTGTCCTTGATAATAAGGTCGGTCTCCTTAGCCTTGAATGCAGTGGCTATCTTCCTGTACTTCAGCCGGGTCCCAGGGGACTTATTTTTGCTGAAATTCATGATCTGATGACTCGTAGTAGGGGTCCGTTGGTCCTTTAGTTCAGAGCTTTCAGGGGTCTGAGGTTCAGGGGTCTTCTGCTTCTCTTCCTGGATTTCTGGGTGCGCTAAGCACTTCCTGTGGCTGATAGGATAACATCCAGTCGTTCTGAAGCCAGAGAGGATGTTTACCTTAGTAAAAGCAGCAGTTCTGGCCTGGCCATAGCACCGAATAAAGTTGATCTTGTCAACAGGCGAGGCATCCGTCAGAGAATTTAGCTGAGAAAGGAATTTCTGGTAGTGAGCCTTCAGGGCGTTATAGGCCCGTTATCTAAGGGTTGCATGCTGTGACTAGTATGCGCAGGGAAGAAACAGAGCAATATGTCAGTCCTAGCTTCTTTTAACATAAAATCCGGTTGACTATAGTGCTTTCTTGAGCAGGGGAGAGTCTCTGTTGGTGCATATGGCCTTCGCTTTTTGAGGGCTTACCGTTAAGTCGGTCAGAGAGCGTTATAACAGGGACGCCGTGTTTTTGAGCGCTTTTTTGCAGCGAGAGGCCATCATTTGTGATATCTAAGATGGCATACGCCATTTGATCCTTTGTATACGGTTTGGGAGGCATTTTAGGTGACTATACGCCAGACATGAGCGCCGTCTTATATTTTTTCTATCTCTTCGGACTACCTCTATATACGTTCCGCCGACATAGCCTCTAATGGCTGATATCATAGCACATTGGCTGCTGCGTCTTTTGCACTATCCCAGTCCACAGCGTCGTTACTTGGCACCTATATATACCATTTTCAGGAGAACCTACTGCACGTTGTCTGATGAAGCTTTTGTTGGATTCTGGGCTACGTTAGCCCATCCATAGTCATCCTTCAGGATCAACATCTCCATCTGTGACTCTGTCACATACGTGGCCAATATAAGGCCACGTATCCTTTCCTTTAGTATCTTGGATATATAGGGCCACTCTGGCCGCTCCAGAGTAGCTGGAATTCCTCTCCTTAGATAGAACACTTTGAAATCTCACAGCTTTTAGCTAGCAAAGGAACACCGGTATCTCGCACCTCGCCATCACCAATAGCGAGGCTGAACCGGATTAAAACGGCTCCAGAGCCAGTCGATTAGCGTTCGCAAATGATTGTGGTATCCGGACCAGCGGAATTAGCGAACCCAGAGACACTCTCCGAATTCTTCGACCGCCACTTTTGGTACGATCTTTGCAGAACCTCCCCCTCCCGCACATTAACAAAGCCCGTTCCGTTCGAGCCAAGTTAAACTTATATCCTGTACTGCACCCTGCAACCCCTTTTCGTACACGATACACACATACAAACCTCATTGTATTGCCACCATCATCGCTTACATCATGGAGAGTCGTGGAACCCTGGACCACTTGGTTGCTGTATGTGAGGAAACAAGATAAGATATCCACGGCAGAACAAGAACGAACGCGAGACAGTAGCAAAGGCCTTCTCCGACCCCGAATCAGGTGTGGGAGCGCTCGTTACGCGACTAGAGGACACGGTGGGCCCCGAACTAGGCGGCGCGTGCACAGAGGGTATCATCACTCAACTCCCCGAAGAACAGGCGGTATTAGACCGAATACAGCAATCGTTCAGCGCGGGGAGACCGGAGACCTCCAACGACGACTGTACGGGTGCAAGAAGCTGATCACCGGGCCGGTCCCAGAAAGTAACTTGGGGAGAGCACCATGAGAGATATGAAGACATCACTTGTTTATGATGGATTGGGATGCTTCGCTTGGCATATAGCTAGAGGATAATAAGAGGGTTTGGGGCATCCTGATGAACATGCCATCTAGTAGATAGATTACATCAATCAGACACTCCGAGCCAAGCGACGTGTCTTTCTATCGCTATCGTGATTGCCGGACTAAATGTCCTTGGTTTTCGAAGAGGCTTTGCCTGATGACCTGTTCTTCCGACACAAGTTCTCCATGCAATACCCAGCCCTCTTCCCAGGTCTTCATTGTAGTGCCGTATAGCCGAGGAAGTTGCAATAATATCACAAGTTGTTGGAGTACTAGCATTAATGTGGCGATCAGTTCATTTCAAGTGCAAACACGACAGTGCTGCTTCTATAATTCGACAAGGGCTGCCACCCCAATTGTATCGGCTTGCCCGCATGCCTTCCTGGCAGAACAAATGATCGAGAAAAGAAGAGGGAACCCGAGAACGCCGTCTCCATGCCTTCCGTGACGAGGAAAGGCGAACAATGACAACAAGAAAAAAAAAGTAAACCGAAAACGCCATGCCCATCCCTGCGTGGGTCTTCCACAACAGAACAAAACCACAACCCATACTCCAACACAGTGGTCTGCCTTGCGACCAATAACAAATGGGTATATCCTCCCATCCCTCCTTCCATTCATTCATCTTGTATAGTGTGCTTCAGCGAGAAACTCCGCAAACTCCGAAAACTCCGAATGCTCCGAATATGCCATGCCAAGCCAAGCCGACGCAACAACGAAAAAAACCCTTCAACCACACATGCGCCCCTCCCCAGCCAAACCGACATCAACACCCCCAACCCCCGAGAGTTCCCCCTAAAACAAGACAAAATCCTTGCCCGCCAAAAACGGTAATTGTACAGGGGCTTGCCGCGAGGCAAGCCCTGCCAACCGGCGAAGGTTGGCGCGGGGGCGAATGGTGGGAAACTCTCAGGGGGAAGGAGGTGCTGATATTGGTTCGGCGCGTAGGAGGGATGACCGGCGCGTGCTCCTGTTTTTCCGGTCTGCTGCAGCGTGGTTGGTCGGTCGGTTGGTTCGTTCATGGCGGCATGGCGGTTATGGGCTTAGTGGTGGTGAGGGGTCGCGGCAGCCTCGGTCGGCGAAGGCAGGTCCTTCTCCTCGCCGGCGATGCGCATGCTGCGTCGCAGCTCGGCGCGCGACCGCGCAAGGAAGTTGGCGGAGGGGCGCTTCGGCTGCTGCTGCGGCTGCTGCTTCTTATGCGGCGGCGGCTTCGAGGGCGTGTCGGCTGCCTCGGGATTGGACTCGGACTCGGAGCTTGCGTCGTAGAAGTGGCTCGGTAGCCCGAATGAGCCGGGCGTCTGCTGCTCCTGCTCCTGCTGCTGCTGCTGCTGGTGAAGGCGGGGCAGCAAGGGCGTGTTGACGGCGTCGGGCGTGGACAGAACCAGAGACGAAAACGGGGAGAGGCTGCCGGCCGAGGATGAAGACAGCGGCGACTCGTACATGGTGAACAGTCCGGTCGGTCGTGCTGGGGTCTGCTGCTCCTGCTCCTGCTGCTGGTGAAGGCGGGGCAGCAAGGGGCTGTTGACGGCGGCGGCGTCGGGCGTGCACAGGGCCGGAGACGAAATTGGGGAGAGGCTGCCGGCTGAGGACGAAGACAGCGGCGACTCGTACATGGTGAACCGCCCGGTCGGCTGTGGTTCCGGGGTCTGCTCTGCGGTGCCAGCCTGCATCGGCGAAGACGACGCGGCGCTCGGCGAGTCGGCGGGAGTGGGAGCAGGAGCGACTGCATCGGGCGCAGTCTCAGTGGCGACGGCCGGGAATGCGTCCAGCTCTAGGTCGTGAGTCTGGTGGTCTCGCATGGATCTGACTATGAGCCAGTGCTCCGGAAAGTCGTGCAGGTTGCGGGTGTTAGTGACAACTGTTACTTTACTAAAGATGTGGGGGGAAAAGGGGGAAAAGGGGGTGGGGTGCGTGGCGCAAAACTCACCGATCTCGCGTCTTCCCGTGCGGTAGGTTCCGCCATGGATCGCTTGGTGCAACGCGTCGTAGTCGAACGTGTCGTCGGCTACGTAGACGCCCGGCGCGATGATGTCGCCGCGGCCGTGCACGTAGGTGATGCCGTTGCGCTGGGCCCATGCCACCCACTGCCGAGGCAGCGGGATCTGCGCGGTCAGGTACTTGTAGATGCCCTGGAGCCTGCCGTCGGGATGGAAGAAGCGCGGGTCAAGGGGCGGCGCGATGGCTCGGATGGTTCTGGTGGCGATGGGGGTGATGGCGGAAGGGGAGAGGGCGAGGCCGACCAGAGCAGGCGTGCGGGCGGGCTCTTCGTCATCGTCGTCGTCGGAGCGGTGGATGTAGTCGTCATCTTCGTCATCTTCGTCCTCGTCGTCTTCGTTCTCGTCTTTCTGCGTCTCGGCAGGGGTGACTTGCTCATGCTGGCGCTCCAGCTGAGCAGCGAGCTCAGCAGCTTCGTGCTGCTCCTGCGTGGCTCTCAGATGGGCGTCTTCGATGTCTGCGGCCGGGTAGAGGCCACGGCCGAGCTTCTCCAGGCCGGTGGTGATGCCATGGCAGAGTCGGCGGTAGCTGCGGCGGACACCCGGGAGGATGCCCCCGTTGGGGACCGGGGCGGGCTGCTGCTGGCGGAGGACGGGCCGGACTGCGGGGTGGGCGGCAGCGGGCAACGGGGCGACGACATCAGCGGTGGCGGGTCGGGGCGATGTCTGGACGCGCTGGGCGTCCTGTCGGGTGGCTCTCTTTGCGCGTCGAGCCTTGACGAAGTCTCTCTTGTTGGCCTCCAGCCAGTTCTTGAGGACCTTCTGGTCCGGCATGGCGGTGTTGCCATGCTGGTGGTTGTGCTCGAGCAGGGTCTTGCACGCGAGAAGCGTGCTCTTGCTGTGGCTTGAGTGGCACGTGGCCGTTATCTGATTGGCCGCATTGGCCGCCGGCAAGTTGAGAAAGAGGACAGGCAAAGGGGCTGTCTGGGGCGTCGGCGTCTTCTTCTTACGCTTCATCAGCGAACCACGTAGGATGGCGGTGGTTGTGGTGGTGGTGGCGGGCAGGGGGGACAGCGACCGGAAGGGGTCGATGCGGCGAAGCCGCTTGCGTCGTTCCTCGTCGGCCGCCTCGGTGGTGGCCTTGCGCTTCCGGTTTACCTGGTCCATGATGATTGATGGCGAAGGATGGAATTGGGAATTGGAAATCGGGAATGTCGAAATGTGAATAGCGAATTGCAAATCAATACGAACAAGAGATAGGTACCAAGGCACGAAAAAGCGTGGATGCGAATCTGTGTTGCGATGCTTCAATGTTGTGCGTTGGTCTAGGGGAAAGGGAGAAGAAGGCAGGGTGCAAACATGAGATCGATAGATATTTACATGTGGGCACCAATGGCCACAATCAGTAAATCCACAGGCAGTTCTTCGGGGCAACCAAGTCCATGTCGTTGCCGTGCATGGCCTGGCTGTATCAGTCGACGATACCGGGGCAACCGGTGGCAGCTGGTCGTCCAGCGCCAGTAGCAAACATGATCTGCTGCGGTCTGACCAATCAGTGCATGCTAGATGGGTTCGTTGGAAGTCGTCCAGATATAGATCTTGGAGCTATATACTTTTACGTGTTGCATGGTGGTGCTTGCACAGTAGCTACTGAAAGGGGCTTTTGAAAGGGGGATGCTAGAAATTGGCTCCTCGAAAGAGGCCTCTGGAAAGGGGCTCCTGAAGAGAGGCTTTTGAAAGGTAGTCAAAATTGACGAAGACGCCTCCGTCGCGCTTACAGGGACTCCTAGAAAAAAAGCTATTTGGACTATGGTAGCTACATACCTGACGAAGACGCCTCGGTCAAGCTCACAGAAAACACCTAGAAAATAAGGTACTTAGACCATAGTAAATAACTATGAAGAGATTTCTGAAAGCATCAGTGTATCTATGAGAGTATCTATATGGGTATCAATATGGGTATCAATAAGGATATATATGAGAGTATGTATGATGGTATCTAGAATGGTACCTATGAGGGTACCTATAAGGGGTTACAAAGGCAAGTGTATCATGAAACAGTAAAATGACCAACTTAATCGAAATCCATAAAGTATTCAGGGGGTGTTTTCATACTCATCTCATACAGTCTTGTTTGATCACGTACGCAAACTACATTATACGCAAGTGGTATGCCAACATGGCTCAGGGACGAAACTCCACAACAAGGTCCGTAGCTAAGTACTTGCTTGTTGTTGCGATGAAGAATCATGCCCAAGCTCACCAGGGCCAGGGTATATCTGAAGTCTCATGGCAGAACCATCGAAGTTTATGCTCATGGTGTGGGAATTGATAGGTTTCATATAGATGAATGCCCTTACGTTTGTATTTTCCAATCAAACTCTTCCCATCTGGCCATAGACCCAAATACTATTTCGTCGTCATGATCGTGCTCTCATAAGGGTATCTCCGGCTATGCTGAAACGTTGGGAACAATCTATGTATGTAACGGGTAACCGAAATATCAGAGCGCAGTCCAGTGCAGCTCAGTAAACGCTTCCACGAAGGCTCTTGTCCTCCTTCTCAGCCTTGCTTATGTCGTCGGCCTCGTCCCCACCGTCTTCCGATCCCTGGTCCGAGTTGCCGGGTGCATCACCAAGCCTATTAGCGTGCGCGTGAGCAACCCGAATGCTCAGGTGCTTGCCAGTTTCATTCACTGGAGAGAGGCCATTTTTCTCTCCGCCCTTCACTCTAGCTGCTTTAGCCGCAAGGCGCCTGCGAGCGTCACTTTCAGACAGGTCCTCTTCACTAGCGTGGCCTGAGTATGTGCCGCCGAAATCACGGCCTATGTGAAGGAAGGACGGCTTTTGAGGCGATTTCATGGAGTTGCGAAGTCGATCATCGATAGTGATGAACGACGGTGTCCCGTCTGGCGAAGAGACAACCTCGTCGCGAGCCTTGGTCACGTCGATCTGGGGCGTGATCCTGCCACGTGGGTCGTCCGAGTCGTCTTCGGAGTTGTTGGGTTGAAGTCTCTTGTTGTGCGGCCTGCGGTGTGCAATAGTGCCATTGGTACTGGGGATATGGTGAGGAAGACCGACTTGCGCATTCTCCTCGTCGTGCTGCTTGAGTTCAGCCAAGTCGCGGCGTATCTTGAAGTGCTGGCCGTGAGTGCAACCCTCCGGACAGCCGCCCCATTGGCGTGGTGCAACAGGGGATGAAGCATCCTGCTTCTCTTGTTTGACAGTCTCCTTGGACTTGCCGGTGTCTCCCAACGCCTTGTCTTCTTTGGCCTTAGCAGCAGCTCGCTCATGGCGAAGTTGAGACCAAGTCCTCAGCTGATTTTCCAGAATGTATTTCCCGCCGTCCTTCTCCTTTTTCATGATGAGGAACTCGCAGTGGTTGACGTTGCGCAAGTCCTCAAAATATTCCACAGAGAAATGGTACCACTTCATCAAGAAAACACGAGACATGAGTCCGTGTGTGACTGCCAAACTTGTTAGTAGCCATCGGCCACTTGCGTTTCCAGCAATGCCACGTACCTAAAACACAAACACTCGCAAAGTCGTCGTCTCCAAACTGTCGCCACAAGCTCTCGTTGAAGCCCGAAACTCGGTCATATGCATCTGCAGCGCTTTCGCCATCGGGGATACGGTAGAAGAAATGGCCATAGTCGGCACGTTCCTGCCACATGCGTTCCATCTCGGCGCTACAAGGCTGGAAATTTCCAAAGTCCTGTTCGCGCAAGCGAGGTTCCTCGTAGACCTTCATGTTGGACCGTTTAAAGGGCGAAGGGTCGGGTTCGTCCGAAGTTAAAGTCTCGAGTATGCCTTCTGTAGTCTCCCTGGTTCGGCGGTAGGGTGAGGTGTAGAACTGAATGGTATCGTCGGGCCGCAGAAGATCGCGCAGTCGGCGGCCAGCGTCGCGCGCCTGTGCCCATCCATCCTGGGTCAGTTTGACCCTGTGATCGGGAATGGTCTGGTGTATGTCTCGGTTCTCTGACGATTGGGTTAGCTAATATTCTGGCGCCGAGTGACCTGTTGTCGTGTTCAACATACTGTTGCCCTCGGACTGGGCGTGTCTGATCAGAATGATCAGTCTGGGACGTCCCATTTCTAGAGCGGAGGTTGTGCTACAACCGACTGCGTGCTGTCTGATGTATCACGTCGGAAGACTGTTTGTCGCAAAGTAAGACAGAAGAGCGTCCTTATTTGGCAGGCTTCTGTTTGGTTTCCGAGAGGGCAAGGTGAGTCAGTCTCAGTCTGAAGTGGCAACAGACGAGTGATATTTATAAGCTTGTAGATGCGAACTAATAATATTGAGCGCTCAACGAGGTAGGTCCAGCAGAACAATGCGATTGGACAGTACACAATAGGAGAGCGCGTGCTTCTTTTCCAGAATGGGAAGTTGAAAGAGGTGTGTACGGTACTTAAGTATGCAGGTTGGTCGTCGACGTTGCAACAGTTGGGATGTTTCAACCAAGGTTCAGAGATCAGACCCTTGACCCTCACGGTCCCCTTCCAGCGAGGACAGGACACATGCGCCCCTCCACGCCCCTGTGGCCCCTCCAAGCGCTGGCTCCAGTCTGTCGGGCCCCTCTGCCTTGATGGGGGCGACAGGGCTGCCTAAAACGCCCGTCGATTTCTAAATACTGCTCGCTGGTTGGTCAGAATTGCGCCACCAGCCCGATCTCGGCCAGCCAGGCCAATTGACTCTTGAGCTTTGCCGTGTGGGATGAAGGTGTGGGGCAGGCGCGGCAGTGGCACTGATTGGTCAACACATTTGTCTGAGCCAGTGGCGCCGTCATTCGTCTGCCTTGTCGCAAACTCAAGCCTTGACAGCCTCGTCTGAACGACCGACAATCTGCGAAATCTAGTCCCTCCAGCTCGTGAACGCTTCCAGGCATATCCCTTATCTGTGAAGCGCTTGCCAGCCACTATTGTGCATCTGGAGGTCACACTCAAACTCCACTAAGAGTGTCCAGCTGCATCGCAATCACCACACACAACCTCGTGCCTTCCACGACCTCGACACTCTCGCATCCAGGAATCGTCGAGAGGCACCTCCACAGCCAACCATCGCCACCTCCCACCTCGAGCACAAGCCGCCACCATGTCCGGCGAAGGCCCCGAAAGTATCCCCACATCCGCCGACCCGCGCTCCAAGCGCCCGACCAAGAAGCGCGCCCTAACGCCCCTTAGCGCGCAAGCCAAAGAGCTCGACGCACTCTTCGCGAAGCCGGAGCGGGACATCCGAATCCCACAGTCCACAAACCCAACCTCTTCCACCACCTCTTCCTCCGCCAGACCACACCACCTCGCCGCGCCCCCCGAGATCGTGACCAACGTCCAGGGCTCCAGCGCCGGCGCCGGGTCCGGCGAGTTCCACGTGTACAAGGCGAGCCGGCGGCGCGAGTACGAGCGCCTGCGGCGCATGGACGAGGAGGTGAGCACCGAGAAGGCGGCCGAGGCGTTCGAGCGCGAGAAAGGGGAGAGGGAGCGCAGGGACGCCGAGAAGACGAGGCGGAATCGGGAGAAGAGGGAGAAGAAGAAGAATAAGGGCAAGGGGGGCAAGGATGGTGGCAAGGGGACTAACGGTAGTGCAAATGGTTCAGGTAATGCTTCGAATGGCGTCAAGGCGCGGATAGAGCTGCGCAAGGACAACAAGGCCGCGGATGAGGGCGACGAGCCTGCGGGAGGGGATGCGGTCATGAAATCGGTGGAGGAGCCCAAGGGCATTGTAATAGAGGAGGACTGATGAGAGAAACGTCCCAACACCAAGATACCCACAATGTGCCCGGCTTGCAGAACAAGCCAGGGCGAGAGAATGCTACGATCGTGGAGTCATTGCTGCTATTACTATATATGTAGAGCAGACCGTTATTGTACGAACAGCGTACCAAACAGACGGACTGAACAATCATATCTGGATGGCAGCAAAGCCGTCTAATTCCTCTATCTCATCGAAGTTTTTAGACCAGCTGTTGGTACAGGGGGTATGTCCTCAACACATCTCATAACTTTCTTTTTGACAACTTCAGCCTCTTCAGTCGTCTCCTCCGCCTAGTCCCGCTCCCACTTGCGCCGCTTTCTTGGCACTGCAGATATCATCTACTCTCAGTAACAGACAGGCGGCCTATTGTATCGGAGTTAGCATGAAAACGATAGATGTGATGACGTATTGGGCAACGTACTTCGATAGCAGTCTTGATGCTCTGCAGCTTGATTGCTTCCGGCTCCCAGATGCCGTACTCCTTCATGTCCACAATGGTGCCCGACTCGCCGTTGATACCCCATGAGCTCTTGCCCTCTGCGTGCTTGGCCCGAAGCTGTGTCAGTACTCTTACAGGACTGGCACCCGCGTTCTGCACCAGCGTTCTGGGGATGACCTCCATAGCCTCGGCGACGGCCTTGTACGGCCATTGCTGCACACCCTCGATGTTCCTAGCCAGCTCTCCCAGTCTGGTGGCCACGGCCATCTCTGTCGCTCCACCACCGGGGGATAATCTGGGGTGGAATATGACGTTGCGAGCCACACCCATGGCATCTTGCAGGTTCCGCTCGATCTCGTTGAGGATGTCCTTCGAGGGGCCACGGAGGAGGACGGTGCAGGCCTTCGGGGTCTTGCACTGCGTGAGGAAGGTGAAGTACTCGTCACCAATCTTCTCGATCTCGAACAGGCCACATTGAGTACCCACGTCCGACTCTTGGAGATCGTCCACCCGGTTTACAATCGTTGCGCCGGTCGCACGGGCTATTCTGTTGTTGTCCGTCTTCCGGACTCTGCGAAGCGCGGTGATGTTGGCCTTCATGAAGTAGTGTTGCGCCAGATCCGAGACACCCTTTTCGGTGATGACCAGGTCAGGCTTGACGGCCAGAATCGCCTCGCACATCGACTTGACCTGCTCCTCCTCGATCTGCAGGATGCGGTTCCAGTCATCCTCCTTCGTGATCTCGATATTCGTTTGCGACTCGCCCTTCTTGTACTCGAGGGGGCAGTCCAGCAGCACGATCCTCGGGTTCTCGATCTTCCGTCGCATGTTCGGGTGGGTGATGTCCTTGTTGAGCATGACGCCGTCCAGTACTCTGCTGTCCTCGATCTCGCCACCGGGTACCTTCTCCACACGCGCGTATCTCTTGATGTCCACCTCTTGCTTGCCGTTTCCAGCCTCCCAGGAGACAGTCCGTACGGCCTTGAGAGCCAGGCTGCACATCAGGTCGGACCATCTCGAGACGAACTTCGTACCGATGGAGGAGGAGATCAGGCTGTTCATCTGCTTGTCATTGTTGATATCTATCGGCAGGGAAATGTCGTCGACGATCTCTAAAGCGTCCTTGAGCGCGCGCTTGAAGGCGGAAATGATGACGACCGGGTGGATGTTTCGCTCGAGCTGCGGCAGGGCTTGTGCTAGAATCTCACCACCTGTGGGCTGTCAGTGGCGCATTCAAATCGTCTAGTCAGGTTGCACGCACCCAGAATGATAACCGTTGTTGTGCCGTCGCCCACTTCCTCGTCTTGTGTTCTGCTAAGCTCGATCATGCTCTTTGCTGCGGGATGCGACACCTCGATCTCTCGAAGAATGGCATGACCGTCGTTCGTGAGCACGATGCCGCCCATGGGGTCCAACAGCATCTTCAGCATGGCCTTGGGACCGAGACATGATCGAATGATGTCGGCAACACTGGGTTCGGGGGTCAGCGGGGCAGGGACAGGGACAGAAACAGAGCGGCGGGAGGGTCGTACGTCTTCGCGGCAGCGATGTTGGACAGCTGGGCCTTTCGACCAGTCTGTCTCTCACCACTCTGGGTGTCTGGAGGTTGTCATCAGCCTTCTGCTCCTATACAACATTGAAGGAGGCTAGTAGCTCATGGAGGGGCTCACTCATAACCACGACCGGGGCCTGCATCTTGAAGGAGCCTCGTGGACGAACTTGGGCGAATTGGGAGGAATTTGGCTCGTACGAACTATGCCGAGCTCAAAGACGGCTGTAAGGGTCGAAACGGTCGTCGAGGGTATTGCGACGGAAAGCTTGCTAGATTGCTCCCAAAGTTCTTGTCGCCTGGAAGTTTTTGGATAGCTCCAGGTCCCCATGAAATTGGAGAAATTGTTTCGCCGATGCGGTGTGCAGCTGCAGGTGGGGCAGCCTACGGGAAGGGGAAGGTCTGTGCATAGCAACACATAATTACTCTAATTCAACGTCTTCTCCTTTCCTCTCTCCAAAGGAGTCGGAGGTCGAGAACACGAGGCACCTGTGATCAGGTATTTGGTGGAGCAAAGAATTCATCTACTACACATCCCACTACCGGTCTCAGTGTTTTAAGGGCACCATACAGTGTTTGAGTGCGTGGCTGTTATAGTCTACCTATTGTGTACCTCTCTAGCTGCTGTCGAGAGATCCAGGTCACCACAGCCTAACGCCCACATCAAGAGTCAAGTCCTCTAGACCAGTCCTCTGACGAAATCATTCCCCTGGACTCATATCATGCGTGGCAGAATACTAATCAACATGCTCAACTACCAATCAATGCCCAAACCGTATGTTTCTTTCCCCCTTTCCAGTGAGATAGCGTACCGGGTCCAAGCATTCATGGATGCTTCGCAAGCCAACATACGTAGGAATGCGCCAATTCTCTGGTCCTTACTCTTGCATATCCTTTTCGCTCTTCTTTTTTCTGGCTGGAAAGGTGACAGAGGGGCTGTCTGCGAGGGATCTCTTGCTAGACTCCTTCTGTCCGTCTCCCTCGTTGGCAGCTTGTTGCTCACTCGTCATAGAAGCTCCACGGCCAGCGGGAGAACCTGGGCTGGAGGAAATTGCAGGGCTGGAGGAAAGACCACGGCCGGCGGGAGAACCACGGCCAGCGGAAGAACCACGGCTGGAGGGAGAATCATAGGTAAGAGGACGACTCAAAGCAGAATCACGAGTACCACGCGGAAGGCCGGTGCTAGAAGCGGGCTCGACGTTACCAGCCAGAACCTCGTTGCGCAACTGAGAAAGTTTTTTCGTTCCAGGCCGCATGATGTTCGTCTTCCGCTGAAGCATCGAGCCTTGCGCGGATCGCTTTCCCTTTGCCGACGATGGTCCCGCTCGTAGGTTGGGGGCGTCTTGGAGACTCTGGGGCGGCTTCCATGCTCTCTCCTGCGCTTTCCAGTCGGCGTAATCTGCCTCATTTGCCATGACCTTGATACCGAGGGAGTGCGTTCTCATGAGTGCGACCATGTCCTTCCATCGCTTGGACTGTGTGCTGACCTCATCGCGCACAGTACTCCACCAACGTTGGTGTGCAAACGGCATGTCGGGCGCAGTGAGACCGTTTTTGCCTTCGCTAGGGAATGCCTCCATGTAGGGGATACCAAGGAACTTGTCGTCTCCTCCTTCCTCGATGAAACGGCTGATGCATGCGGGCTCCGGGGAGAACTGCATAGGTGGGAGACCACCCTTCGTCCAGACAGCAGTGCTGTCCCATCCCCGGGTTCCTTGCGAGGGGTTGTCGCTCTCTTCGCCTCGCGCTCCAAGCTCTCGAAGGACCTCTGTCTTCTTAGCAATTCGGACCTTCTGCCACTTGCCGGGCGTGGTCATTTCCGCGGGCATAGCCATGACGACACGGGCCGGAGGGTTATCGCGCAGCTCGTCGGGTGCGTTGCCATCAATGTTTACCAGAGGCTGCTGTATGTCGTACCAGACCCACCACTGCAGCGTCTTGGTCGCATGGTCGGGACTATAGTGAGTGGTATTAGTAGCTGCGATCAAGTATCTGGCTGAGGAGCTTACATCTTGACCAGATGGAATGTCAAGGGGCCATCCTCTGCGAAGAAAGTCATGAGATTATTGCCTCCGGTTCCATTGTTGTAGATCTTGCGGAGTGAGTCGCGGTCCTTCAGTGAGAGCATAGCCTTGGCTCGGGGACTCGCGGATGCATTGAAGAATGTAACTCGCTGCAGGTTCAGTGTTAGGGTGCCACCGTTCCTCTTTCCGTATTCCAAGAGAAGCGCGCGCAGGTCTACCACGAATCCCTCGATTTGGGGCGGCTCGAGGATCGGAGCGTTGAAAATGCGCTCAATAATCGGATAGCTATGCTGCGTCGCGGCGGGTGCATTGAGAGATTCCGGAGGGTTGGCGAGCGCATTGCGGAGTGCAATGGTTCTCTGTTGCCTGTGTGGTATGTGTTAATCGAGTTTTCCTCAGGTGTGAGCCAGTTCCTTCCCACTTACACGTAGGGTTCGCGGTCCCATCGGTGCTTCGCGAGTCGGTTGATCTCCTCTTGCTCGCGCTCCTCCTCATTGGTGCCGGCCGTGGTCTCTTTGCTGTCGAAACCTTTGAGCGACTCCGGGATGATCATCTCGGGCTTCTCTCCATCATGCGTCTCGATGAAGTCTTTGTCCAATGCGTCGTACGAGGTGAGTTGGGGATTGGTTGTGTCGACAGGAGTCTCGTCGCTGAGGTTCAGGTCGGCGAGGTATTGCTGCATGATGTCGAGTTCGTTGTTGAAACCGTGATGCGCGTTCTGGCCGGTGATTGCGTCGAGACGGCTCTGCTGCTTGCGAAAATTCTGGTCAGTTTCGTCTTTCCAGCTTTGTGCAGGCCTTCGGTCTGCGTGGGCCTAATCCGGGTGTGGGGGGTTGATTGCAAGATGGGTGAAGGTAGTGGAGAACAGACCGTCGCTCTGGGGTCGTGGGGGAGGGCGGAGGGCAAAAGGCTTGGGGCCTGGGGAGTTTGCCCCGTCCAAGCCTGGGGAGGTTTCCCTGATACACCAAGTGGTTAGCTCTTGCCTGCATCTACGGAACCTTTCATGGCCTATCCGTGGAGCACTAATCAACAAGGGTATACATACCTCCTCCAGGTCGGCTTGGGCCACCGCCCCCCGAAACGAATCCGCCTTTGGGATCGTGTCGACCCATTGTCTGAAGTAGTCAGTGTTAGAGCTGCAAAGGTATATCGATATATGTCTTTCTAGGGCTCAGTCCAGGCAAGGACAAAGCCTCTCTCTTGAGGCCTCGAGGATCAACGAATTATTGCAGACGACTTCGCCATCGAAGACCTGCGAGGATGATAGTGAAATCCCACTTGTGATCTCAGGATTTTGTTGGATCTTTGGTCGTGGGGTATAATATGAGGCTCCCTTCTTGGTGATGTATTGAGTATTGTGGTATTGTGACGAGGCTTGCTTACTGACTTTGGCTGGTTTTCTGTGGTAAATATAAGTCAGCATAGGGATTATGTGCAAGTCTTGTGAAAGACTGCTCTTCTGCTGTCGTCCGAAGGTGTCTCTGGCCTTGGTATACTCACCGGCAATGGAGACTGTCTCGAGTTGGGATTTGAGGTTTCCACGAACGGAGCGAATGGGAGGATGGTGGGAGTTGGACAAGTCAGGAAAACTCTACCTGCGGGTTGCAACTTGTTGGTATTCTCAGTGCCTCGCTGCCTGGTCCAGTAGAATTAAGTACTGTTTGTATCATAATATGGTGGGAGAGCGCTGCGCGCTGTTTAACTGCGCGATGAGCAGACCCGTGGTGTTTAGACGCACAACACCAGGTCTAGCCTACACCAGCACCCATGACAGAACGATGGAGCTGGCAAGCCGCCTCGCAAAACGAGAGTATCACTGATCCCATGGGTCAATGGGCATTGTAATATCAATAACTCCCAGACACACTTCTGTTAAATTCGACCCTACGTGATCACACCACAGACAAGCTCTATATGTGATGAGATGATGGCAGCTTAGATCTACACGCTGCATATACGCATAACATCAAAGGCACATTCTAGAATCAGCCGCTTCAAAGGGTCTGGTCCACCATTTGATCTAGCACCTGTGCAGTTGGGTGAGGTAAATCACCAGTTTTTGGATCGTTAACACATAAAGACAAGCATACTGGTGTGATTTATTACACGGATTGTGTTTCTTATCAGTCAAGTCCCGACAACCTACTGATAATCTATCAACGGAGCCCCTTTTTGTTTCACTCAAACTAGCAGGCCTTAGAGGGGAAAATAGGAAGCTAGAAGACATGATACATACATATGGGCATAACTTAGGACATAGTAATGGATAACGGTTATTTGGTCTGGCCGGCAACAAGCATAATAAGCTAGGTCTATGTATACACGCCATGGAGGCGAACGATTCTATGTAAGCCAAGGGCTGCTCCTTGCACGAGAGGCAGCGATGGTAGGAAGCCAGCTAGATTATTAGATATACTACCGGGTCCATTTTTGACCCAAACTTACTGACATAGCTTATTCAGTGCTAGGACTCGCGAATAGCCTGCCAGGTTGCGAACGGTTGGGGGGAGCTTCTGTTGAATGGCGCGCAAGCCACCGTGGCGTTCAGGGAGGTGGCAGTGCACCAACAAGGCCAATAGGGCATTTTTGGGCTACTTAGCCCACAGAAGGATTTTCACACAGATACAACAAGAACACGGATTACACCAGAATATACGTTTACACCCATCTAAAAGTCCCCACGCTCTGTTTGACAGCTTCTTCGTACAGGGTCATAAGGTCGTGACCAAATGCCACATGCTCAATGGAGCACAGTCATCGAGCAAGTCTATATTGATCACATGGCTTCTTATCCTTCAAGGATGTCATAATCATTTTGTTTCAGTGCCGAGTAACTTACTGGTTCTTGCATATTTTCGGTGTGAAAAGGGCATCGAATAGGATCGTACCAATGACCGATACGAATGATGACACCCGTAGTATGAATAAAGCTCGATTATGCGCAGAGCCCCAATGCATAGATCACTCCAACATGAAGCATATGGAGACATAAGTAAATGTCAAGAAGGTCTTGGTGTACCTGGTGTTGGCTGCTGACCAAAGCCATAGTCAACAATGTATGTGCTCTTTAGCATTCCCTGTTATAATCTCCCGCCCAGACGACTCCCCGGACACATTGGCAATTAAAGACTAAAGAGAGCAGTGCTTCAGAGTCTCTCTTTTCATTCAACGTATGAACTATGTTACGGTACCAGAGCAGACGTCGTTGATGATATATCTTGATAGCTTACCCAGTGGCAGATGAAGAACTCGTCCTGCAGCACAGGTCGATCAAGGAGCGGGAATGGCTCCTATAGCAAGTACTGTGGAATCATGGCTGTAAACACCAAGTAGCGGCATATTTGGAGAACCAGGCCAGATAGGACTATGCGCTGGAATTCAAGCTGGTAATCAGTTGAGGCCACCAAGCTCAAGCTTATTGAATCAAGGAAGGAAATAAGTAGAGCATGGTGAACCGTAAACCTTGAGCAGGGGCTTAGTTGATACGATGAAGCGCATCAATCTGACCACCCATAGCCGTGCCAAGCTTGAGTTTCCGTGACCGGTGAGACTCTTCCGATACCGAGCTCTCCGCCTTGTTCCACAGCTTTTGGCATCGTGATAAATTGGCAGCACGACTCCCGTCAAAGTACAGCGATGGCCTGGATTGGAGCTACGGACTGCTGGGTGACGTTCGCTCCAGTATTATGCGTCGAGCATATTCTGAGTGTCAGCTCTAGATAACCTCCCCAGTGGCCATCGGCAACAGGCTCGTAGCTTTCTGAACCTCTTCTGGCGTACGAGAGATCCTTGTATAGCGCATGCTCCCTCCAGCTCGTAACAGACTAAGACATGCAATCCCGCAAGTGTTACCTGATGGCGAGTATTGGTGACACCATACACATTCGATTCCTCCATTTCCTATGTTGGTAAGTGAAACAAATCGTTCTATAGCAATGATTCCAAGCGAGCAGCCTATCACCAAACTTCGGTGAGATAGAGGCGGGACCGTCGGGACCGTGCCGATAGGATTCGGACGTCGTTGGCGGATCCGGCCGGCTCCGGAAGTCACTGAGGGGCTGGGTGACATGAGCTCTCCACCTAGGACTGTAGGTGGCTCGAAGGGCGTCCGTCCTACCAGCAGACGACGCGACGTTGTGAATGTCGACTTTACTAGAAAGGCTCCGAGCTCATCACTTATACTATTATTGCCTGTGCTTCTTATGAGCAGTGGGATTGCTACCCACGGGATCAGGTCTCGATCTCAAAGCTACACCTAGATATCAACCACGAAACTCGCACACAACCCGTAATCTGAACTCGCCACCACAACCATCATGGCCCCATCCGCGAGCACAGAGACGGTGTCCAGCACTCTGTCGCTGAAAGGCGAGAAGAAGCATGCGGAAAATGATGAGAAGGCGGTCGTAGCGGGAAAGGAGATGACGCCGCTAGAGGTGAGTGCAAGATGCGCGGCACCTCGCCCCTTATTTCGCGCACACAAGTCTGAAGAGGTGTCCTGTCCCTTTGCGACGGCTAGGGAGCCCCTTTATAACGAATTGCTGGAAGGCGAGAAGTATTGATACGTTACTGTCACTACCTAGCGATGGATCTTACTAACACCTGCTTGTACGACAGGCTATCTCCCATGGCATGGTGATGCCAGGTAAGCACAGACTATCCTTCCATACTGCAGCACGACCTCGCATCCCCTTTCCAAGTGACAAGCTGCAAGCAAAGAAAAGGGGCCTCACAGGCACTCTACACGACCCATCCCCACCACACCGTAAACCACCCAAGCTAACACCACAACCCAGGCATCCCGACCTTCCCCTCGTACGCCGCCGGGCGGCGCCACATCCTCGTGCACATGGCGGCGACGTTCCGGTTCTTCGCGCGCAGCGGCTTCACCGAGGGCCAGTCGGGCCACATTTCGGTGCGCGACCCGGAGCACCCGGGCCTGATGTGGATGAACCCGCTCGGCCGGCATTTCGGCATGCTGCGCGCGGGCGACATGGTCTGCCTCGACATCGCGACGGGGCGCGTCGCTGGCGGCAACACGTCCCGCCCGGCCAACGCGGCGGGCTACCTGATCCACTCGGCGGTGCACAAGCGGCGGCCGCACGATGGTGAGTTGATTTGTCTGAGGAGCTTGCGCTATCACTCGGCTGACTTCGCCATGCTGCTTTAGTACACGCCGTATGCCACGCGCACTCCAACGCCGGCCGGGCGTGGAGCGTCTTCGCGCGTCCGCTTGAGATGCTGAACCAAGACGTGTGCAACTTCCACAACGCGCATGCCGTGTACGCGCGCTATGGCGGCATCGTATTCGGTTCTGAGGAGGGCGAGCACATCGCCGAGGCCCTGGGTGAGGGCAACAAGGGCGTGATTCTTATGAACCACGGCTTGCGTGAGTAACCTCTCCTCATAGCCCCCCCTGCCTTTTCCGGCTTGTTTAGCGAGAAGGCCTCTCGAATATATACGCGCTGTAGCAGGTTGTTGTTTCAGCCCTCGCAGCAATCTCGGACGGCCAGTTCTATCCATACCACCCAGACCTCACTTGACACTCACGCACGGAAGCGAACAACAACTAACCCTCGCACGACACCGCGCAGTGACCGTCGGCTCGACAGTAGATGAGGCGGGCTTCATGTTCGGGCTGATGGACCGCGCCTGCGAGATGCAGCTGGCAGTGGAGGCGGCGGCGGCCAACGGGCTCCCCAAACAGATCATCAGCGACGAGGAGGCTGCGTACAACTTCAAGATGGCCAGCGAGACGCACGCGCTGTACCGCGAGGCGCAGCCCGACCTCGAATACGAGTTCGAGATGGCTGGGGGCGAGGACGCGCTCGCCAGGGGGTTTGAGAGTCTGCAGCGGCTCGCGCCGTAAGGTCGTTCCTTCATTACTGCTTTTATTACATACCCTGAAATGAATAAGGTCGCTATAGGCTCGCGGGTTTCCATGTTTGAGACGGTTCGCGTCCTGCTGCAGACTGGCAGACTGGCGGGCGGCTGGTCGCATCGATCCGAGATGAGTACATATGGTAGAGTAGGTGTGGCTGCAGCTGCTGTTGAAGGTTGGGGACACGGCACAGGTTCCTACAGGACGAACGCATGCTATTCAAATCTCAATACAACAACAAGTCTGCATCAAGGCCTACCTACCTAGCATATGCAAGCCAGGTTGCCGAGAAAATTCTGCAACACCGTGCCGGCTGACCGCATCCAGCTCTCATTCGAGAGGAAGAGGCGCGGAATCCCCGACGCGGAATAGTTCAGTCGCATCGCATCGTCCGCGATGGCGACCTCGATATTCTCACCCTGCTGTGCATACTTGACAGGCTGACGGGCTGACGGCTCGCGCCCAGCATTTGCATTGGGAATAGCCTGTTGCTCGTCTAATAAAAATCAAATCCCTTACCTGTGTTCTGTATTCTGTAATAGGCGTGCCTGCGGTGTGCTCGCTTGCGCGCTTATCCAGGCCCCCAGGGCCCTCGGCTCAGGGGCATACCGTAGCCTGTGCCGCGCCGCCTGTTTGCCCGCCGCAAGAGGATTCCATTCCTTTCGCCCTCGCCGGAAACGATCCTGCCTGTCTGGAGAGCTCCTTGCCTTTTCGTTCGGCGACGGCCGACGGTGTGGGATCGGAGCAAGGGAAGCAAAAGACTCTGAAACGATGATGCGAGGTCCAAAGAAAGAAGAGGCTCGAGCGTATCTGCCACGCATGGGTAGAAGGAACTTCTTTAATCTTTACATAGCAGTGATAGCGCGCCTCCCGGCGAGCCCTATTTGTTCAAAAAATTCTCTCTCAAACCATAGCCCCAATTTTGCCGATCCCATCTGCACCAGAAAGGGTTTGGGAGTGGCGCGGGATCAACGGGACCAGTATGTCAGGGACGGGCCGCATTGCGTCGTCGTCGTTCATCAATCAGCAGGGGGGAGAGTGTCGCGTGTGTGGTCCGTTACTCTGCTCTGTGTGCTGGCCATCGAGAGTTCGAATCTGTGCAAGATAAAGGTGTCCATCAAAAAATGCGACGACGGATCATCCGATGGGCCATGGGGGCCGCACATCGTCACATCAAACCATGTCGAACCCTGCCCTCCTTCCCGTTTCTTGTCCGCTGCACACACAGGAAGAATTGCCCGGTGAGAGATACCGGAAGCCAATCGCGGGAGTTTGGGGTTGGGGCCGGGGGGTATTCCCTCACCACAGTTGCCTTGCTGCGAGATCTTTCTCGGTCTCTCTCCCCGGCCCTCATCGTCTGCAGCCTCTAGATTAGAATGTAACGGGCAACTGCTACTGCTACGTCTGCTGCCTTTGTCGCGTCCGGGCCCCGCGCCTCCTTGGCACATTGTGTGCTGCGAACTCCCATGTCCCATTACGACGCTGTTGCGTCGTAGGCGTCTGAAAAAAGTGCCTCCCTAAGGTAGGGTAGGTATCTATCAATGGCCCTCGCTGCCACCGCTGGCGCACCCGGCCGCCTTCAGACTGCACCCGTTGCAGATGCAACCCTTCCCCCCTTGACCGAGGTATTAACAATTCTATCTACCTACGTCGCAGTCGCAGTCGTCACTCTCATAGAACCGAGATCTGCAGCACGGCATGCACACCGGCGCTACTACCGTGACGTCCATCCAAGATAGACGCGGCCGGGTTTTTCGCGACGCACCGCGGGACCCATCCGCGGTCAAGCCCCCTGGCTCTTCTGCCTCTCCCTTATCTCCCGTCCCCACAAAGCTGCGTGAAAGCAGACATGCAGACATGGGGGGAAATTGGAATTGATGAAGCTAAAAGCGTCATCCACAACGCACAGTTAGTTGTACGTACGTATGTTGGGTCCGAACAGACGAAGGATTGCCGTACCTGCATACAGCCAGGAAGAAGCAGCAGGCGAGGCCGTTGCGGCGTTGCTCGCTCGCTTGCCGAATCCTACGGGCGAACGAACCCTAGGTACATACCCAGCCGCCTTCTGTCTGTGCGAATCCTGCTGGCTGCAGGTTCAGGCTCAGCTCACCGAGCTAGCTGCATCTGTCTGTCTAGGCAGGTAGACCGGCAGCTGACCGGTAGAGTAGCAATGGACGAACAGGACGCAGATGAAGGCGACATTGCGAAAGGCGGCTGTTGATGGCGATGCGCCCTCCCTCCCTCCCTCGCTGGCTTGCTTCCTGCAAGCACTTTAGCATTTCATGGATGCTATTGCCTTGCATGGGGATGAATGCTCGAAGTTTATCCGGGCTCCTGTTGAGTTATGCCGTGTTGATGATGAGGAACAGCTCGGAAATTGTTCATGCTGCACACCACCTCTCTCTGCAGGCTGTGACGACGGGCGTGGGTGTAGAAGCGCCAATGCTGTGCCACCGTACTCGTAATGACCTCAGCCATGGATATCATAAGATGGATTGGGAGATCATAGCGAAACACACCCAAGGCTTGATCGATCTACTCGGACCAACCGCGTGCTGATGTGAAGAAAGTGATGATGTGAAGATACTGGCACAGTGACGATGAGCCTGGCGAGGAATGCTTGTTTCGTATTGCCTTGCCAACCTCGGCGGCATTTGTTGAGGAGCTGGAATGTCGTATTTTAATGATAGTACTAACTTCAGACATCAACTTGGTCGAGGTGTCTTCATCGTATGAAACCAGGTGGCCAAGTTTCAATTATTCTGCCTAGACCCACCGTAATATGAAGGGGGGACGGATGAAGTCTTGTCAGACCTCGACGCCCCAACAAGCTGGTGGCCGTGTTGACGTGTGACCGCGAATGCCGTGCTGGCACATCATCGTCAGCGGAGTGCTTACGACTACTTGCACCTATCTATGAAGCCAGACAGGCAGGCTGCCTCTGCCAGCATTGCTCTTCTGGATATCACTATAAGCCTCACAGCCAGGGGCGGGGCGTCAAACATCAGTAGGATTCCGACAACATCCCATCTGAGCTGTATCTCTCCGAGTCATGTACCACGTCTGTCAGATACAGCCCCAATTGGGGCCTCCCCACTGCCAAATCGAGGCAGACAGCCCCGATTCGTTTGGGACTGAGTCAAACATCAAAGTGGCATGAGCGGTGTCCATTCTTCAAAAGAAATAAATGCAACCTGGCATTGAAACGTCACACCTTGAGGAGGCTCTCCCGTTTCCCGACCGTGGAATGAGAATGGACTGAGACAAGAGACGAATTCCAGGGTCTATTTCTATTCGTTCCCAGGTTCAGCTTGGATCCAGTACGGTTCATGGGAAGAGAGATTGGATGAGGTTGTGAATCACCGCCAAAGCTGAGTCACTTTCTGGTGGAGTCGGCGGAGCTCCGAAGGAAAGCGCTTCCCTGCTCATCATTCCTGTGCTTTTGCCGAGTTTGTTCCTGCTGGGACGCGTGAAAAGTTTTCGTAGGAGTCACAATAGTAATCTCTCGTTCAATCGGCCGATCAATCAGGAATGCTTTGCCTGATGAGACGTACACCACGGTCGCGAATCTTGGGAGCCGGGACGAAGCGGAGAATTTGACCACCATAACCATAGCCGAAAAACGCTTGTTTGCGAAGCTCCCCTGCCTTGGACGGCCACGTAGGGCAGAAATCTGGGCTGAGTGATCTTATTCCGATTGATGAACCCCGGTGCGCCCAAAAGACTATGACCACCCATTGATCTGTTCTCAACACCCGGTGGACGAACAGTTGTCCTCCAACTCTGGGCCCTGGTGCCTGGATGCACCTCAATGCGAAGACGCCACGTCGGTAAACTCGGATGCATCAGACCGTCTTCACCAAGGTCCTTAAGACGCCCCGGCACCTTCCGCAATTGGCACGGTTCTAGATGTCGCGAACAAGTTTTCGAGGCGTCGTCCATCCTCGCCGGTCCAAGTAGTGAGACAATAACCACGCCAGAACACTCGGTGGAAGGTGGAAGGGTTCAGCCATGTGGATGAGAAAACGGGCTGCTCATGCCAATGTTTGATGAGCCTAGGGTACAAAGCCGCCTTGCTTCGAAAAAAGCAAGAATCGAACACCCGGGAACGTGACATAACGATCCCTGAGACGTAATGCGTTAACGGTGACGGCAATCGACGGAGCTGAGTGGCTCACCCAATCTGTGGACAGAGGAACGAATTGAGATTCGGTATTCATCTCGGCCAGGCGTGTTCTGGACATTTCGGCTGGAATCATGGCTGACACGTCGGCATCAGCATGAATTTCTCTGACCGGCGGCGTCTGACCGGCTTCGTTCCATGGAGAGGCACTCCTCACTATTGGACAGAGAAGCTCTGCCATTCTGCCGCTCCGGCAACGACCGCCACTGACGATACATCATGTATGTACGTGCGTATGCGAGCAATCGGGCTACGAGAAGACGAGACAAGGCAGGGTGTAGGGGGTTGAGGAGTGAGGGAGGTGAAGATCTCATGCACATCAAGGTTGCAGTCGCGATCGCGGCAACCGCGCCCCGAATGCAAGCAGACGATCAGCGAGGACAGGCTTGCTTCGACTTCGCGGCATGCTTGCGGACTTCATGCATAGCCACGTCCGCCGTCCCGTGGTTTGAGTCCAACCGCGCAAGGTGAGCGTGAAGTAAGGTAAGGTGAGGAGGGTGTGTTTCAACGGAGCCGGTTTTGATTTCTTGGCCCCCGTTGTCTTCGTCTCAGGAAAGAAAAGCATCAATCGTCGGTGTTACCTTGGCCAACGGCATTGCAATCGCCGTCGACAATCTGAAGAGTGGCATCCCTTTCTGTTCTTGCTCCAATTTCGGAATTATCTGTATGTGAATTCGTTGCATAGCCAGCTATTGTGTCGACAAACCAGGTGCAAAACCAAGAAAAAGCGAGTTCGTGCCATTCCGTGATTATTTCGTGACCGAGGGCGATATGCAAACGCTGCACTTTATGGCACCACATGCATGCTGCTGTGACGACTTACGACTTGTTGCACTTGATTAATAGCAACAGCGTATATTGCAGACCAGATGCTACGATGCTTCTTGTTCGCCCACTGCCATGGCCTGAGATTGGAACCACGTTTGCAAAAGCCGTGGGGGTCGCCCTTCCAATCTCGGCACTCATCGTAGAGCCGTCGAAACAAGATGCCTCGAAACCAGCCGAGGCCAGCCGTCCATCCAATGAGCCATGGGTCGACTGACTTTGGTTCATGTCAGCCGAGATGAAACAAGAGGAAGCTTACCGTGCAGAAACGCATTAATTGTTAGCGCATTGTCTTGTCACTGCCAGCCCGGAGCCGTGCCAGCATGCCCCTCGTTAAAGTCGTGTCACTCGTGCGAGTCTGGAGTCTGGACCTGGAGAGTCTGGAGTCGGCTGTCCGGAGCGCGACGTTATCTCAAGACTGAAACCGAGCCACTACAGCTGGAGACGGGTGCGAGTTTGGTGATTTGTCTTCTCTCGGCACGCTATGCCGGCGTGCCTGAGTGCCTGAGAGGGGCGGGGGAGCTCGAAGTGCACAATTGATGCACTCAATGGCATCACCGCATGTTTGTGCAGCCTGTGTATGTGGCTCCTCAACCCATTTTCCAGCCACAATGACGGATGGGTCACGGACCAGGGTACAAGGTACCTTGGAGCCCAACTGGTACCCGTTTGTACCAGATTCGTACCCAACTGGGATGATAGCTACTTCTGGGATGGGGACACCACCCATCCCTTCTTTCAATCAAGCAACTTCCAGAATACAGACCAATAGCCACCATTCGTGACCCTGGTCCTTATTCTGGATACCGCTACCACAAGGCACATGTACGCCTCTAGAACTTTGAAGTTGGAACATGCCTTGACACTGGTCGTCGAGGCTGAAGTGAAAAAAAAAATCATGTTTGGAACATGCCATCACAATGGAATAGGAAGACAAGCGAAGAGACCGAATAGACTGACGCCCCGTGGTAAACCGTAGGACTCTGTGCCGGGTCGCATGAAGAGACAACGTCCGGCTGGGAGACGGACTCTGGCTCTGTAGATTGGTCATTGGTCTGGAACCCTCTCAGGATTGCACCTTGCATAAGGTAGGTAGGAGAGATTGAGTTTTCTAGGTAGCGACGTAAATCAACAAACAGTCATCAGCCATCAGCCATCAGGGTCTGTCTGACTTTCTACCGTACGAAGCGTGCATGAGACAAGAAAATTTTCTGGCTTTGCTGCTGGCTTTGCTGTCTTTGACGAATCTTGTCAACCGTCTCAGCCACGACTGCCAACCTTGGAAGCTTCACCACAGAGTTCGGTGCCTTGCGAGAGCTACTGCCTATCGAGCCTAGCTCTATGCGCCTGCGCGGTACTCCCCGGGGGCTCTGGCTTTGGAGTTGATTGGGCCCGAGCCTCCCACGTCCCCCGTTCAGAGGCTCAAACTGGAGCATTACTATTAGCCCACCTGCTCAGACCTTCCCTCAAAACTTGCACCAACCCTCTGCCCCACCATCGTGCTTGGCTGGCAAGGGGCCTTCCAAAGGGCAGCGCAAGTTTTGAGAAAGGTCGGAGCAGGTGAGCTGCAAAGCTTGTCCTGCCGGCTAGCCCTGGCCATCTTCAGACTGTACACAGTAACCTCTACACCATCATGATGAAATATGGTGTGAACCTGCATGTGTCATCCTAAACGCTGACGCCTGGCCGAACTTTGCCCTGAAGGCTTCGCAGCCGGTCTAGGCGAGAAGATTCAGACTATACACCATTATGTTGAAGTACCCATGGTATGAACCTGCATATGATCCTAAACGTTGACGCCTGACGGAACTTTGCCCTGAGGCTTCACAGCCGGCCGGTCTGGAGACGAATCTTTAATCCAATGTATGCCATACAACGCAGGGAGTCTGATGCAACCTTCTTGGAACTCAAAGCTATAACCAAGTCCGAGCTTGGTGCCAGACGCATGGCGCAATTCCGCTGTCGCCTTCGACAATTATCGACTCATCGCCAGCGGATCTTTGCAACGAATATATTGCGTCTGAGGGTCACTGACTCCGACGGCTCCATCGCCAGCACGGGCCAGAGTGAGTCATCGAAAGCTTCGTCTAATAATAATAAAGCTTCGTTATGTAATAATGGGTGATGACGAGCTTGCTGAAAGCCTGAACCAACACCATCTCCACATGATCACGATCCCAGCTCCTGGCACGCCTGGGGAAGGCGTGAGTGTACAGTACCTGATCCACATAGCCCGACCCCTACTGTAAAGGGGAAGGCTTCGTGGGCTGATAGTTTTCCCTCTCTGTCGAATATGGAATTGTGTGTAAAGTCGATTGCTTTTCTACGCGAGCTAGTAATAATGATAGGTCTAGACCACCTAGCATCGTCATCTAGGTACTAGGGAAAATAGTGTCTTGATGGGCGTTTTTTCGCATCATGCGGATGATGATGAACAAAGGGCATCAGGAAGATCCACAGAAGCGCCAGATTATTTGTCTTGGCGATCATGTGCTAGGTTGCGTCTTCAATTGCCAGAGGTGTGGTAGGAATGTCCATGATCAGCCTCTGCGAAAGGTGGTTTGGCAAGCCATCACCTAGACCAGCCAATGTTACACGATGAAGAGCTATCAGAATAGCCACCTAATAGCTGTCAATTATCTCACTGACATCAATATAACCCAGATAGCCTACGTACCTACCTACCGTGTTCGACCCTCGCTCTCCACACTCCCATGCGTACAATAAGATGGATAGAAGCTCAAGTCATGATGCCAGACCTTGACCCCCATCAGGAAGGTTGTAAATTGTTGCCCCTCTCCAGTGCATCGATATGCCGGATGTAGGGTTCAATGCACCTCGTCTTCTTATACACAAGTCACAGGCCGCCTAAATATGGAATGTACAACCGCGCAGTGTGTAGGCCACAAAAGCCAAGTTGGTAGATCGGGAATATGAGTGAGGGTCTTGAACTTCTTGTTATCCGATGCATGTGACCGAATCTCCTCAGGTTTACAAACAGCATGTAAACCCTGTTTGGAGGGGCAGCATGGCTAATCCTAGCTGTCTGAAATGAGTATCAAGTCCCATCAATCCATCGTCTATGGATAAACATGCCAGTGCAAGTTTCTTCGGCCTTGTTGCCGGTTCCTCTGACGCGATGGTCAACCTTGACAAGTCCTTCCGGCCGTTGTCTTAGCCAGCAAGCACAGTCTGGCCAGCTGCAGTTCCATCCCAGCTCCAACCCCTATCCAAGCATCGATGTGCCACGCAATAGAAAAAACAGTGATATCTCGAGAAGTCTCATGGTACAACCAAGCCGTACCTGTACCAGAAGTCCCCCATTGTGCGCCCGCGGCTGGAAGCAAATTGAAGGCAGAATCCCGAAATAACCCCCCAAAACTTTTTATGATGCTGTGCTCCGGTAGATGCTCTTGTACAACAGATGTCAAAAGATGTGTAGTTGTTCCCATACCAACGTCGTCCCGAACAAGTAAAGGAAATCGTAATGAGTGAGGCGCGAGTTGGTTGCGTTGAATTGATAACAGTATGCTGGTTGGGTATAGAAAGCGGAGTGTTGGATGATCTATCGAAACAAAAGGAGTGGTGTGCGAGTCTAATGTGATCGTCTTCGTTGTTGGACCCTGGCGTTTTCGAAGGAACTGGCGTAGTCTCTTAGCTGTTGCTTCGCCTTGACCGACAACTGTGTACTTTCGCTTCCAGACGACGAGGTGCTACGCAGGGAGCATAGGCTGCTGTGCGAGCTCGAGGGCGTGAGGATGTGGGTTGACGAAGTCGACGACTCGGAGTGTCGAGATAGACGGGACTGGGGCATGGGTGTCGAGCCATATGGCTGGGCGTTGCTGAAGTCGTAGGCTGGAGGCAGGTAGAACTTGGACTGGCTTCTGGGAGCTGTCCAGTTGAAGGTAGACGGGCCGCTGGCGCCTGGCGAGCTCGCTGGTGTGCTCGTAGTAGACGAGTGCTCGAAGTCGGATAGTCTGCAGGACTCTGAGCAGTAGGTGGCACCATCTGTTTGCCTATCGCAGGCAAGGCAGTATTCGTGCACCCAGGACAGATCGGAAGACATGGCGTGTGTATTGGTGGTGACTTCGGTTGAGAGTCTGTGTATCAGCCGACGAGAGAGTCGGGTTGCAGTCTGTAGTCCGACGAGGCGATATTCGACTGCCTAGGATGGCGATACGGAGCGAAGGCTTTATAGTCAAGCTGGTGTGAGACGAGGTTGTTCAATATTGGGCGGATCTTGCAAGGCTCGAAGGCGGAGGTGAAGGCTCGGCTAGTCCAGGCTACAAGTGGCGTGCGTGAGGTCGACGATGGGGTGCGGTGGTTATGTTAAGAGGTAGATTGTGTCATGCCCTTGCCAACTGTCGTAAAGCAAGCACGCAATAGTGGGGAGAGCTTGGTGCAAAGAGAGTCGAGAAGTGTAAATATGTGGTGTTGGGTGGTTGAAGATGGAGGAAGGGTTGGAGGAGACGAAGTTCATTTGTATCAAGCTCACACAGGCTGGACAGCGGGAGGTACAGAGGTACACGGGTACAGAGGTACAGAGGTACGGATGTACGGAGGTACAAGCAGATCCTTGGCTGGGACATGGACTGGAGGCACGAAGGTGGGTCCACAAAGGTCACATCAGCAGCACCCAGCAGAGACATGGGTCATTGGTCCAGCTGCTGAGTGGTGTGCTGAAGTGGGGCCCATTCATGAACTGCACCAGGGCTAGCAGGGGTGTCAGTGGCGGCAGGTGGTGAGGGGCAGACTTATCAATGCCAAGCAAGCGATGTGTCCGCCTGGTCCTTGCAGCCTTTTCTGCATTGCCTCTATGCCGCTTTGGGGAGGAAAGCGCCGATCTCATAGGCCCACCTCCGTATCAGCCATTGGCCACATGCACTTGAAGGCGTGAAGCCAAGCAGCAAGCAGCACGGAGAGCAGCAGGTACGAAGGTACCGTCGGAAGCCGCTAGCTGCACAGGGTAAGAGTCTTCCTGCCTGGGGTGGATCAAGCTGCTAAAAGGGGCGGCAATTGAAATAATTAGCACTCAAGGGATGGGAGGCGTGTGATGACGCCTTTGCAAACACCCATAGAGGCGTGACATGAGCACTTGAGGAATTACGGTCTACACACCCCTCTCATCTTCACCTGCATTCAATGCGTTTATGCATCCAGATGCATTTCACTTCGTCCGCCTTTATATCACTAAACTCCATGAATCGTGCTGGGGAGACTGGAGAGACTCAATCGACACAGACTTTATTTTATCACTTGCCGTATCAACAACAAGTCAGCCTTTGGTGGCTGGATGGCGTTCCTCTTCTTTGTGCGACCTCTCAGTTGTGGTCATTGACGACTGGCTGCCTACCTGCAAACTGGTAACGGGCTGACATCGCCGCCGGGCACTGCATTGCTGTGATTCCATCACTTTGTTACCTGTTTTCTTTCTCAGCCGTTCCTTACCCCCGTTGCCTGTTCTCACTTCAAGTTACCCAGCGCATATACCGAACCCGCTTCGATAGTCGTGACCCCTAGGATATAGTTCCATCTCAACCACACGGCACATCAGGGTATCTGCGGTGACGGGGTGGAATCCGTGGGGGTTCTTGTTCCACTTCTTGGCTAGCCGTCGCGAGTGCACCATCACCATCACCATCACCGTCCCCCATCTCCCACTCTCACGACCGTGGTAGGTCCAGGTCATGCTATCTATCAGACAGGCTGTCACGCCGCACGAGAGGCACACCCAAGATCAACATCGAAGACATGTTGCATAAGTGACCACTGACCACGGATGTCCCCGTCACCATCACTCGCCACCACGGTCGTTATCGTGCATACGCCCTGGTCAGTCGCAACATTGAAGCACCATGTCTGAAGTTGCAACTGCGAACCTGTGCTTTGCTGCATGTCGTCGTCGCCGTCTTGCGGGGGAACACACAACCTTCACGCGATATCGACCATCATCGTCCCCATCCCCCATCCCAGGCATTGCCCAACTGACCACACAAACGGCGGCATAGGACCCGTCCTGCTCTGCTGCAGGTCTTGCATGCGCCTGAGGGTGCGCTTTCTCTGGCCTCCCTCATTGGTCCTCGCTATACACCCAGAGATATGGCAATTTATGGAATTCGTCCAAGGTGGCATCGCAATCAGACTAGTTCACACCATATTCACACCATATTCCCAATCACTGAGCTTCTATGATGAATCACCCTTCGAGCGCCCGTCCAGACAGTCCAGACTCCTGCAGATGTTGACATCGTTGTTTTATCCCGCGACTATTGCCCAGTGGAGTTGATAAGGTCATGTCGCAGCAGAAACGCCCTTCATGCACACCCTCCCAGACGCAAACACCGGCATCATCTACAAATCAGATGCTGTTTCCGAGAGGCCTCTTTCCGCACTAGAACCAGTGCTCGTCGTTCGTCGTTCGTCGTCCCAAGTTTCTGACATCATCATGCCTATTCCCAAACTCGACTTACTACAGCGACGCTACTGCTGAAGATGGAAGACAGACTAGTAGTCTCAGGTCTCAGGTCTAAGGTGGCCCCAGGTCCCTTCCGGCATGACCGGTACCTTACATTGGCCGTCCAGCGGTCATCCGACTCTACCGTAGGAATACGGGGAAAGCTGGAATGGAGGGACCCTTCACATCATCACGGGATTCCCAAACGAGGCAATGCCCCAATGCCCCGATGCCCTCATCTGCCTCTGGCCCAATGGTGCACCAGCAACCCGGCACCACAACGGATCAGCTTCGGAACACTGGCAGCAAGCAGCTGCGAATGCCCTACGCAATGTCTTGCCCCAGCCTCCAGGAATTCATGCTACTCGTGCTAGTCGCGGTATGATGCCTACCTATCTACATATTCGCTGTCGAAGCCAGATCGGCAAGGAGCTGCATGCAGACTCTGGGGGAAGATGTTGCACATTTCAGCTCCGATCATCAATGACGCCGAGAAGCTACGAGCACCACGCCACCTATGAGCGCCTGCAAAGCTGCTGCACAGTTGAAGCCCTTGACGAGAAATACCTCCTGCGTGTCCTGCGTGTCCGCGTCGACCCCGGCTTCTCCTGTCTCCACCCCGCATCTCCTAGCCTCCCTCGTCGTTGGGAGTAGGCGCTTGAGACGGAGGCCATTGGGCCTTTGCAAGTTGCAGGCCGGCAAGGTTGAGGGAGCTAGGCCACAAGCGATTGCACCTGCATCTGGAGGCGGGGAATATGCTGCAGGTGTTGCAGGCCCCAAGCAAATTGGCCCAAATGGTTCCATTCACGGGCGATAGTTCACGGCCGGGACTGCACCTGCGGCCTCACACAGCTAATGTGTGGCCGAGGGGAAAAGGTGTGCCACACCCGCCGTGGCTCTGGAGTCGCCACCTGATAAGTCGTCGCCAATCCTCCCTCACGTTGGCCCGCCGGCAAGAGGATTTATCTAGTCATCATAACAAAGGAGTGCTTGCCCAATGCCCAGCCAGCTGAGGTGAGGTCTCGAGTGCCAAGAGGGTGATCTACGCCTTGGCCCTTGAGAGCTCTCTGATACCACGACCCTGAATCAGCATATCTCCTTTCCAATCGGCCGAGTGAATTTCCAGGAACCTCATACAGGTCCGAACACGCTCGATAACACAACGTCGCGGCCGGCGCTAGCACCCTCCGGAGTCCCACGATGCTTCAAGTTAGGAGCGATAGGGATCCAGTAGATCCACGCACTATGTTGACGACATTCGACCACATGGGCCAATCACACCACCGGCTGAGCCGATCTCTTGACAGCCAGCCATTCGTGCAACCAGGTGATCTCGACTGGTCTTAAAACGCCACAACTCGACGAGGCTGTCGCGGCAAGAAGAAAAGACATTAAGGCTCGCCTGAGAGGTAGGAGAAAATTCTGCTCGCGAGTCTCCGCCATGGGGATCCTACCACGGGGTGGCAAAGCTACTGTGTAGTCATTATTCCCGCGAGCTCGCAGTACAGCACAGCATACAATTGCATCGGCTATAGTTGTATCGTGAGCTGGTTGATATATTAAATCTGCGCCGCTGCCCCAATTACGCATACAGCACCGCACGGCGCACGCAGCTATGTCTGCGGGAGTGCGGGCTTCGCGTCGCCCAGACTACCCAAGGTAAGTATGTGCCACATGAGGATAGATAGTATGCGCAGAGGTCGGGGTTATCAGGCCCCGCTGCTGCCGGTGCAACGAAGCAAAGTCGGGATCCCCAAAGAAGCCGAGTCGCTCCACCTCCAATACCTCCTCCACTGCTGCTGTCATCTTCGTCATCCTTTTGAAAGCAGAGTTGGCGTGGGATGCTGCTCGTTGCGCATCTGGTTTCGACCCCTAGCCATATCGCTGCCCCATGATATGCGCATGCTTCGGGAGCATGTGGAACATATCGCTTGGCGAACCTCCCATCTGTGTGAGTGGACACGATCAGGGTGGGGCGCTATATCGTTCTATCTGCCTATCCTATCTATGTCATGCCATTCATATGGGTCCTGTGTATGCAGTTAGGGACGGGGCGTGTGTGGAGAGCTATGTGCAGTAGGCAAGCGATGGAGTTTCGCATCAGACGGCGCGGGAGGGGAGAGGCTAGCATCGTTCGGGTGCGCACGCCATGCTTTTCGCCGTGGCCTTTGAAGTTTGGGGGTTCCACGGTCCTGGAAGTCTGGGAACCGACGAACGCACTGCCCCAGACTCGTCGTCGTCCTGGTACCCGTGCGTCCGTAGAATATCCGCTGCTGCCGCTGCTGCTACGTCGTGCCAGGCGTGTACTACAGCAGTGGGGGATCAACCAAGATGAGACGGGCGACAAATGCCCTGAAGCCCCCAGCGGCGGCCGGCCAGCTATCTCGCAAGGCAGGGGAATACGTTCTGACCAGTGACGCACCTCTCCAAGACCGGGTCATTGGCAATATGGGAGACGCTGTTGGTTCGCTACCGGTAATAAGCTCAGAGGTTCCTACCGCGCTGGTGACGACTGGAAACCCTGCCTCGTACGAGGGGTTCGGCCGGGCGATTCCGCCGCCTGACGTCGCGTCGTCTGCGACATGACAGCTCGCGAGAGGCCAATAAGATATCGTAGGAGATATATCGCTTAATCCGTTACACGCTGACGAGTGTTACGCTACGTTCTGTTGTCGTACGCCTTCGCTGCCTTGTAGTGGCTAGGTAGTTGCAACGGGGCTGGTGGTCTTGAGTCTCGACTCTCGACGACGCTGTATGTATCAGCTTGTGCGCAAGGCCACGACATGGTAGCTGATAGGCTGCCATGGGCGCCTATTGCTGCATCCCTCGCCACGCTGACGAATCCTTGATCATTACCCGCGCAAACGACGACGAAAGCATCTGATGAGAAGGTTGCTGGAAACCCACAGCTTCCCGCTGCCTGGGCTCGGAGGAGCGTGCCGGCAGGGGTGCGATGCACGCAAGCAGGGCATCCTATCACATATCTCCTACATACATACATACATACAACATTCGTACATAAGGACCATGCGAACACCTCAGCCCACAGCGGCCAACTGACAGAAAAGTGATAAGTGACAAGTCGCCGGTGTTGCGGCTTGCCGGTATTGTTGCCATGAACGGCGCGGGAAGCATAATATTGTGATCAGTCAAACATTGAGAGACTCGGCCCGCTCGCAGGTCTGGCAGGTTTGGCAGGTTTGCCGGTATGATTCGATCTATGCCCGTATCATCATTAGGAACCCCCACGCCCGGCTAACCCTCGTTGAGATGATATGGTGCCGATTCCCAGTCTCGGTACCACTCTTCGACGGCGTGAGGTACTATAGGCGTTGCCAAGGCCCAGATATAGATAGTTGAGTAGATAGATAGACAGATAGCAGACCGTGCCGGCGCCGTTCAGCGTTTCATCTGGCGTCGGCATTTGTCGGAAGATCTTCTCCTTGCGGACGGCCGACTGCCAGTCTGCCAATCTCATCGCGGGTCGCGTGGGTCGCTCACACGTGTGTAGAGCGCGGCGTACCATGGATACAAGAGCAGCAGTACCAGCATGGAAGCTTGGGTCATGCCGTGTGATGGAAGTCACAGAGGCGGCTTATTAAGTTATTCGTATCCCATGGGGGTTTCTTATAGAAACGACTCGTCATATTTCCATGGTTTGGCCGGCATTGGCTCCAGCTACCCACGCCAAGCTGCGTCAGCGAACTCAGCCGACACGTTCATTTTCGATATTGGGTGTCAGGGGCGTCGGGTCCGATGATGAGTCGCACAGATTTTATCCAAGATCTGGTAACTATCGTTATTACATACGCGTGGCCGCGGACGCTCACCTGCTAATGATTCCCGACTACTGCGTACAACGAGATGCTTATCTGTCTGCGGCGGTTTCTCGTCTGATGTGCGATGGGGACTCAGTGCTAAGGTAAGGCAGCGGGAACCACCTCTCGAAGGGACGGCTCGCAAAGACCATCGATGGATGCGATCGCGCGCGGGTCACAGGGCGGGTTCTGGTGGACCTCGAAGGGTCAATCCGTGCCCAGGTGCTGTCAAGCGTGCCGTGACACTGTGACACGGTGGCGCTACACGCATCTCCCCTGAGGGCTGTGTGACCATTGACTGGAGGCTTCAAGGTTCATCCCTACCGCTCGTCGATCACACCAGCCTTACCTATCCTGGGCCGTGGCGCGGCCTGAGCTTCGCCGATAGTTGACGGAGGGTACCGGTAGATGGGATCGTCAACACCTTTCTCTACTAGCAATAGCATTCAGCCTCTTCCTAGCCTGTTGGTGATTCATCTATCTGCCACCTGCTAATCTGCTGACGTACGCGATACGAAGAACCCGCAACAACTGAATGGGTGGAGGATGTGTCTCTAGCTGTCTAGTTGCTTCACAGATCTCGCTAGCAACAAAAGACCCTGACAGTTCGGCCACATTGCCTCCAAGACTTGGCAGCCAGGAGCAATGGTGTTGACTGGTGAGGGAGGCTCTGGCAATCAGAGTTTTCTACTATTTGCTTGGGGGCTTGGGTCCCAGCGCCGTGGTTCAATGTTAGCACCGTCAGCTGACAGGATGGAGCCGCCAGCCACGCCTCTCACCTCACCCTCCGTGCCTCGATTGGGCAGCGCGTCGGTGAGCGGCCAACTGGTTTCGGATAGCGAGTGACCAACTTGTACACCACGTCCATTCCCACGCATCCTCAACACACCCTCTTTTCGGAGCTGGGAGCTGGGAGCTGACATTGGGACATTGGGACATTGGGACATTGGGACATTGCACCAACCCGGTCACGGCCTAGTCTCCCAGGGCTGAGTTACGGAGTCGCAGACCACCGTGTTGGAGAGGCGCTATGGATTCCTTGGGGTTCTATCAAGTTGGTTTGGCGGCTGACTGAGACCGCACGCGGGGTTACACCATTGCCATCGACATTGAAGCTAGGTGAGGCCAGAACCACGGCCGTGGGTGCCCGAGAGAGCACAAGTGACGCTCTGGAGGGTTACCCGACAAGAAAGCAGCATGGACACCCGGCCGGCATCCTGGGATTGTGAATTCAAGGGTACGCAGGGTGTCTCTGAAAGGATTGACAGCTCGGTCTCGTTAGCCGTCGGTTAACGTAGACTGTCGTGGAGTGTCTAGTATCTTCTACAGCAGGATGGTATCATCTTCGCCGCAGTGCCTCGAGACAAACATGTCTGGATTGCTTTCGATAGCGGGAGTAAACTACGGTCGAAGGAGACCTCGTACCCCCTGCTGGCCACGCGAGAGAGCGAGCAGGACTCTGCGGCATCCGTATCGTCGGTCATATGCAGGAACCAAGCGTCAACCCCTCGCAGAATACCCACGGAGCAGAGGGCTGAGTGAGGACAGGGTCTTCTAGATGTCAGATGGCATTACTGATACTAGATGATCCTCGAGAAGGGATGGACCCCGTTCGCTCTCGCTTGTAGGCTGATGCGGTCTTGAACGCTTTTCCCAACTCGTTCTGTCACACCTGATATCATCGAAAACCCTGGAGCTGCTGCAACCTCTTTCGGTGCCTTGCAGATGTCACGTAAGACGAGCGCAGCCCGTGTGTGCTGTGAGAGGTCGGTTGTGGTCTGGACGGACGAGGTGCGCCGGTAAGCTGCAGGACGAGTCTGTCACATGAGCACCTCGTTGCATGGTTCTGGTTCATCAACCTGCCAGACCCGAACCGACTCTCCTCTGACCATTCTCTGACAGGGTGTGCATCTATAACACGAATACCTGGTACAGGGTACCCATCTCCCAGATATAACCTCTCTCTTGTCCTTTATTATTACCGACTATGCGATCAGCAAGCGAGGGCGGTGACGCTACCAGACACTGGAAAGGCAGCTGATCTGGCCAGGTTGATGAGCCGGCCGCCGAGATGCTCGTGAAATGATGGGTGCCCCGTCGGTGCAGGGCACTTCTTACTAGCGCTATCTTGCTTGATATCGTATCATGATCTGGATGATACAACGACGTTTCAGTTCATGAGCGACCTGCCATTCAGAGCTCGGCTCAAGCGCCAGGTCGATGTCACTGGCCATGGATTCCCAAGACCTTGGAACTGAACCGCAACACGGTCCATGATAGGTTTGAATCGCTCATACTCAATTTCATGCTTGAAGCTAACCTACTTCAAGCAACGCTTCCATCTTCAGATTTATAATTGATGATGAAGAATAAAAAGTGGGATTGTATTCCCCCACGATGTCGTCGTCCTCCTTGCCACGCCGCTAGACCGTGTGTCTACCTTGCACCTGCATCGGCAGCGTCTAAACGCGGTAAGCTTCGTTCGTACACGTTTCCCGAAGTCCGAGATTTGAAGGAAATCTACCATGTAAAGGAGCATACTATGTACGCATGTTTTCTAGCCAGATGCCCCTGACTGCCAGAGAGAAAAGTTCCTTTATATTCATATCATGGCGCTGGCAGCATCCTTCACCAAAGCCCAAGGAGGCAAGGAGGTCAAAGATGTCCATCTCCAAGGAGCTCAAGGACCCATAATTTCCCCCTTGGGCCCTGGCTCTCAAAGGTTCGAAAAAGTTCGACATGGATATCTTCAGAAAATCTGCCTGCCAGGGGCGATTTGAAGACGCACGGAGCCTCAACAAAAGTACTAGCAGTAATCTCCGCTTAAAACCGCGACAGCCTGCCTCCTCGCGGCAGGCAACGAACAGCCATCCCGGACAAGGTCGCGAATTGCCAGCATGGTCGGGTGTTTGTCATGCCCTATGACTATGAGCGTGTGACCTAGATATGCGAAATACGTGATCTCACCAACGTTCTGCAACAAGATGAAGCTGAACGAAACTCGCTCTGTCTGCACTGCCACAGCGTGCGTGGGTTTCGAATAGGAGCGTCGATAGCAAGTCGTGAGAATGTACGCTTTCGGCTTTCCCGGGAATCCTTTTTTCATTAATCCCGACGCGATCAAGATCGACACTACTCGCTCCCTTCCGCGGGAAGTGGGAGGATCTACTTATCTTATCCGTGATCCGTCCAAGGCTCGAAGCTCATCATCAACTGCGGAGCCGCAGCCCTGGACCTAGCCAGCGCACTAACTCCCCCTATAGTACTAGCAGTACTATATATCCACCAGGTCCCGTTCGGGGTCCATATCGAGCTCTCAGCTGGGGAGTCGGGGACCTTCAACAACCGCGCATTGACAACGCTGATTGGCTGGCTTACGAGTCTGGCACTGACTGGCCTTCTTCCGTGCAAACTACCCCTTATGGGTATGCAAATTGCCCTGCTCACGTACCGCGCGACATGATAATGAAAGTCTTTCATAGCAACAGGGACCCCAGTGCCAGCATCTAAATCAGCAAGCCAGCGGTTGTGGGAGACCTGGCAGCCTGGTCGGCGGTACGAGGCTTCAAACCTACCCTGGAAGCAAGCACCCCCTGGATATTGTAGATAGCCTCTCTCTACAAGGGTCCACGAATGGTTGGTTCGCATTTCCCCCCCGCATTCTGGGTTCTTGGCACAAACCCAGCTGGTGGAGCACGGAGAAGTGACTGGCGTTTGTGCCGTCGTACGTCTGTGCGTTTCAGTACCGGTAGCGTTCGGCTGCCTGCC